TATCGTTTCTGTAGTTAAATTATGTACGGATGAAGTCTCTCGTAAATCGCACGACCGCTAATTCGACTGCAGCCGACAATAAACAATATTCTGTCTGCCAATTACGACAGTTTTCTTTATATGTTTTAGACAACCGAGTCACTTACACCGGCTTCTCGACTAGGGATCAAAATGCTTAACATAGACGGAGAGCCGGTGTATGCGAGGCGGGAGATCGGGTCTAAAGGAAGTTCGGAACGAGGATGGCCGACCCCAAATAGTTGGGATGAAGATGAAGAAGATATATAATAACTTTCGATATTAAAATACAGTTGGCGCGCGAATAAAATTATTAAAATTTTATATAGAAATCGATCTACGAATGTAGATCATACAATTTGACATTTTTTTTTTTTAATGTCTAATGTATTTTAATGTTACTGCTGTCTCTAGATTGTTATTATAAAGAAATATTCGTATTTTTGTTTTTTTTTTTTTTTTTTTTATAACTATGGTTATAACATTATAAAATAAAATGGTTTAGTTTAAATCTCGGTATTAAAATTAAATGAATTGATTTTGGTTTCGCCAACCTAAATTTTTTTTGAAATCATTAAAGTAATAATAATTCAAAAACGCTAATATAATGCATATTATATATTATCTGCTCGAACATGACGTATGGCATAAGATATCTAAAATAAATAACACTTAGGTTTTTCGTGACGTTTAAGGTAAGATGATTTTTACGAGCACAGAGAGCGGGTTTAATATGCAATAAAGTGTTTTAAAACGTCAGTATTCTTTTAAATTTAAAGAAAATGTCCGTCAATGATGCTTAAATATTTAAGCAAGTTACCGGGGTACTCCCCGGTTATGTCCGCGTAAAACGGACATAATACGACGTGTCCTATCATGTCCGACGGATTTTTCTAGCGCTATTATTATTGAATTTTTTTCGATTTTTTTTTTTTTTTATTTTTAAATCGATTTATCTTCGAGGAAGACATCGATTTGAAAAAAAATTAAATTTTGTTTTCATTCCCTAAACACAAAACAAAAATAACTTTTTATGTATTCACTTTGGAAAATTTTCAAAATAGCCATTTTGTAAAATGTACGAAAAATAAAAATATATCGTATATATGAATTATAATATGATATTATTCTAAACATAATAATGTATCACACATTCTTATGCGATTAATAGTTTCTTAATTATAGCCGTTTTATTTTCTACAAAATAGGCGTGAAAACAATTAATATTCAATATAAAGTAAAGAATTTGTTCTAAAGCGTAATCAACGTGCTTCCTTATCGCATAACGTGTCATCTTATTGAATATTAATTGTTTTCACGCCCAATTAAAACTGCTAGAACTAAGAAATTATTCATCGGATATCAATGTATGATACATTAAACATTTTTGAATGATAATTTTTACAAAATAGCTTTTTTGAAAATATTCTAAAGTGAATAAATAAAAAGTAATTTGTTTTTGTGTTTAAGGGATTAAAAAGAAAAAAATTGAAATAATTTAATATTAACAGCGCTAAAAAGATCCGTCGAACATGGTGGGACACACTGTACACTGCTGCCGGTGTATCCCACTATAATTATTGTTGGTAGGTAGCTTGGAAAGTATAGATCCTGTACCTTCCAAACTACTTATACTATAGGAGGTGCCTATATATTATACCTAGTAGGTTAACGCTAATTCGAATTACTCAATATCCTTGCACAGAGCCACGCAATTTGAAGTTTGTTTTTTTTATTTATTTGTTATACTCGGTAGATATTTAGTGATACACATTGACACGCATGACTGAGAATTATTTACAAATATACCTACCTATACGCATTACAACTTTTTAGACTCGAAGTGTAGCGAGTGATCTATTGGTTTTTTTTATTATGGTGTGTGCTTTTCTTTTTCTGTCTGTAAACAAGTTTTCAAAAAGGAATATTGCTACGATGTATAGAGTATAGTGCACTTTTCCCGAAAGGAAATTTTGTCTAATTGATGCATTGAAATAATTTTTTTGATTTTCCAAGGGATTTTCAAAACAATTGGGAAAAACCGGAAAGAAAAAATTGTAGGCAAAACGAAAAAATATTTACAGTGTTAACGTTTTTATTATTTTTAATTTTTGTAAACTATGTATTTTTACTAGAAATATTGCCCTGATCGAAAAATGATAAATATTCGATTTTGTTCCATTTAATATATATATCCACTGACAAAGAAAGTCGTTTTTCGATGTCTGAAATAGTTTTCATAATACTCGGCAAAACCAAAAAAGACAAAAAATACGATTTTGTCAAATTACGGCACTACGATTTCATTACTTAAAATGTATAAGATTATATTTTTCTACCAGAAATCTTTGTCCAAATTTCAATAAGAATATGTTTTCTCAACGGAAATTTTGTCTAGTTTGTGAATGAGTAAGTCGTTGTTTGATTTTCCGTACAATTTTCTTAATAACTTCGAAAAACTGAGGAAACATTTAGGAAATAAGACAAAGAGTAATAGTGTACAGCATTTTGGGTGTTTTGTTGTTATTCGGTTAAAAATAACTGTAGATACTTGTAATTTTCACTAATAGGTATTGCCCTTTTTATTTCTAATGCAAGTTGAAACGATCGTATTCTGTTTAATTACGCCGCTGTCGCATTTTGCCCAAACCCTATTTCACCCCAATATTCTCAAATTATTTTTGTTTTAAAACATAATTTTGAATTTGTGATTTATAAAGCAATAATACACGGTAAACGACTCTAGTATGACTCTAGATAATAATAATATAATCGAAATAATAATAATTGTTGTTAGATAATATACCTAATATATCTAATATATAGGTATTATCATTGATATTATAATAATTATGTAAATCAAAATACTAAGAGAATTTAGTAGATGGATAATATTGTAGAAAAAAATTAACTTTTAGAGTGGAACGAAGAAGATTATAGTTTTACAACGATGTTTATTTTTTCTTAGATTCTGAGTGGAGCTTATGGTTTTACAAAATGTTTATTTTTTTTTTCTTTGGACAACATTTCTACCAGAAAACTTATTCCGATTTTTACGTGAAGCACTTTTTCTGAAAGTAAATCGGTGTGAGGAGGTACTCTAAGGAGGTCAATTTTCGATTTTCTCATTGTTTTTTCAAATGTGAAAAACCGAAAAATACGGGAAAATGTCCGAAATATATTTGTATAATGTTACGATTTTTTTTTTCTGTGGACAACTTTTCTATCAGCGATTTTGTCCCAACTTTTAATGATAACTTTTGTTTACATAAATCAGAAAATAATAGGTAATAGATACCCTTGTATAAATTGCGGTGATTTTTACTATAAGTATTTTCATCAAGATTTTAACTTTAAACACTTATTACTTATTGAAAAAAAAAGATGTCTTAGGAGGATAATGAGGACAGGTGCAGCCACTGTTATAGTTAATTTAATGTACACCTGTAAGCATCGATAAACCACTGCTTACGAGAAAACGATTCTGAGCGGAGTTCAGTTGATAGTGATACCCTGTCAACAATATATAAGTAATTTTATAGTAAAATAATTAAATAGGCTTTGTATATTTTCTTTAATAATATTTGTTTAATGTTGTACTGATTTGTCCTGTTTATCCATGTTTTATTATTAAATGTTTCACATTTGCTGGATAAACTCTAAAAAAAAAAGAAAAAATGACCTGTTAAAGTACCTCCCTAGTGAAATGTCCTTTTAGAAACATTGCTGTCAGTTAAAGTTGAAGTAAAATTGCTGGTAAAAAAGTTGTGCACAGGAAATAAAATAGTAATATATTTCGTGCATTTACCTGTTTATTTTTTCGGTTTTATAAATTTTATGAGAAAACTCTTGAGAGCAAGTCTTCTTGTTGAAAAGTTACTCACAGATGAAAAAAAAATAAACATCTTTGTAAAACCATAAGCTTCTTCCCTCCACTCAGAATCTGAAATATCAACTGTATTAAGATGAAACATATAATTAATCAAATATTTTTGATTTTTTTTAACTGACCCACTCAACAATATATAAAAATTAACATAGGTGATATTATATGTATACTGTATTGCAGCCTTCAGAGTTGGTTTCAGTATATTTTAACAGTTAATGTCACCTACTGTTGTTTATTAAATGTAAGCTACATAGTAACCAAACAAATTCAAATAGTAAAATATCTGTATCCATAAAATGTTAAATGAATGTATTTAACTGAATAACTATAATTTTTAAGTAGGCGTCTACACATTAATTTGACTAACAGAATTGCATTAACAGCCAGGCTGAGTGAACAAATAATATGATTTTGCACAGTTATTGGCATTGAACTGCAGTTATCAGAAATCAAAATGATATCTCTACACAAAACTCAAAAAATATAAAATTTGTGATAATTCGGAATAGACATGATAAAATCAGTGTAAAATAACATTTAGGACACAAATAAATAAAATTAGTAATAACAAAATAGAATTATTATTTTTAAATTTAATTTACCTACCTATTCATATTATACATATAACATTCTGTATAATATTCAGTTTTTAACTCAAGTAGTATTTATTTTTTTACTATACCATATTATATACCGTAAGTACCTATTATATTAAAAATATATAAAAAAAATTTTAATTACACAATTTACAGATCTTAATTAAAAAAAAAAAACAAATTATAATTTGTAATGGTTTGAAGAAAACCAACCATATATAATGTTAGATACCTATGTTGAGATTATGGTTGACTTAACAGAAACAGTCAACAGTTTAAAAATAAAAACGCATTCATACAGCTAACTAGTTTAAAACAGACTAGCATTAGTAAATGTTCAAGTTTTTGATAATACTTCAAATTAAAAAAAATAAGAGTTAATAAAATGGTAAATAAATAATAGTCAAATTATTAATTAAACTAAACAACAGTTATCACTGATAATAAAAGTTTTTTTAAAAAATTGTTTATACCATTTTATAAAAGAATTCCATACAGCATATATTGTATATATCTTCACATCACTGCATAATATTTATATTAATAACATAATAAGTAGATAATCTAATACATAATTATTATTTAATTTTTTTTGCTTAACTGGCCATTCAACAAGGCCTTTCACAGCTTCTTTTCATTGCATTCTTAAAGTTTGCTGTTTCGTCTGACATTATTATGTCTTCGTTCACTCTGTCTTGCCTAAGTTACCGAAATCGTCTTCTGGGATACTAATCAGTTAATTTATTCACCGAAATGTACTTTCCTTGGTGGCTCTCCACATATAACCAACACATTCCAGACGCTTGACTTTCAGAAAACCCTTAATATTTGGATTATTGATATTAAAGATTTCCAGTTTATTTTTTTTTTTTTTACATAATTTTTAATTATTAACACAATTAAATAAATTAAACAAATAAAACATAATTAGGAAAAGAAAAAAGTACCCAAGTTATAAAACATACAGGTTAAAGAAATGATAGATTAAGCATCATCATATAGTTTTTTTAGTGATTAGCTAGATATGAGGAACACAAAATTGAGAAAAACTGGATTAAACCCTTTAAACAATAAAATGTATAATGATTTATGACAATAAAGAAAGGGAAGTCAACAGAACCAGAAAAATATTTAAGTAGAAATGAAAGATTATGTACATGTTAAGAACATGTTGACGGACAGCTAGAATTATTGTTTTCAACACGTTTACACATTATCAAACTTATTTATTCTTCAAAATACCAAATTAATTCATTGCTCATATAATACTGACCATTCTCAATTATATTATATTAATAAGCGTTTAAAATAATTAATTAAAGCTTAAGAACTTAATTAATTAATTTTAAGAGTTATGCCTAGATACATTTTCAATTAAATAATCTAAAATTGTAATTAAAAAAACAAAAACTAACCATACTTTGAATAAGATATTAGAACATGCCTTAAATTGATAAATAAACCATTTTCTTTTAACTTCTATACCAATATAAATCCATTAATGCATACAACTAATTGAAATATAATTGATTCGAGACAAAATAATTTAGTACAGAAGGAACTGTTTGTTATTTTATAAACTTAAATAATATGCAGTCTTCAGTTTTTGGTTATTAACAGTTTACTAAATAATTTAAATGTTTGACTGACTAAAAAAATTTCAATATAAAGATTAAAAAATTAAAATTTAACAGAAATATTTAATAAGCATATTCATAACTATAACAAAATCCTTAAATTATTAATTTATATTATTTAATTAAAATTTATTAAAATTATTATTTATTTTATTTATTTATTATAAATAATAAATAATTAAAACTAATAAAATAACTAAATGTTTCTGCTTGGAATTTCCTTTCCCAGAGAAGACAACAGGTTTTCAGTATCATTGTTTTCGTCTAACAATATCCTATTTGAGCACACCAAGTCTGGTTCTTTAATATCATCGCTGGAAAAATTACCCACAATTTTTGATGTGAGCCCATGTGCTATATCAGAACCACAGTTACTTTTCAAAAATACATTAGTACTGTTTTGAATAAAACTATTTTTTTTGTTTATTTCTTCATTCACTTTGTTGGTATCATTATAATTCGCATTGCAAATAAATGTCTCTTCATCTGTTTCACTGATATCTTCATTTTTAATTGTTAAATCATTCCTACCTGATACAAAATCCTGATAAATATTGCAATTTTTAATAAGAACACTACCATTGCAACTGGACGAGATATCCATGTCCTCATTATTAGTATCATTGTTATCAATAGCTGTTGTGAAGAAGTCTGAATTAGAAGAAGCTGTACTATTATTAGATTTTGTATAGGTGTCGTTTAAACTATTTAAAAATTGTACATCCAAATGTTTATCTTTGGCCATAGGAGTAGAATAAAAAAGTTGAGAATTGCTAGTACCCACATTGAGCGGTAAATTCCATTCTTCTTCTTCTTCTTCTACTTCTTTGACATTGTTATCCAATAACCAGTTTTCTTCTTCACTGGTGTCTGACGATGAATCTGAGTCGGAATTATATATTTGTATAGAAGTTCCATTTAAATTCGTAATCATTATCCATTCTCCAGCTTTATTAGTTGTTGTATAGTATTCCTTACTTATAATATATCTGTTTGGACAAATTAAAAATACAAATAAAAATTTAACACAATAACAGTATAAATAAAAGCAATATAAATATTTAAAAAAAAAAACAAGGCCGAATACATTCCAAAGTGTGGTGATGGTGGTGTTTTTGTAAAATACTACACACATCATGCAGTGAAAACAATATTATATTCTTCACATATTCTTACGAGAATATCCACTATAAATCAGTAGTAGTGCAGCAAATGATATGCTATATAAACTGGTTGTTGGTAGTGTTTACGTTAAGTGGTCATAGTAATTTTGAAATATTTTCAAGTCCACATTTTTTTTTTCTTTTTTACAAAGAAATCCACATATGCCAGTGCACACTTAATTAGTATGTGTTTATGCACCACTCATGGTGTTCTTGCCATTTTTTTTTTTTTCGCCACACTACCTTGGTGTGTGACCAATCAAACATTTATTATTAAAAAATAAAATAAACTCTACAATTTTAAATAAACATTAAATACTAACTGCAATTCTTTCATGCACGTACAGTAATCAGAAACGAGAGGCATAATTGAACTCAAAGGTATTTTCAATGTGCTTTTAACCACAAACTCTTTATTAGCAGAATTTTCGATAACAAATGATCTCAATTTCTGAAGTATAATTTCGTTTTTTTCGTTGGGAGGCTCATATGGATAGTTGATTCTTTTCAACAATTTGTAAGGTTTAAAACCCTGCAAAAAAAAACAAAAATACAATTCAAATGTATGCATTGAAATACAATAAAGAAATTACTATTTTTTTGTACATATTTATTATAACTATAATTAAAATTTTTATCTTGAAAAGAATTAATTGAAATGATTTGATTAATTATTGGAGTGTTCTGTTACAACTTACAACTATCAATTATCTATTTTACTCACAACATAGAATATACGTACATGCCCTATTTAAAATAATTACACAAATATCTTACAGTAAGATTCGCAGGTGATGCTTCCATATTTTTCCGGTAAAAAATAGCAACTTGACTGCAACAACCAAGATCTTTTGTACCAATAGGATCTAGTCCAATACCGTCAAATTCGACAGTGTAGTCTGGATAAGTGGTTATGATACTATTAGCCCTATACAAAAAATAATCCCACATAACACAATCATCATAACTTAGCATTTTTATAATTACTAACCATTCCTTCATTTCGTTTCTACTCCATTCAAATTTGTGATCAGGGTGTCTAAACTTTTGCGTAGTATCCGGGAATAAAACGTTGTATTCTACATTCGGTGTGGTGAACACGGCTACCTTTGGTTTAATGAATCCGAATACAGTTAACGGTACCTTATCCAAAACATCCGAGTATAAATGTTCAATCCTATAATTCAATTTAAATAGACCCAAAATATTAAAGATTGAGTAAAACAATAGTAAGTTTATTTACAATTCAATGCATATCACTGCATCCATGTCCAACATTCGATCATCGAAGTCAGCAATACTCCCTGCATACAGGTTTACTTCTAATGGATGTTTACGATTCCCCGATATCAAATAATCATAATTGGTCGGCATCACCTTTCCATTATTTAGTTCCAATATATTAGAATCGATATCAACAAACGTAACATTGGTGATTTGAGGATTCGGTTTTAAATAAAAAAATAAATTAAGCTCAGCACAACCAAATTCTACAATCTAGAAAAAGTGTTTAATATATAAAATATAAGTAATACCTAAAAATATAATTAATTACCATTAATAAATAATACTTTCATTTTTATAATATAGTAATACGAGTATGTCATTTTATTATTAAAATTAGCTCAGTTTATCTACTGTCAAAAAGAGTAAATATAAACAATCGTGTAACCTCCTTTCTTTGTTTACCTCTCTTGACAGCCAAAAAACCACTGGCAAATTTGAATAATATAATGGATTATCTGCATATTATATAACTGATAATAGATACTAATAATATAAAAATAAAAGAAGAAACAAGTTTATAATACTTTTCAAAGAATAAACTTAATTCAATACTCTTGAATTTTTTACAAATTATTACTTTAATTAGTTTTTTCCAGTACTTTAAACGTGTTTACGAAATATACACAATCAAATATTTTAATGAAATTATAGAGCATAAAACATCTTATTTTTAAAATCCAGTTACTTTAAGCTTAGCAGTGACGCACAGAGGAATTTTGAGAGCATACACAGTAACTCTTATAGTATATCCACCCACCCAGGACCAGTGTTAACAATTGAGTAAAAAATGACCTTATAATAGTCTCAATATTAATGTTTTATTTAAACCAACACGTAAAAGCTACATACTACTAAAATACCTATGCTCTAAAAAGCAAGACAATACTAAAATATACTCTTATAAACAAAATATATTAAATATGCAAATCAAATTTAGGATTTAAATTGCTTACATCGCAAACAGTATAAAATATTTCACAGCTATTTTTCTTAAACTTTCCAAAACTATATGAAAATACTAATAGTTTCTAACTCTAATAATAACAAATGCCTATAATAATTTTACTTTTTTTATCGACCCGTTCCAAATGGGATGATCAATAATTTCTTGTACGACCATATACCTCTGAATATACAACGGTGGAAAAAATTTCAAACCATATTCATCGTTTATAGCCACACACGTTTTTTGACTAACGAATTGGATCCTATTTTTTCCCTAAAAATATTCAATTTTATGAAACACATATATGAATTTTTACATTTAAAATGTACACATTTTAATTAAATATCAGTAATGTACATAATCTATTTGTAATTTGTTTTTTCTGTTAATTTACAATCATCAAGTTAGAAAAATGCGTTATAATATTATATTATTGTATAATATTTTACCTTAGAATCCATAATTTCGGGGCTGTACAAATACCGTTCGACAATATACTTTAGAAATCCAAATGCATTGATACCCATCGACAACAATGTGCTCTGTAAGACCAACATGATCGTAATAAAACAACGATAAATAAATTAAAAAATGAACAATTATAACCACCGTCTACATTTAATACAAAACTCACAAAACAAAAATAATATTAAGTAGTGGAAATTCTACAGAAAATCGTTAACAGCGTAAATAATCAAATCAAAAATGATCTGGTGTTATCAGCTCAATAGCTCTGACGCTAACCACCATTGGTCAAATTAATGATTATATAGTCTTTGGACCACGGACAAAATTAACTTCTTTTTATCAATGCTTTGAACACAGTGTAATATTCTTAGTAACCACTGTTGCTTCGGACATCCTTGGAATATTAAAAACATTATTGCGAAATATTGAAAATCTCAAAAATTCGTAATGCTATATTGACATTGTTTGTGTCGAGTCAAACATCGCACGACATTAAACGCGATAATTTCGATACAGGCGTCACTGAATTATAAATTATTGATACCTATCAGTAGGTTTTCCAATTTTCTTCTCATTTATTTTTACGTTTTACTATAATAGGTACCTATATGAGTAGGTATCTGTATCTCAATATCTGTATGACGAAACTTACTGCACACTCTGGTGATTCAATAAAAACAACACGAAAATCTATTTGTTTCATTGTCTCGTTATAAATTCGTTAATGCTATAAAACCGTATAGCTAAGTAATTGTTTATCGTTTTTATTAAGAGAACTACAAGGAAAAACGATATTCTTACTTACGCGTCGAGTAGGCAAAATTTTCTTTCGGAAATGCTACACACGAAATTCACAACATGATGTCTGATAGACAACCCGAATCGAGTACATATTTTTAAAAAAATGAAATCGTTAACGTCACAAGATTGTTGGTTTTTCTTTTACGTATATTGTCGAGTCTCACCGGTCGTTATGAAAACTGCTCGGAAAATCAAAAAATTACTACTCAACGCGCCAATTAAACGCAAAATTTCACAAAAAAAAATAAACATATTCTTGTAATTTTTTTTATTGGAGCGAGATGGCGATTGCCGACAAATTACAACACAAAAATAACTGGTTTCACGTGCGAAAAATTCGCATTCAAACGTCAACATTAATTATATTCTTACACGATTAATTGATTGTATTAGATTTAAATTGACAGTTCGTAAGAAGACTGCCTTGTTTATTGATTTTGGCCGAGGACAAAGGAAGAAAAATGAATCGTCACGAAAACTCGCCTTTTGGGAATGATAATAACATTAAGTTTTTGTCAACTTCCGCGTCATCGGCGTATAAAAAAAAATAAGCCCCGTAAAATTAACGTATACGCAACTTAACGCGCGCCAGTGACGGATAATATTACAATAATATTGTGATCATTATTAGGTTCACTCAGTGGTGTATTTACGGTGAACCGTTCACCTATTGCTCACCGTCAAACATTTTCTCAAAAGTTCTGTTTCGGCATTTACAACTGGACGTTATAAATATGCGTAGAAAAAAACGTAAGGAAAAAAATATCGAACCGTTATTTCCTGCGATTTCCCGCTCAGATTCGGCTTTCGGTAGCAATGATTAATCGTTACGTATTAAAAGTTACACATTACATTCCCCTCTATATTCTACCGTCTCAACTTTTCACCTATTACAGTAGCCCGCCCGCCGTGCGAAGTACGTCCGTATTTTTTTAGCATTCAATTTTTAAATGCCAAAAGGAAGATGTAATCTGGGTCGTTTTTCAAATGATGCTAATAGGAAACTTTTAGCCAGAAATAATTTAGTTCAAACTAAATGGATAAAAGAAAAGAGAATCCTGCTTCTCATTACGATCCCTATATCGATTATATTGATGATTCAGTAGATTTGAGTTTGATGTCTAGCGAGTGTCAATTTTGTTTACAAAGAAGCATTGAATTGAATTTGCACAAACGATTCTATCAGTTTTTGTTATTATAAATTATAATTATCGAATGTCTTATAATTTATAATAACAAAAACTGAAAAATTATCGAATGCCTTTGGCAAATTACATAAATATTATTTAAGGATTTTAATTTAAAAAACTATTACAAAAGTAATAAAAATGAAATTGTGTACATTGAAACAAATGTGATAATTTTATACATGTTTAATAAACATGATAAGTATATTGATGTAAAAGATTTTCGTAAACAAAATTAGGTAGGTTTAATGGATAGTACAATTTGGTGGTTCGAAATCGAACACGCTCAAAGCCGGGTCATTTAGCTTGTTATAAATTAAAGCATCAGTTTAATAATTTGTATATAAGACAACAGAGATGAACTATGATTAATATTATTTAAAAAATATCATCTACTCCCACAAATATAATTTGTATTAATTATTTTAAACAGTCGTTTAATAGTTGCACAATGATATAAAAACACAATCGTGATGTTTTATCGTTATTTATTCATGTCTATAAATAGGCAAATGGTAATATATTTCAACAAAAAAAAAGAAAAAGGAAAAAATACAACTCCGTGGGTTGAACCTCATCAATGAGGCGAAAGGTAACATAATTGAAAAAAAAAAATCATTCATATTCATCGCCATCGTTGTCACTAGAAATGTATATGGGCTCATCATCGCCACTTGAAATGTATATGGGCTCATCATCGCCACTTGAAATGTATATGGGCTCATCATAGCATTCGAAACTATGTGTGTGTATGCCGTTATACATTGGTGGTGCCGTGGGGCTATACCTGGATAATATGCGAACAAACGTATTATTATTTAATTTCATACTTACCTACGGTACAAAATATTTAACTAAATTATCAAAAATATAAGTAATTATACATCATATTATGATGAAGTCACGATTTTTCGACACCGTTTTTTTTTTGTGCAATTTTTTTTAAAGAATATCGAACATCATTATTTAAGATACTCACCCAGATGATTCCGGGCTATATGAATGTGACGCCGGGCTGTATGAAGGTGACGCCGAACTGTATGAAGGTGCCGCCGGGCTGTATGAAGGTGACACCGGACTGTATGAAGGTGACGCCGGGCTGTAAGAATGTGACGCCGAGCTGTAAGAATGTGACGCCGGGCTATATGAAGGTGACGCCGGGCTATATGAAGGGGAAGCCAGATTGTAGGACGGTGAGGACGCAGAAGTCGGACTGCGCGAAGGAGATACAACTCCTGATCCTGCACATTTCAGAAAATACATTATACAGATAGTTGCAAGACAAATTTTTAAGTAGTAAATTTTAGAACTCCATTTCGAGAATACTGTTTTAGGTAATACACCATAAGTGTACTTTCTACATTGAATTGAAAAATGACTCAGTTACCTATAATGCAAGGTACCCGTATAATTATTTGGTACTGAGAACCCGAACAAGTCGGCTGATGCTTTGAGTTTTGAAATTATTCATTTAAAAACTACAATAATGCCTATAAACTTAGGAAAATAGTATTTAGTAATACACTGCAATCGTTGTGTACAACAGCGAACGAAAATAATATTGTAATAAAAAAATGGAAAAACTTACGCGGTTGAAGATTTTCGTCGCACTTCGGAGAACTGTCTGGAAGTCTCTTCGAATTCGTGTGATCCGTCGGTGACTGTGATAATCGTCTTTTCTTTCTAATCGAATGGTTAACGTTCATTATCAACAGTTCACTGACGGAAGTCTTGTTTTCAATCGTGTCCATATTTTATTGCTTAGATCAAAAATACGTACGTTAAACACAAAACACTACTTGTACGCGAAAAGAGAAATGATATTTTGTGAAATATTTTACACGTTTATTTGTTACGCAGAAAAAAAATCACCCTAACAACCTAATGGTCTCGTATAATTAAATAACAATCGTTTTTTTCGGCCTACCACGGACAAGACAATTTGTTGGCAGCGTTATAATACGAATATTTTTCTGATTCTGTTTCTTATATTTTGTACGTATACTGACGAAGAAATTAAATTTTACTAAGCGTGTAGCGCAATGAGTGTTATTGGGTTTACTATGATGTCGTGGTTTTCCATATTATTCTATTCGATTTCCTGCATACTTAAAATAATATTTTTATGAATCATGTAAAGGGGATCAGAAACTGTTGTCCAAATAATCGTCTTCAATTTTGTAAAATGTAAAAACAATTGTACTCTTCTCCTATCCTAATTTGTAAGTAGAAGCGCGATGTGTCGTGAAACCGATCAAATCAGATCTTTACTTTTATATTTTTTCTAAAAAAAATGAGTATTATTAGTATTTTTTTTTTTTTTTTTTTATTACTACATGAAAACACATGGCCGTCTTTTTATGTGATAATGATGTTTAAACATGCGTAAACGGTTTTGTTTTTCACAAAAACTGCTACCTATATAAATTTGTAGAAATAACTTAAATTTTAACAATATAACTAAATTAGTATTGGTAAGTTGAGATTATTTATTAAAATAACAACTATGCTATTTTTTAATTTTTTAATTCTTTATTGTAATTGTTTAACAACTTCGTAGCTTCGTTTAAAAGTTCTAAATCTGTTGATAATGTAATAAATAATGGTTTTAACATGTATAATTTAAAAGATTTGAATTTAAGTTTCGCGATATTACTTAATGGAGTCGTGGCTCATTGTCCGTTACGCCATCCAATCGGTAGGTACGCCACTGATTTTACGAAAATCATAAGAATCGATTTTATATAAAAAAATAAGACAGACGTACTTCGGTGAGCCACTGTTGTAGGTAAAAAGTTTGAAAAGTAGGATATAGAGGGGAATTTAATGTATATCTTTGAGGTTAAGTTAGGTTAATTTCGCACGATTAATCATTGCTAACGGAAAACGATTCTGAACGGAGTTCGGTTATACATGTTTTAAACGGCCGTAATATTTATGATTTTTGTCAAAATTTGATATTAAATTTATTATTTTCTCATTATATACAATCTTATTTAAGACTTCTAGGGTCTTCTATTCTTTAGTTCTTCCAATTCGAGCGCTGAATTGATACCTAAACTTTTGTCAATGTACATTTGTCCGTTTTTCTTTTACGTATTAGTTTTCGTTTTTCCTAATTATTATGAAAACTACTTGCGTTAAGTAAATACAATTTGCTTTCAGGAGACATGTTTCACTTGAAAATCACAGTAAAGTTTGTGGTAAAAAATTTGTTTACAGACACACACAAAAAAAAAAAAAACACGCACACATCATGCGAATATATTGCTATATCGGATTCCGGAAATCCGGATTCGGAAAATTCCGGAATTTTCCCGCATTAACTTATACCATGTAGCAGTGATGGCCAAACGGTAGATCGCGGATAACTTACGTGTCGATCTCCATTTTGTTAGAATTTATTTTTATGTAACTATAGTAGACAAATAACAATTGCTGATCATTTTTATCTTAATATATTATCTTTATTTTGTTGTAATTTTTTTAAGTAATGCAATTCAACAGAGTTTTTGCAGCATTGTATTTACGATAATATTATATTAGAATTAATAATATAGTGCGATAAAAAGCATTATTCAACAATAAATTTTAGTTTTATTATTTTGCACGTGTATGTTTGTTATTAATACCAATTAGGTAATAATATTTATAGTTAAAAATTTTTGTAAGAGAGTCGGTCCACCAAGGAAAAATATATTCTTGTAGTAGATTTCTATACCAAATTAAGTTTGGCCATCCCTGCTATAGAGCTTTAGGTTTACCATTAATCTATAAGTATATACGCTAAAAAAAAAAAAAACAGTATACAACGAGTAACCGTAAATATGAAATATTATTACTAACAAACCAAGCGGCAATTGTAATTTTTTAGTTTGCCGCCCGGTTCTTATAATCTGTTCACGTCTCAGAGATTGAAATAATTGCAATGCGGTATATGAGTTTTTGTTTTGGCAACGAATACATATTATACAAATATACTTGGTGCTATATAATATACTCTATTCAATAATGCACGTACGTCCGTCAAAAGAAAAAAAAAAAATTTTAAATAAACGATCTTTAAAACCGTCACAGCGATCCGCAGACATCTAAAATGCAAACGTCCCGATTTAGACACCTACTCAGAATGAAATCATTTCACCCTTTTACCATGTTACTTAACGGGATCGTATCCATAAATCACACTTCACGGGTCATCGTCGTCAACGTCATCCTTGTCTGATTCAATAAACAACATCCTAAAAGTGAATAACGAGTTTTCTTCCAAACGTTTAGATGTATGAAAATCTTTTTTTGTTTTTTCTATTATTTTCCAAATAATTCAAGAAAAACCAGGATTTTTATAATCTGAAAATTTATATAAAATGTATTACCCTTCCAATTTAAATTTTTCGATATAAGTGTTATGCTTATCAAAATATCTTCTATTTAAATCTGTGCTCAAGATAGGGGGAAGGAGTACAGGCGTAACTAGAATTTATAATGCCCATGGCAAAACAATTAAATGGGGGGGAAGGGCAAATGCAAAATCTGAATTGAGACCAATTTATTCAAACTACCTAAAGAGAAAAAAAAGGACATTGCCTGTTTTTTTTTTATCTGTCCATCCACTCAAAATGATGTCTTAGGCTCTTATTTGAGGTCCGCAAATATCATAGGCCCGTGGCTCGTTGCCCGTTATGCCACCCTATCGGTACCCAACTGGGGAGGAATTGCTATTTGCAAATTTAAAGTACATACTCATTTCAGGAATAAACAGTAGATTTATATATGTACCGACATATTAAATTATTGGTTGTAGATTGAGTGGAGCAAAGAATCTTATGGTTTTACAAAGATGTTTGTTATTTTTTTTTTTTTTTATCTGTGTCAAGTTTTCTACCAGAAATATTGCTCTGATTTTAAGTGTAGCACCTTTTCTGAAAGAGAATCGGACTGGAGATGTATTTTGAAGTGGTCATTTTTTGATTTTCTTAGAAAATGTGAAAAGCCTGGAAAAAACAGAGGAAAAATGAGAAAATGTATGAAAAGTAAGTCCCCTCGCAGCACATTAATATTTTCTATAAGTTTTAAAAATATTAAATATATTATTAATTTTCTTAATTTTCAAAATATATTTCATCAATATCAACCATATATATTTTAGCCATTTTTTCAGGCCTACAAAATATGTACAAGATATTTTTAAAATATTTAGATATATCTTAAAAATATACTTTAAATGCATTTTACAACCTTTTAAAATCATTTAATAAATATTTTGTGTATATTTTAATAATGTTTTCCATATATTTTTGTACATCCTAAATAAATACATGTAAATATATTTTAAATAGGTATATCTTCCAAAATATATGATACGAGCTGGAATACATACATACATACACATACATTACAATATAATAAAACTATTTTTTTTTTTTAGATTATCACTGTTTATTAATTAATAATAATTAACTGTTTATGAGTTATATAACAATTAATCACACTACACTCATAAAAAAAATTAAACATAATATAAAGACTGGAAATTCTCCAAAATATTAATTGAAAGTAAATTGAAATTTACATGTATACTATTAAAAACTATATACTATACATATTAAGTTATAATATATACTATAGTAAATACTAAATTAAGACTATTTTATAGAATTGAAATACAATTGTGGATTTTTTTTAAATAAACAGGATGCATTTTTTGTCATATAATATAAATGCTTTAATCAAACATAATTGAAAATTTTATATAATTATAAATTTGTGATAAATTAAGTAAATAATTTAAATAAAGGAACAACTACTGATTTTTTGAATGCATATGTGAAAATATCTAACTTAATAGCTTTATTAAATGTAATTGCCAATAGTTTTGAAATAGAGGAAAAAGTCATTTTTGATACCTATTTGATAAATTGTTTTCATAAAAGGAGGATGATCCATAATTTTAAAAATACATTTTGCAATTTCATTAAATGTAATAGGAGTAAAATATATACTTTCATCAACAGAACATTCCTTAATAAGATGCTGAAATTTTTCTTTAAATAATTTTTATTTGAAAAATGATCAGAGATATTGTTCCCTACTGTGGAAAAAGAATCATTAAAAATATTAGGAATAAGTTTATTATCAGTAGTCTTAGTACCCCCATTGTTTATTAATGAATGTACTACATTTTTAGAATTATTTGATGTGTAATTAGTGATATATTTAATTGTTCTCCAAAGCTTTTTAACATTGTTTTTATTATTACATATTTTATTTTGATAATAAATATGTTTAGCTTTTTTAATTAAAATATTAAATAAATTTCTGTATTTGTTATATTTTTAAATTAATGTAATATTATTTTAATTTTTTGAGCATACTTTTTTTCCCTATATCTAATAGAAAAAATAATTCCTTTTGTTACCCATGGTTTTAATTTATGGTTATAACAGTTGAATTTTTTAAAAATTTTTTTAGTAAACTTAATTATACATAAATCAATTAAATTTAAAAAATTTGTAACATCATTATTACTTAATACAATATTCCAATATAAAATATTAATACTTAGATTTAATTTATCAAAATCAATAACAGGTAGGTATAACTTTACTAATATTATCATTATTACTAGTATTTCTAGACTGAAAATAATATTTAAGTTAATATATAAGAATATACTAAAATGATCTGTAATTGAAGAAAGAAAAACATGAATGAATATTATTTGGTAAGATTCTCTTAACGAAAAATTAATCTATGCACGAAGCAGAAGTATTAGATTGTCTAGTTACATACGTCGTGCGAAGTGTGACCGTTTTTGTTTTAGTGCTCAATCTTAAAATGCCAAAAAAAAAGATCTAATCTTGGACGTTCTTCAAATGATGCTAATAGGAAACGTTCAGCTAGAAAGAATTTAATTTAAACTAAATTTTTTTTCCGCTTTTCCACAGTTTTTTTATTCGATTGTTCCAATTTGATGTAAAAACTCCTGGAATATCAAAAAAACCTCTCTAAAGTACTTCTTCAATCGGATTTATTTTTAGAAAAATTGCCATCATTATAAATTGGAGCGAAATTGCTAGTAGAAAAGTTTTACACAAAAAAAGAAAAAAATACATCTTTATAAAACCATAAGCTTCTTCGCTTCACTCAGAATCTAAAAAAAAAGATTTGTAAGTATTAAATGATATAGATAAAATAATACAAAGACGAAATAATTTTTTTTCTAATTTAGTGTTATCGTTCAAACTGAGGGAAATATCGTTTTTTTTGTGCATAGAGTCCCGAGCCCTAGGTAATTATGATTATCAAATGTCTATGGCTAATTGTATATTTTTGTAAGTAGTTTAATTTTTCTGTTGTTGTCTTATAAGGAATTTAATATTTCTAATATTTTTAAACTATGAGTAATGTTATTTGAAAAATATCATCTACTCATAAATATATAATTCGTATTAATTATTTGAAACGGCTGTATAATAGTTGAACAATATAGAAACACAATAGTAAAGATTTATCGTTTATTAAATCAAACAAAAAGTAACATAATAGTTCTAAAAAAGAAAAAAATTAATTCCTTCAATGAGGTGAAAGGTATATAACAAAATTAAAAAAAAAAAACACAGCCCGGTGGGTCAAACATCATAAGGGTATACATCGCCTTCGTCGCCACTGGAAATCAATATGTGGTCGTCGTCACTGGAAATCAATATGTGGTCGTCGTCACTGGAAATCAATATGTGGTCGTCGTCACTGGAAATCANCAAACGTTTAATTGTTTAATTTCATACTTACCTACGGTACAAAATATTTAACTAACTTTTCAAAAATATAGGTAATTATACATTTGGTAAAGTTTTTGACTGTTTTTTTTTTTTTTTTTAACAGTTTTTTAAAAATCAAACATCATTATTAGTTTTGATACTATCAAAGATATTCAGTACTCACGTTGGTGACATTGGGGTGTATGATGAAGATGCTAAGTCGTACGGCCAATATGCCATACTGTACGAACTTGGCAACATACTATTATACAAAGATGGCGCATTAAAGCCTGTACTTTGGGGGCCCGGAACATTTATAGGATTCTCCAGATGTCTTTCGCTTGTCGGGTACAAGCTAAATAATATTTAATAATATTTACATATTAGTTTTCAATTATGTTAATGCAAAACTGGTTAAGACCAAATCAGAAAGATCACAAAATTTACACAGTCTACACCGATTTTTTTTTTCTTTAAAAATGTCAAACAATATTAGTTACGATATGGTCAAAGATACTCGTACTTACAGCGGTGATGACGAACTACTGTAAGCACTGTCGTCGTCGAAATCGCCGTCTGTCAGATCGCTAGCTGACATGAGTAGTTCGTATAACGAACGTCCAGTACTCAGATCCGGTGGCGGTGACGCATAACGAAGGCTGTGCGAATAATATTAATTTTTGTTTTTTTAATATAAAACAATATTAGTTACGATTCGGTCAAAGATACTTACGACGGTGACATCAGACTAACTGTTTCGTCGTCGGTTTCATCATCGGCTTCATAACCGACATCATTTGCCGGATCACAGTTAATCAATATCTGTTCGTTGTACGAACTATGTATTGAACTCGCGTCCGTATCATTGTACGAATGTGACGCGTTTTGGCTGTACCTATGTGAATAATCATATTATTTACACCGATACTTACAAGTTATAATACTATCAAAGGTACTTACGACGGTGACGCCGATCTGTAGGTCGCAGAAGTTGGACTTCGCGATGGAGATACCGCTAATTCTGCACATTTCATTACACAGTTACAAAACGTGTTTTTAAGTATTATTAATTCAAAAACTACAATTATGCAATATTTCAAATGTATACACTTGTGAAAACAGTATTTAGTAACACTGCGTCCGTCGTGTACAACAGCGAACAAAAAAAATATCATAATAAAGAAGTACAGAAACTTACGTGGTTGCAGTTCTCCGTCACGCTTCGGACTTTTTTTGGATTGCTTTGAAGGCACGTTATCCGTCGGCGACGGCGACCGTTGCCTTTTTTTTTCAGTTGAATTATCAATAGAACTGCTATTGGCTCTCGTGGTACACCTTACGGTGACCGAGTAAACTACGGTTGTATTTGTATCCATATTGTTTAATGAAGAGAATCAAGAACACACGAATTAAAATACCAACAAATACTTATGCGCGAAAGGACCATCGATATTTAGTGAAATATATTATGTGTTTATTCGGTACGTGGAAAAAAATTACCTTAACGACCGAATATTGTCATAATAATAAATAACAACTGTTTTTTTCGGCCTAACACGGATATTAAAATTTGTTTTACTGTCTTAATACGTATATTTTTCTAATATTCTATTTATCATAATATATTTTCACACGAATAATGATACGTATCCTGACAAATAAATTAAATTTTACTAATATATTTGAACGTAACGATGAATGTCATTGATATGTAAATTGACGTATAAATAATATGATGTTGTAGTTTTTCATATATATATTTTTTTTTAATCTCAATTTCCTACCTACTTAAAATAATATTTTTATGAATCAAATAAAACTTAATACTGATACTGGGGATGGATGTGGCCATTATTGTAGATGGGTAGTGGGGAAAGTGGAATACATACATTTTTTAAATTTATACCTGTGATCAACAATAACCATCGTTATCTATGGATAACGAAAAACGATTCGACACATGTTACACAAGTATTGAAAAGCTGTAATAATTATGATTTTAATCAAAATGACCTCCCCAATGCACACGCGAGAGAAAATTGCCTTTCAGAAAAAAATGATATAGTCTATAGTTCGGAGCAAGTTGTCTGGTAAATAAAAAGTTTTTCATAGACACAAAAAATACAAATGTAAAAAACACACACAACATAGTAAAACCCATAGTTCCCCAGCTATGCCCCGAAACTAAAAAGATAAACTTAATGATACGACGTATACGCAGTAACGTCTCTCGTGTTTAATAAAACCAAAAAACAAAACAAATCCTTTATAGGTATAATTAAAATCATACAAAGACGAAATAATTTGTTTTCTAATTTAACGCTATCGTTCAAACTGAGAGAAAAATGTGTAAAAATAATCGATCGAAATCAATGAACACGAGCACTTCTAAATTTCATATTCGAAATCGTTATATTCTGTAAAAATTTAACACGTGCTAACGCGATTCTATAAGAATTTCAGTTATGTTTTAAGGGATACACTTACTTCTTCCCGGGTGATGATATCAAACATAACCTCCAAAAAAAAAAAACAGTACAGACTAATAAAATTTGAAGTCTGTACGAATTTAGTGCCGACGAATTGACGGCATTAATACACAAATAAAATCCAAATCCAACAAAAATATTTAAATAATTAATAACTTTTAGATTACTACTGTTTAAGATATCAATATTTAAATCACCACAAATAATATGATGTTTACAATTTGAACATTGTGTTAAATAATTATTTAAAGAAGATAAAAGAGCATTAAGGGCAATATATAACAGCCAGCAATAATATACTTAATACCATTAATATCAAAAATTACCTCAATGGAAATAAACTTAGACATGAAATTAGAAAAAATATTTGTAACTTGATTCCTGTTCTTAACGAAAATAGTAACACCATCTGTCTTATTATTTACACCAAGTGAATTGAAGGATTGATAACCATTAATAATACAATTCGCATCATCTAAAAGACAAAATTATGTAAAACAATAACATCAAAATTAATCATTGTAGTACTTAATAATACCAACAATTCATCAAAATGGCACTTAATACCATTTATATTCATAGAAAATATGGATAAATTATTATTAGCAATATTAAGAGTATTTAAATCATTAATTTTTAATGATGCAAATTAATTAACCTGATTAATGTCCATTACACAAAAATTAATATCATTGTTCATAAAATTTATCTAGAGAAAATATAATAAACAAAATTGCATAAAGAAAAAGTTTATATTAATTTAAATACTTACCTATTTGAATAATTATAAAGACAAGATATCAGCTTTAGAACAAATTTTTTTAATCATTGATTTATCATCTTCCGGACTAGAATATTGGTAATACTTACCCAAATGTATTTATATTCTTTTTATTTAGCTAAAACTCTTACTTTCCCATAAAGTTGCCTTCTATACTTAGCTATACTAAGTAAGACATACATTATTATACAGATGTTTTATCTTTAGCCACTTTGAGTTAATTTCAGAGAGAACAAGAGACTTTGTTTTTACAACTCGTAACTAAATACAATTATTAATTAGAATTATCTTCTGTTGAACTTATTTGCTTTGACTTGGACAATTTATTTTTTTTTTCTGTTGGCTTTATCCTTCAAAAGAATCTGTAAAAATTATTTAATTAAAACATCCTAACATTAGTGAGACAATTATTGTTGTTTAACTATAATTACATTCTAGTCTTTTCCTGCTACCAGTAGTAGAAGGTGTTTCATCAAAATCGTTATTATGTGCCATATCATTGATTATTATTTTTTAATTGAAATGAGGATCACTATCAACAGGTCCTAAAATTTAAAAAATAATTTTAATTATTATTTAATAAATAATTAATTTAATAAAAATATAATATATATATAGGTACTCAACAATAAATCTGATGAATTATGTTTTCTTGTACATGGTACATGTTTTATCAGAATCATCTACGTTACTACTACTATGACTATTACCTATTTCTGATTTCTACAAATATTTTTCAACATTTTAAAGTTTATACAGTTTAATTATTTAAACCTTAATACCTTCATCAATTATTTGATGATCACTGCTATTAGGTTTATTTTCAGTTTGATTATTATCATAGGTATGTTTCAATACATACTTTTGATATTATTTATAATACAGTATATAATATAAATAAAGAACATTGACGTATAGTTTATTATACAATAAGTATGTTTAATTTAAAGTCATAAAAATCTTAACTATAAAAAACTATAGTAAACTAGTATCCATTATTTATCTTTGCTATTTTTATTAGCACTAGGTAAAAACCTACATGATGCTTTATTATGATATTGTATTATCTTTGACTGGGTCGGAAAGGCTGTTGTTTTGAATTTGGTAGTCTTTGTTATTTATATTATCTCCTACAACAATCTAATTTAACTTTGAAACATTAAACAAATCAATAAACAATTATTAGATAAATAGATTTTACCTTTCTTTTATATAGGCGGAAAATTAAAGATTGATGATTGGTCCTTGTAATGTGCAGATTTATGACTAACTCATAAAATGATCTAAAATTCATTAAAAATCATATTGTTTACTACCTAGATTAGTATACATATTATGTTTCACGAAAACATTAATATTAGATATAATGCATTTTCTTATAGAGTTATAGGTCAGTGGTTTTCAACCTTTTTGCTACTACCTGAAAGAGTGTTTAGAAGTCATCCTATATAAACTTTAATTTAGAAAAAAACATTCCACGTTCCTCTGGAATAAAGTGAAAAACGATATTTATAAAAATAAATATTATGACAAGTGTTGATGGTTGTAAAGAAAATGTTTCTGCTTTGATATGATACTCACCGTGATAAATTATTCAATTAACTAATTTAATAATTTTTAAATATTTAGGTATAAGAATGTTCCATGAAATCAGAAAAAAAAATGAACAATTAAAAATTAGATCAAAATTCACAACAATAATATTTGTTTGTAAAAACCAGTAATGTTTTTCTAAATGACTTATGAAATAATTATTAACTATTATTTATTTTATTTTTATTTAATATAATTTTACTAATAGAAAACAATTAATGTATTTTTACTTTTTAAATTGCTCTGTAATCACTAATAACTTATCACTTATCACTATTTATGTTACCAAAAGCCATAATCGGATATAATCATTGTGATAACATATATTTTTCACTTCAGGCACACGTCAAACAACCTCATGTCCTATCCATCCATGTATATATTATCTATGTTGGTTTGGTTTTTTAAGTAGTTACTTAATGACAATTTTTTTTAATTCCTGAGTAAGCATTTTATAACATTAACAGACATTTCACTACAAACAACGGGCCGTCTGTAGTATAACTATAATATTATGACGAGTACCGATAATCTAGACTTTGATTATAGAGAATCTATAATCAAAAGCCGTAAATTCGTAACTGTCGCCGATTTTAAATTATTATGATTAAGTATCAGCTTTAAATATCGATAACTTTGATGTTAGAAATTCGTAGAAGAAACGTGTCTGCAGTGTCAATACAAATATAATACAAAAGTAACTTGTAAGTTTTGAGTTTCGAGGTTGAACAAATTGTCGCAGTTAGAACCTATTAGGTACTTACCTTATCGGTACTATCCCAGTTTATATAGGTAATATTATTTTTCCTGTCGTGGTTTACACACCTACCTAGAGACTTTTAGAAAACGGTAAATTGTGTTGTACCTAGTCTATCGGTATAGGTTTTATTTTGATATGTAATTTTTTCTTTCTACAACGAACAAGTTTTGGACTAGGTTTCAATACTGGTTTCAATCGACAACTTCAAAGGAAATGTTCCGTAGAAAATGCTGCCTATAGTTGATGCATCGTGCCACTTGGGTTAGGTTAGGTATTATGATATAATCTTCTTCGCGATGTGTCTATAAGTAACTGGATAAATTAAGAGAAAAAACTTAAAGAAAAACTACATTTAGGCGATATTTGAGCTATTTATACACAATTGATATTTTCGAATTATACCTCTCCTAGCCCCTTAGCTCTTCTTACCTCCACTTTTTTACGCACATTAAAATCCTAAAATGCTCTAAAAAAGTGATATAAACAATGTTCAACCAATTCAAAATTAAATGTTTATTCTAATTCAAAAGTACATCATAAAACGAATTTGTAGTAATACGCGCAACAGGCTTTGGAAAACAAAGTGTATTGAAATCCGAGCCCCAACTACAAGTACGTGAGTTTACTCCAAAATATAAGGAGAAATTTACATTTAAAAAATTTTATTAACAACAGTAAAAATATAAATCATTCATGTGTGATGAACATGAAAACGTATAATTGTTATTGTAGTAAGTATAATGTAAACACTAAGCAAACAAAAAAAAGTAACAAAAAATTTCAAAATGTGACAGAGTCAAAAACTTTTCCAATAACGCAGTGGTTAACGATTGCACCAACTCGATAGATGGCTTTTGACATTTAACCATTATCTTAAGTAGTAACAGTAAGGTCGACGTCATACCGAGTAGCCCTGAAAAATACAGTTGTGAAAATTTGAAATTAATCGTATAAAATTTCGACAATTTTAAACTGTTTACGTCGATTTAAACTTTGTTTAGATATGCATTGGCAGTGATCACGCGATTTCCTTTTCGCTTCATTATTAGCAATAATTCATATTTTAGACTATTCGCACGACGATTTTGACGCATCATTGTTGCAGGTATCAAATTCTGGTTCTGGACAAGAAGTTTTTCAGGGTGTTTCCGGTTTGTTTCCACCCGATTCAGAAGACAAATCGCTCCGAATAAGGTAAAACGATGATTCGTCGTCGGGCTTGGTCAAAGACGGATCACTTTAACGGATTTTTCGACACTGCAGCTACTGTCTGATAATCGTGTGTAATCCGATTGAGGCCGATGGATTTTCGTAGTCCTGTTAAACCTGCGTATAATAATAATATTTGTAATTACCTTTACGGTGAGCTGAATAAATTAACGAACGAGTGTTTTAATAATATCACGAATGCCTAGGCCGGCACACCCATTATGTACGCGAGAAACTTACTTTTTCCTCAAGCCGCCCGGAATATTAATATACTTCCAACCGTACGACACGCAGGACCCGTGCGAGGGATTTTTACGACGGTTTTCGGGCCCTTAATTCTGACAAAGCTAAAACAACGCAATATGAAAACTGTATATAGTTGACTAAACAATTTGTGAAAAAAAAAAAAATTATATTTTCAATAGTTCTGCACGTCTATAATAATAACAATATTATTTATCGCAAACGAAAAACGCTATAATAATGTGCCTAAACGAAAAACTTACTTTTCCTAAGTCCGCCTTTAATGTCGTAACATAGCCATTTCGGTTTAGAGGCATGTGCGCGTTTAACCGAATTTTCGGAGTTTTCACCGCGTCCCCACGGCTACGATAGCGACACTCAGAATCTGTCTCGTGTTGATGGACCGTCGCCGACGAACCGTCAATTTCCACAGTTTGGGAAACGCTGGTTTAGGTTATAAACTCGTAACACGTAAAATTAAAATTCGAATTTTTTTTTCGCATATTCAGACGAGTTTCAACAAAAACGCGTAATTAAAAATTTTATACATATTTCGCGAATTTCAGTGATATAAATGTAAAAAAAAAAAAATGTGTATTCGATGTAATATTAAAGATGTTAAAACGATTTAAAAGAGTAGATACATCTGAAAATCTAGAGATGATTTAATATTCTATAAATACGCGATATGCCCGGTAACAAGTTTTTCTCGGTTCAAGAACACAATATCGGCGAACATTCAATGTAGACAATTTAAAAAAAAAAAAAAAAACGACGCAGCAATAATTTATCATCGCGTGAAAAAAAAAGCCTGTTTAAAAATACGTTCAGTATAAAATATATATTTTGTTTTTGTTTTCGGTATAGTACTGAGATTTAAGGAATAAATTATTGTTTGAATAAAGTTCGATTGAATTTACGTGTGTTTTACAATAAATAATTACGTGCGATGTATATTGTATACAATAAATACTTAATTTTTTAAATAAATCAATTTTACATAAATCTCAATTTTTTACTCACATTTTTGATATTTTTTTTCCCACGCATAACAGCGAGCGTATTTTGCAAATTTTACCACGTATCACATCTTGTCCCTACATATGAATTTACAAACGTCATCTAGACAAAATACCATAAAATAATGTTATTATTAATAAAACTTTATGCACTGGGGTGATACGTACAAGTAGATAATAATTATCATACGATACATAATACAGAGTGTCTCTCGAATATATACCCATTGTAATATTATCTCCGGAGGTAATAAAGATAAACAAATTCTGGTTTTTTTTTTTTTTTTTATTGGTCATAGGGACTCATAAGGACTACAAATATTTGTATTGTCATTAATTTTTTACGCTTTGATAAAAACTTAAAACAACAACTTTTTATTTTATATTTTTTGAAAAATGTATAGTAATTTTATAGAATTTATTTTTCTGAAAATTTGTATATATCAACATTTTATTGTCATTGAATTCGTGATTTTTAATAATTTTTTAAAGTTCCGAGAAAAAATGTATTATTATTATTACGATTAATTTACTGTATGTACACTTCTTTTCTCTGAACTTTAAACAATATTACTAAAAATCATGAATTTAACGACAGTAAAAAGTTGATACGTAAACATTTTCAGAAGAATAAACTCTATAAAATGGCTATCTTTAAATTTTTCAAAAATAACAAAATAAAAAAAGTTATTTTATTAAATTTGCTATCAAAGCATCAACAATTTATTGCAATATAAATATTTGCGGTCCTTATCTTAGTGAGTAGTATAAACAAAAACAAAGAATTTGATTATCCGTGTTATCTCCGGAGATATAACAATGGGTATACTTTCGTGGGACTACATCCTGTACAACCGACCCGCTATTATTATACACAATAAAATATGCACGCATGCCGACGGCGACATCCCGAACGAGACGGGAAGGGAACCCGCATTACGAAACCGGGCGATTTTATTCACGGGCTTTGAATTCACCGCGCTAACATTCTAAACCGATTGACATTCGAATTTCAATCGGTACGGATGTACCGACAACAATAATTATCATATCCGGTAAGTATACGCGCGCGATTATTCTATATACGAAAACTAATAGCCAGGTGACGCCGATATGGTTTAAAAATACTCGGACAATATTAAAAAAATAATACACAGATCATGTTACATAATTCGTAGTACTATTTTTCATGGCTATATTTTTTTACAAATACCACTCGTACTATGCGTACATATCTCAACCATCGGTACCGTCCGGTCGCCTAGTACCGCGCGCGGGATTTTTTTTCGGGAGAAGTTTTGTTGATAATAATTTTCTGCAGAGGGGATAGCAAATTATATTATCAGTATTTATTATTACCTACTTTATTATTTATTTATTTACCTATTAATTATTTTTACTGATCTATAAAAGGGTATAAAGGATTGGGGCATTAGGGGTACACGATCATTTTTACTATATCTAAGAGGTCTGCCGAAGAACAAGTTTGGAGAACTCTACCTAAACTTTACCTTATTGTCCCTACAGTACTATGGAGTAGGCCTATGGTCTATCCGGATAATTTCGGGTAGGTATTGAATTTGGATTTTGGAAACAATAGTTTTAATTAATATACCTATTTAGTATTCTCGAATTTAAAATCAGTGACTATTCCCTTGTTTGTTTCCCGGACCGTTCAAATTTCGTGAACATACGTCTACACGTAATCATTGTCATTATTACACGCTAACAACGTATAACATATTTCAATGTAATATTATCATAAACGAAAATAGGAATGGAAGGGCTTAACCCTCCCTGAGCCATTTCAAGCCATACCAATAATATTTAAATGGATGTATTCTTATTGCATATACTCTAAAATCTATTTAACTCTATGTTTTTTTTAAACTCTATTCACGCCTACGAATATATGCACATTCGAATATTTTTCTATTGTAGATCCCGACAGTTATAATGCATGGCATTGGAAGAAACTGGGCAAAGATCTTCCGTTTCCTTCACAAGTAGATAGTATGATTGCCATGTTTTTCAGGTACTAACCCTACAATCCGCGTTTGAGTCCTTATATATCTGTATAATACAATAACCGTTTTATTTTTATAATTTATTTAATTAATTTTTTTTTAGATTAAGACCAACGTTTTACTTATTTTTTACCAAACATTTTTTGTTGTTTCCTTAACCAATTTTTTTTTTTATTAATAATGATGTAATAAATATTCTTATTCGCATTAATGCTATATTTTGCTATATAATACTATGTACGCTATATTTTGTTGTCGACTCGTGTCGTTGAACGAAACAATGCAAAAGAACAATAGTTGAATAGTTAATAATATTACTAATATTATAACATTCAAATTACTCTAGAATGTATGGACAAAAGTTAACATTATCGAATAGTAAACGTTTAATAAATTTCACTTAATAAAAAAAAAATCATTTACGAACAAAAGTGATTTTAATAAATTGATTCAGTTTATGTTTCATAACTCTTATTTTAATAAATATAATTATATCATTAAAATGATATTTCATAGCGTTTTATTAAATTGTATATAAAACTGTCCCGGAAAAAATGTTAATCGTTTTATTTTATTGGTCATCTTGGTGACACACGGTTGGAAAAAACAGTTAGTACTATAGTTGATTCGGTTGTCATCGGCAAGGAAGTACTTATTAAAAAAAAAAAATTACCGGGAAATAAACGTTAAACTATGATAGAGACGGGAGTGGAAATGGGGAAACAATATATTGTGTTTAATTTTTGTTCAACACTGCACTCAGGTTAAGCCGTACGGAACAGCAGGCTAGTTGGATAAAAAAATGACATGTCAGACACTGCGAGTTCGATTAATTACAAAAATTTGTATTTTTTTTTATTGTTGTAACTTACCTACAGCTTTAATTAAAACGAGAAAAATCTCGAAGGGACGTACGAAGGATTTGCCAAAAATTAAAGAGCGTCCCCGAGAAATAAACCTGATTAAACTTTTAAAAAATCTATTATGGAGACAAAACTTTCAAAAAGTTTTTCTCTCACCCGAATTTGTTCATAAAAATGTTATACTAATAAGGTTTAAAAACGAACTGCCTCCCTCCCTTCAAATATTATCCTATGCATATCCTATGCCTGCTAAGTAAAAAATAAAGTAAAGCACAGTATAGTTACGTATAAAATCTATAATAGGTAATAAAGATTTACTGATCATTTTACTTTAAATAAGAAGAGAACTTACCTTTATATAATATTATCTGTAGTTTAGCCAGGATTTTGGTTAAAATCCTGGAGGGGAGAAAAGGCTTAATACATTTTTGCTTGATACATGGGTGTAAATAAGAAGAGTTTAGGATGTTGGAACCCTCTCCCACTAAACAAATTTAGAAAAGTGTTTTAAAATATATATAATATTACAATATATATTAAAATTATAATATGTGTGTGATGTTGTGTTTGTGTATATGATAAGATAAAGTAAAGAAAAGCGTCACGTGTTTTATGCGATATTCCAGAGAAATATCTAAGTATTGTTTAATAAAAGATAGGTTGAATCTACAAACTGTTAATTTACGGTCAAAAACTACTCGTATTTATTGATATTACTAGGCAATTTAGGTTATATTAACCAATATTTGTATTAATTTTATTATAGGTAAAATTAATCAAATAATTGTTAATATTATTAACCACGGTCATCACATAAAAATAAACAGAGGCGGAAAGAGGAGAAAAGAAGATTTAAAATGAGTTAGTTGGAATGGTGGATGCAATTGAAAATAACATGAGGACACTCAAGGACAGCCAACGTGTGTGAAGTGTGAAGTCGGGTCAAGTGGAAGTTTAGGACGAGGATTACAGACTCCATTTCGATTTTTGTCCTTCGTTCATTTGCTTCGCTTCCTCTGGAGTCTAAACGAAGCAATTTTAAATCAAATAAAGTAGTAATTAGTATTCAAATACTATAAATTTAATTTCAGGTATAGAAATTACGTACCGTTATTATTTATCCTTATCGTTTTTTTTCTTATAATTTTCGACCAGGTATCCCCTACCCATCTTATTTACCCGGCAGTGGCAGTCCGCGGTAACCGCCATGTTATAATCAGACACGGGGATAAAAAAAAAAAATGCTTCGCACTTTGTTATGCTCGTCACGACTTATGAGCATTTATTATAATATATCATATCCGCTGGTATTAGGTTTCAGACTGTTATAAACTATTGGCCCCCCTCCCATCCCCCGAAAAAAAATTTAAAAACGCTATCAGATAGAAGGGTATCCATTTCGGGTGTGTCAATGGTTTGTCAATGTTTTCTCTTGTAGCAGTAAGTAACAGTAGTATCCCGTAAAAAAGAAGAAGAAAACCACTGTTTGAATTTCAAATAGGTGTATAAAAATAATTACGTAATAGTCGTAATACTCGTAATAGTATACTGTATAGCCTATAAATCTTATTTGTTTTTTTTTCGGTCGCGTTCTAGAGATATCAGTTACATATACAGTGAGGGGGAGCGGTATACTATCGGAATAACAAGTACACTTTAAATATTAGTGAAACAGTTCAAACAATTTTTTTGTGTGGTTTTTTTTTAAAAAATTGTATTTGATCTATTATCGCAACAATAAAAATAAATATTTCGACATCGATCCCATATATTTATTTCCGAATAATTACTAATATTTCCCTCTATGTAACCGAGTATATCACATTTACTTATATCATTTTCTAAAAAAAGAAGCTTAGTAATAATAATACACCAAAAGCAAAACAAAAAAAAACTGTTTACATATCGAAATGTTATTATTGATTCAAATGTCGGATTACAAAATATTATTATGTACCCTGCGTATTTTCGTGTTTATTTTTCTTGTATAACCGCAGTGTACAATATTATTGTGACGCCACATGTGTTCTGTCTTATTTGCTACGGGCATATAGTATAATGTACGGAAATAAATTAATTTTACTTATTACGTATTTATTTGTTCTCTAAATATAATAACAATACTGTATTGTAAAAGGGAGTTCAAAATATTTTGCCCATCTTTAGGCTTTTAGCGACCATTCGTAAAAACACATTTTTTTTTTTACAAAGCTCTGGTATTTCGAGCTGTACATTTCGGGCTCTAAGACAAATTATTCGGATTTATATTTAATCCCCCAAATATTATTTGCTAGGTTTCCTAAGAGAGCGGTGTCCTAAGAGATTCGTTGTGCGATGAGCGCCTTTATGGCCGTTATCTTGCTACGGAGGGTGCGTTTCAAATTTTAGTGCGTCTCCATCTACATTACAACGATGAAAAATGCAGGCAATACTTTAGTTTAGCACAATTACTGTTTGATTATATACTGAATTATATAAGACATAACCTAACTTCTAAACCATTCTGGCGTAATGAACTCATTAACGTTTTGGCATTAACACCACACTCCTATCACTAAATCCCGTCGAGATATACTCGATTCAAAAATAAGAAAGGGGGGGAACTTTTACTATGAAGTGCCCTTAATAGCCGTATGTGCAATAGTGAAGATTACACTAGTGTACGTAGAAAAATAATCAAGATACAGCGCTAGGTTTCAAACGAAAAAAAAACATTGGCGGCGAAACGTTGGTGGCGATGTGCTGGTGTTTGAAAATCAACTGCTCAAAAATTAGGTAGGTAGTCTAGTTGATAGGGCATTAGGTTAGAGTAGACAGGGTCTCGGGTTCATGACCCGACTTTGGCAGTGTACAAGATTCTGTTTTTTTGCATTTTTTTCTTAATAAAAAAAGCCAAGAAATTAGGTTACTAGAATTTAATTTTGCGGCTTTTCATTTTTATCCAGTCTTCAATAAATGTTAAATCATACTATAATTGATCATATGTTAACATTAATTTAAAGTTTGAGATTGAATTTCCAATATTAATTTAGTATTGAATTAATATTATGATGCTATGTAGGTGCAACCCTTAATCCACTTGATTCACTTTCATCTAATAATGGGGGATGCCAGGCGCTTGAAGCTATAGATTCTTTTAAGAACCTGTGTATGAGAAAAAGATGGACAGACTTTGCACGATTGGTGGCCCACTGTTTTAGGTGAGAAGTTGTGAAGGTAGGAATTTAATTTATATCATCTGTACGCAACGATAAACCATTTATAATGAAAAACGATTCTGAGATAAGTTTCTTTTATATATGTACGAAAATGTTCCCATTATTCCTACGTTTTATCCAGTTTTTCTCAATTGTTATGAAAACCACTTGAAAAAAAAAATTACCTCGGTACGCTCAGAATCTAAAATGAAGATGATATCTAAAAAAAAATAGATTCTGAAAAGTGATGTATCTGTACCTTTATTATACCCTGTAAATACATTACTGGCCTATTGCACAAACTTCATATACTAATAATAATATTATTATCAATTGGAAATTTAAAAGATAATAACTAAAACAAAATCGGGTGTGGGGGAGAGTAGTGTGATGTTATTCAAACTCCACGCGTGGTACCATTATTCTAATACTACCCAAACTTAAGTAATTAAATATCTCGTTAACTGGTCGACGGAAATTAAAAATTTTTACACCAAAATTATTTAAACTAAAACTTCGTCTAAGTATGGAATATTTTTAGAATGAAAATTAAAAGTACGTGATGGTTTCACCTCTTAAAATGAGCACGACAACAAAATAAAGGTAATGTAACAATTTAGAGCTATTTATTTTTTTAAATGTTACAAAAAAACCGAATCTCAACTAAAAAGTAATCATTTCTGAGATAATGAAGTATCTTACGTTATGTTGATCACCTTATGTACATAAGATGCGTACTACTTTTCGATGTATGCATCAATGGTTCTAATGTAATTTTCACTGAAATAAAGATATGCAATCAATTAATGCTCTTGAAGAGCTGTTAAGTAAGGGAAGAATACGAGAATAACATTATTTTAAATAACGATTATTATATTATAGAGGATTGTATTGTTTCTTTTGAAAATAAAATTTGCATCTGGCATATTTCAAAATTAACTAGGTTACCTATATATTATTATGATTTAATGTTGACTGGTATAAATACGCGAAAAGCGAGTAGATAGGAGGAAGTCATTTTTCAAATCGATGAAACCCTACGCCTATAGAATTGTTGACTTTCTATTAATACGTTCACGTCATTTCTTCACCTACCTACTGAACTTTCAAATTTTAGTAGAACGAAAAACAAAAAAAATAAAACTATTACGAAAATAATACAAAACATTATGTATACTTCAACTTCAATAAAAAAACAATTATGATTATTATTTACCCATTTATAGAACACGCGTATTCACGTAAATTATTATGACGTATCGACGTCGAATTCAAATTCGATTTATTTATAAATGCAAGAATGGAAAATATTTTTGTTGATATCCCAAAATCGAGAGCGTTCACTGGACCCAAAATCATATTTAGGACTTGTCTGGACCGCAAGTCCGCAAGTCTTCATAATTTTTGTTGTATACAGTCATAATACAGTCACCAATAAAATGGCTAAAAAGTAAAAGTTCAACAGAATGATCTAGAATATTATTTTAAAATAAGTATAAAATTATAATTATAATTGGCAGGTAATTAAAAATGCGTTATTGAAATAAAATATTGTTTATAAAACAATATGTTTTGATTTTGAAGTTTTGGGCATAAATTAGAATAAGTGTTCCTGAATAAAAATGTATTTAAAACCTTTGTTTGGTTTTTGATTCAGTCATTCATTGATTTAAACTAAAACCAGATTTTTGAGGTGGTGCCTGTATAGAAATTCCTGATGAGATACTTTGAAGTCATTCCGACACTGATTAAGAGATCTATTAAGTTTACCTAACCATTCCAGAGACGTATTTAGGTATTTTGCACCCCAGATAAGAAAAACATGCGGAGGGGGCGTGGGGGTCCAACCCCATCCTAAATTTCTTCAGCAATATACATATTTGTAAAAAAAAAACACATTATGTTAAAATCGTTTCATCCTTCGGTACATTTAAAATTAAAAAAAAAAAAATACTTTGATACACGCAAATGCTATTAATTAATTACAATGTATAATAATTACATTTGAATGACGGAAATTGCAATCAAATTAATATTTACTTAGAGTTTTTTCATTGGAAAATGTGTCAATGATATCATCGTAATTTAATTTCTTTGTCACGTCTGACTCTTTGGTTAAAACAACTAAAGTATTTAATCTTTCATCAGTAGTTTTTGATCTCGAATAAGTCTTCATTCTTTTAGGACCGAAAAACACCTTTTTGAAGAATAGATAAAAATTAGGCAGGAATGAATAATTTTTAACGCAATTTCTACGTATGGGTATAAATCATGATAATTATTTTTAAATTAAAATTATGATTATTTATTAAGCATTATAATAAAATGATAATTATTACCAAATATTATACATTTAACGGTTTTTTGTTAGTTAGTAAAATAGCGATGATTTTAAATTTCTTATAATTCCGATATTCTATTGGAGTATATTAATTAAATATTTAGGTTTATTTGATTACTTAATAATATATAATTTGTACAATATATAAATTATACATATACATATAGTGTTAAGCGCTTATACTTCCCATTTACATACGATTTTAAAACCAGTTTTATACTTATGTTTATCGATAATCAGCTACTCGTGCGTTTCAAATTTACGATTAGATTTTATTTATTTGGCCTACGCCGAACGTGTTCAAAATTCAAAAAAATAAAACCAATATTCGGTTAATTTTAAATTATTTAAGTAGATACCTTCTAAAGCCACTGGGTAGGCAATTATATTTATGTATGAACAGTTGATGTCGAACAGCACGCGCAACGCAGTTGCACTGACATATGAAGGGGGGCAGGGGTACAGTATTTTCGTGTTTAAATGAATCACGTCCAATCACATCATATTATATGAATTCCGAATATAAGATACTCGATTATCAAAACATTTAATTTATTTCTCGTTTATTCAGTGACGTTCTCAGGGAGGGACACATGCCTTCACCGTACATGGCAACAACTATAAATGAATATGTATTTAGTAATTTTATTTCGAAACGAATATAATATGTTTCGGACCAAGTTGCAAGGAAAAGCTCGATTTATTGGATTCACAGTTATTATTATTGAATACGTCTCCATCTTTTAAAAATCCCTTGCAGCGTCACTGCTTACATTATATCACGAAGACAAAAGCCGTTTTTTCTTTCTTAATCCGTCTGATTACCATTATATCGTTTTGATTTATCAAATATGTACGTAAGCTCATAGCCCATAGACTATAATATAATCATCAATTATGTCATAATAGAGTGACAGTACGAAGTATTTTTTCTATAAAGCGGTTTAAATATATAATTGAATAAAAAAAACCTCATACAAACCACGTCCAGCAAAACCACATGCTCCGGCTAACAAGGTTACTAGACTTTCCTATACTACACCTTTCTCGTTGATATATTTAGTGAAAAAGTACAGCCACCTACCTTCGCACACCTATCATGAAGCAGCTGCTTTAAAGAATACTCATTCACGCCACCACCAGGGCTTAAAATTAAATATTTTATGTATATAGACAAATTTTCTATGAACTACTTATTTTTTCAATAAATGACTTATTAAAAACCTTGTAAAACTATTGTAATTCCATAATTTTATATACAATTGTTATAATAACATCGATTTACAATATTATTATCGATAGGTATTGGTACCTAGGTACACGCGTAAAATACATGTGTAGGTATTTCATAGGTAAGAATATATACCGAACGTAACACCTTCCTCCGAAAAAAAAAAAAAGGTTAAGTTTTCCTTAAGGGAAACATAAATCTTAATAGCATCGAGCTGTATAACACTCGTACAAAGTTGTCACAATAAAAATATAAGTTAGTGATATATTATATGTATAATAAACTTATCTTTTTATTTTACATTTTTTTTTTAATATTATTTATTTAATCTAATTATGTTAGTAATATATCATATAAATACAATAATATGATGTATATATGTGATGTATATTGTATACATATAAATTGTTATCAAACAAAGAAAAATGTTTAACTCCAAATTGTTGTCCAGCTATATTAGAAGGTAATTATCTATTTTATGAGTTTATTACTTTTACCAAAATAAATGGTATAGTTTGTATGCAATTTTTTTTAAATTTACTCTACTGTCCGAAATAAACTTGTTTGTCATTCAAATTTGTTATATTTAATGAAATATCGTTGGACTTGGTCATATTTTTCCAGTAAAATATTTATAATAGTATAAAAAGTATGATTCCGGAACCATTTATTTTCATTCAGTATTGATTAATTGGTTATATTGGGGTTAGCACAATGTCAATTGACCACTAAAATGTTGACCGGTCAAAAAAAAACTATAGTGAATAGTGATATATACCAAACATCGTTTTTTTTTATCATATTTGTTGAACATTTATCTTTTTAAATGATATATGAATATATCACACAATTATCAAAATTCACGATTATCATGTGTGATTTGTGATACAAATTCTTTCGTATTTGTTTTTGTTTGGACAAATAGAAACAGAAAACTTATGTTCCTGGTTTCTATATAAAACTCTATACAAATAATCAGATTTTTTTTCTACAATATTTATTATTTAGTGTTAAATATATTTTACTTACGACTTAAAAATTATTATTTAATAAGTAATTTTTAGAATTTTACGGTTCTCATTCTTTTTTTCCATTGAAATAAAACATGCTAACTTGAGACATAAAAAAAAGATTTTGACAATTTTGACTTGTCAAAATGTGGTCAATTGTCCATGTAAAATTTTGACCGGTCAAAAACCAAACCCTAGATTTATTATTATTCAAATTTATTAATACCATTTGATTCGCAAATAAAAACTTCAATAGTGAATCTCTATAACAGCCCTCATGAATTAATTCTCAATATCAAATCACGACAAGTCTAAAAAAATGTAAAAAAACGATATAATATATTATACCGGTTTAATAATAATTCTTCATAATAAATCTCATCAAATAACTCATATATTCTTCTTTCCAGTTCTAGAAACAAAATAACTCATAAAATTAAAAAATAATTCTTACAAATTTCGATTTCGATTCGACGCCGGCCTCTCCTATAAAATACACGTGAAAAACTCGTCATATAGACTGAATATATTATCGTTATTATATTATTATTATTTCATGTCTTTCAAAAATCGTTTGGCTCGACGAGTACGAGTATATAAGCGTATATACAATGACCTTTCTTTTAGAGCGATTTTTTTTTTTTAATAATTCGTGCCAACGATCGAGTCAGTCATATTATAATAAGATCATTTTATTTTTAAACGACTACTCACGACTCCGTATTCGCGCCACTCTAGCCGCGTGTACAGCGCGGCTGTTTACGCCGTCCGTTTCACGTATTATAATAATGAAAATAATATATCGTTTCGTCCCGAAAAGAACCTTCACTGTCGCGCGATTCTGTCGTGCTCCCGAGATTTCCGATGCTTTGGCAATCGTTGACCATCGTTCGGCGACCAGGGTGTGCCGACGAAAAAAAGCGCTTCCGGTGTTTTTTTTTTTTGTTCTGATAACCTTCAAATAACAACGATAAAATATCTCAAAAACGTTCGTCCGTTTGGCGCATCACAGCTCGCATAGTGGAACCGTCGAAGGGTTACATGATTTATCGTGATTGTTCATTTTTTTTTTTCATCGTAGTTTTTTCGAAATAAACATATTATAAAATATGCACACTAAAAATAAATGCGATTTAAAAACGTTTCAATAACTTTTCTACCAGAAATTTCGCTTCGATTTTTAAATGCAGCACCTTTTCCGAAAGAAAATTTTATGCGGGTGATACATTAGAGAGGTCATTTTTTTGATTTTCCGGTTTTCGTAATTTGATATAAATAATAAATAATACAAATTCTCTGTTGATACTAATTCAAATTTATTATTCACGTGAGTATAACACCAATTCGCGTTCATGTGTTTTTAGCATTTATTAATGTAGTACACGTACAAAAGTTAGACTCCCCTAGTTATTTTCGATTTTGCTTATTGGTATCCAGTTGAAAATAATTATAGTAATGACCCGAAATTGTCACCTAATACCTGTAATAGCATTTTTTATCAACATAAAACTGTTTTCAAAACATTTTTACGTTTTCGGGATGATTTATTGAAATTTAAGAGTTTTTATTCATTTTTAAGGTTAGGTTAGGTTTTTTTTGTGGAAAAAATTTGTTTGACTTTTCGAAAATAGTCGAACAATATTGGATCAAGTCCCATCGTCGTGGTCGTTCTCCTATGGTACTATAAAAATATCGAAAATCCGTAGTCACGATTTTTGTTTTCTTGTGTAGAGTATAAAATTTAAATATTGATGGAAATCGTCAAAATCAAGGCATTTCACGTACTATCTATTTCCGTATGAAACTTATTTGTCTCCATACAAACGTTCAACAATTTGAGACGAAAAAACACGGACAATTGCAGTATTAATTTCGTAGTTACAAATTAATATAATTTTCAAAATTATTAACAAAACATGTCTCACCGAACTTTGCACAAAATCATTTTTCATTAACAATGATTAACCGTTGCTTACAGATCGACAACAGGTTGTCATTTATATGATGATCAATGATAGCATTTTGAAGACCACCTAGTCGGCATTTCACAATAATCTAAACATTCGTCTTGTGTATCGATGGTACGAAATATCGTATTTTACACATTTTTTCACAGACTATTGTGATTTGTTTAGTAACTGATGTTTCGAAAAAAGTAAAAACGTCAACCCGGTTGTCTTCGAGTACCGTCATCGTAACCTACGCATTTTTACAATAGGTGTTTGGTCTCTAAAACTTATTTTAAAGGCCAATTCGTTTGTAGCACGTGAACAAAAATTTGTTCGCTATATTGACCGTTATAAAGACAGAGAGGACAAATGCTACTGTGACGGCTTTTTAACGTGTAACGCCAACGATTATTGACAATTTTTTTTTTTTATAAATATGACGTAAGTTTTATGCATCAGACAAATCAATATAAAGTACTTATACGTGAGTACCAAGAGCAATAATCACGATTTAGGTTGAATAATTATTCTATGCTTCTACGTCTATATTTACTCCGCGAGTATATTATGTATGGTAATAAATGTTAAATAGAAAATATTGCGTTTTGGGGCTGAAAACATAGGTATACACATATATTTATATTTGTTTTTTTTTCGTGGCGAAAAGAGTTGGCTGTACTGGCCGACCAATCGATATTTTCAATGTTTTTTCGTCTACGGACGACGCGAACTTACACTATGATGTATAGTATGACGCGTGTAATGCAATATAATATTATATTAGGTTTATAATATCGCGTATTTGTGTCGTTTATTCTAATATAGATAAGAACTTTGGAATTATCGATTCACATCGATTGGTTATGTAAGTAAGAATAATTTCTTTACATAATCTATGTAATTTTCGGCTTTTATCTGGCGATAAACAAAAATTTTTACAACGGTTTTTGTTGTTTTTTTTTTAGGGATTTGAAGCCCAATACTTTTGCAGATACACTTCATCAGGATAAGTAAGTAAGAGTATACATTTATAGAATTATTGATTTAGCGAATTTTGTAAAAAAAATTAGTTTTAAAATTAAAATTGCTTAAATGCCACATTTTATATTTCGCGTTTACAAAACGTATTATTATTTCGAATTAGTCTAAATATATGTTTAATTATGTAGGCAATAAGATTATCTTTGGTCTCGGGGAAGACAATGCTTGAGTCAATTTTGAATAGTTTTCAATACAAGTAAATTGAATTTTGAAAATTGCTAAATTTCTAAAAACGGCCTATCTTAATAACACCGTTTTAAGTGGCATATAATTAGCATTATAGCATTAGCATATAATGCTATAACCTTATTTATGCCTTATTCGCCAAAAATATAAGTATACATAGTAGGGATTTTTTTTAGATTTTTTGTCCAATACCATGTGTTAGAATACGCATACATGTATACCATTTAGATCAAACAATAAAGGGAAAAAACTATATTGTAACTAAATTGTAAAAAAAAAAATGCCAGCAATTGATCGGAACCAAAGATATAGTATAATGTGTGACGATATAAAATAATATAGTGTGTGCAAATGTATACAAATTAATGGAAAATTAAAATATTGCACATACGATCCCTAATCGGTAAATTGTTGGTAAATAATTATTCGCATGTACCGTGATAATAATAATTCGCTTTTTTAATCAGAAATGCTAATTATTTTTTATGTTTGTTCTTAAATTATATCATGGTTATACGTTAACTATTGATAAACTTGTTCAATTAAAATAAACAGTTTTTTGTCTTTTTTACACATATATGCAATAGAACAACAATATTTACGCGGGCATACGAAAAAACAATGCAATATGATTATCGCAATAATAATTCGAATACCTGCAACTTAAATGACAAAATATTTAGTAAACAAGAATAAATCGTTCCAACATATTTAGTGATTCGTTTAAACGTTGATTAATTTATAATGATTGTTTGGGAGTGGACTGTTAGAGATTTTTTTTTTTTATACATGTGTGTCGCCAACCTATAAATTGATACTAAAAAAGGTCAATTTTCGATTAAAAACACTAAAAACGTCAGTCACTCTTTAGTGGTTGAATGGAGGCGATAAAAAGTCTAGAAACATAGAGATTTTCCATTTAATCCACTCTTAATCCTGATCGAAATAAAATTGTGGATTCGTATACAAATTCAACATAAATGGAACTTGATTTAATATACGTACATATTATACTTTTAGATAATTTTTCAATGCTCAACAGTTTGATTTTTTTTTTTTTATTCGCGTTTAACACGGCATACGACGGCGGCTGAAGCCCCTTTCCTACCCCCGGGCACGCCACTGTACTATAATGAAAATCATTTGTACGATGTAATATATTTTGTAAGATAGGTGGTTTTTTTTTTCGATTTTGAGTATATGACGGATGGCGGTGTTGCAGATGTTACTATAACGTCTGCTTTTTTTTATTTCGTCCGTTTGCAACGTTTCTACCAGGTACATTATTGTTCAATATCAAAGGTATTCTCCGGTGTAGCGAATTGTATCTATATCTTTACAAGTACTCATCACTATAATTTATAAGTTACTATTAGGTACAATATATTATACAGAAATTGAACATGAATCAACAGTATATAGGTATTTGATTATATTATTATGGGTGAGTTTTTTTTAAAAACATTTTATCGTCGTACGGTCCAAGTCCTGTATACCTATGCTAAATACGCAACACAATAATTATATCGTAATAATATTATTATTATATGTTAACACACGCAGTAATTTTGAAGGTCGCCCGGTTGGTCGGTCGGTCATTATAATAATACAATATAGGTAGTAAAATATCGTATAATAGCAAAGCTGTGAGGTGACTTGTTCAATAACATTGTAATATCGGTTATTATTTAGTAAATTTATTTTCAAACGAATATACCTACCGTATTTAATTGAAATTGATTATGTTTTCCGTACGAATATGAATAAATATAAATAATTTTTTTTTTTTATATATATATAGAGACTATTATTGCACTGTATTGCGTGTCTATTATATAATTGTGTATCTTTTCCCGGTACATTCGGATACTTTTGGCGGTGCTCTTTAGAGGTCAAAAAGAGGTCAAACTCAAAAACGGGAATTACAGTTTATTGTAAAGGCGGATTGAAGTGATCAAATTTCGGTCGAATTTCAATATAAGCTCCACCTTGTTGTTGGAGAATGAGGGTGTTCTTTAGCCTTGTACGCCCCTGTAGACTCTCCAAATGAAGCCAGAGAAACAAAATGTTGTGTATGCACGGTTTAAATACAATATTGGATATACTTTTTGGTGTTTTCCATTTTCAACGTTCTCTAAGATCATGTTTTTTGGATTTTAAATAACTTTACACTCGTAAAAGTTGGTAACACGGTAAAAATGTGTGCATACATAAATATAATAATTGTTGTCGAGGATGTGCATTAAGGTTTGAACTTACAAAAATAACAGCGACCTTTTTCGGTTAAGAGATATGACGGATAATTTTCCTTGTTATTTTCGTTCGCAGCAGCTGTGGATCGTACAGGCATATATAATCTAATGTTACGCCACTGTCGGCAATATTATAAAAAAGGACAAATGTAATCAACATAATATAATGTTAATAGCCTGTTAGCGGTATGGCAATGATAATAACTAAAACGTTTTACAATGCATAATAGTAATTCCATTAACGAAAACTATAAAATATCATATTACTCGCCAAAAGACAAAAATTGTTAACACTAGAATGTCCACCGGATAATAATTTTTATGACCGATGAACTTGTGGTAAATTTATTTTTATACATTTTGGATTCCGAGTGTAGCGAGAGAGCTAGTGGTTTTACAATGCTGTTTAATTTTTTTCATTGTTCTAGTCTGTGGACACGTTTTTCATAGTAAACTTGCTTCGATTATTACGAACCGCAAATTTTCTGAAACATCAAGTTATCTAGATGGTGCTTTAAAAAAGTCAATTTTGATTTTCGAAGCTATTTTTTAAATAAAAGCACTTAAGTGGGAAAAAACGTAGGAAAGCGTACAATTTCTCGATTTCATTATTTTATAAAAACACAGACGACGTTTTTTACCAAAAAAATGATTTATTCGAAAAATCACAAAATATCTTTTTTATTGCCTTTTTGATTTACTTTCTTACGATATCATCACCAAAACTTTTGAGCATTTAAGGAATTTTAATTTTTGCTAATTGTTTGCTGTAATTTGGTTATAAATACACGTAGAGACTTGAAACTTGGATATAATACTTATATTGAATTTACCTAGACGCGCAAAAATTTCCAAAATTATCGGACGACTTAATTTTTTTTTTTATAAGCGTTTTAAAATCAAATTTAAATGAAAATCGCAAACAATTTACGGCACTTCAAATTATGTACTACCGAACTGCGCTCGGAATCGTCTATCGTCAGCAACGGTTTATCGTTGCTTACAGATATAAATGAAACAACCTTATGTATCCTACCTTCTCGATTTCCCACCTACAACAGTGGCTGCATCCGTCCCCAGTTTCAGCTCTCTTTTATATATATATATATATATATATATATATATATATTTATTATTTTATTTTTTTTATCATAATAATCTGAACCGTTGAATTTTGGCGGATGATTTTATAAAGAAGTTGTTGGTCGGTTTTAAAACGACGCAATATACCTTCTAAACGTCTTAATATATTGACGTAATCTTTTTTTTTCTGTTCGGTTTCTATTTTTAATACGATATTACATATCACTATTTAAAGGTATTTTTTTTTTAAGAAGGTTATCTGTGTCGAATGGACACACGGTTAAATCCGTTAGATATTCCGCAGTAGAATAAGATTACGTTTAGAGTTGTGTTCGCTAAAAATTAAACGGTGAACGATTGAATTAGTACGTTATTTGTCCGTACCAAAATATTATATTTTATGTTATAGGAAATATTCTCACTGGTGGGGGAGGGATACTGGAGAATGAACCAAAAATAAACGGGGAGGCTCTTGGTCTGTCTGCTGGTGGAGCTCTTTTTTTTTTAATAGACAGGGAGCACAGTAGACACGCGGTGGAAATTCTCTAAAAACAAAAAATGGTCGGACATCAGATACGTTATTATTATTTTGTTTTGAAGAGTACGCTGAAGAATAATATGACGAATGAGTAATACATATTGATATTTGATAATGGACTGACGCTATAATCAATGCGTTAAATAACAGTCGACAGGTGGTTCTAGGACGTGTAATCGTTTGCACAGAATACTACTATCAGTGTCCGATAATATAATTTAATATTATTATTATTATTGTTGTTGTTTTCGCAATGTTTTATACGCACGTGGTCGTGTTTACGATATTTACTATTCAGGGAGCATGTGTTGGCCGCAATATCGCTCGACTCCGGCATATTTTTTTTTTTTTTTTTTGCTTTTTTTTTATTGAGATAAAACTAGTACAGATCTGCGCATATTATTGTCCTACTGTGAGCCACACAAATAAATATAACAAAATATTTAAATTGATAAATCTCTTGTTATTCATGTGTTCGCACAGCGCGTATCTACAGGCATATTATTACTGTATTACACTCGTATTGTATTGTTATCTGTTTGTGTGAAAAAAAAATTCTATTTACACAGATAGGTAACCCATTTGATTATTTTAAGAATGAAACGGCGAGGGTAATATTACAAAATATTAAATAATCGAGAATTATGCACAAATAAAATATATTTATTATTATTATTATTATTATTTTTAACTTAACGTTGTGGACTAACGGAAACGATTCAAACAAAAGCGTCACGATAACAACAACACCAATGTGAAAATGATTATTTTTTTCTTTTTGGTTAGATCACGTAATCACCACGTTATAACGTTAATTTTACAATAACCCAACCTGACCTAACCTACCGCGAGCGCCGTTCTTGCCACGTCAAATTCGAATTGTCCGGACTCCACTGCGTATTTAGTAAATCTATCGTAAATAATTCTGTGGCGGGGTGCAAGAACACATTTTGTGACTATCGGGAAATAGGTTGGACATTTTAATTCCCCATGAGGTTCTGTGTATTCTATTAAATGTCAATGATCGTGTAAATTTCAATTTTTACAAGATACAGTTTTAGAAAATAAAAAATGTATGTTTTTTCTTGTTTTTATTTCGAAAAATTGAAATTGGCCCATTCTTGCACCAAGCCACAGATAATATATTTTATACATGGGTACTCGTATATTGGAAAGGGCACGTGCACTATACATACCAGTTAAACGAGGATTGTGTATTATAATCATACCATGTAATATTGTATATTATTATTATAATTTATAATCATTATTTATATTTATAATTTATGTTTATACATTTTAAAATATATAATTTTAAATATCAAACTAATATATACTTATATAAGTATGTTATTCCTGCGTTTTAATATAGTCTTTCGTAGCATCATCGAATAATGATCGCAGTTAAGTTATGTGTATAGGTACGCCGTAAGTGTTTAACTAAAAATAATTTAAAAATAAAAAAAAAAAACCATTTTATAATAATACTTTTTGACTCATTGGCCATTTATAAAATATTATAATATTCGTGCGGTGATTAAAATGCACGTATAGGGAAATCATAATAATAATACAAGATTTTTGGTTTTGTAAACTTTCTAAGAGTTAGTTATAAATAGATGCCGTCATCATAAAGCGTAGAAAATGTGAAAACATCTGAAGGAAGAGCTGATACTGGGGACGGGCGTGCAACCGCTGTTTTAGTTGGGCGATTGGGAAGATGGGATACATAAAACTATTTAATTTATACCTGTAATCAACGATAAACTATTGCTAACGAAAAATGATTCGGAGCGAAGTTTGCGCACAAGTACACATTATGTTTATACGTGTTTTGAAAGACCTATGATTTCGTAAAAAATTTGATTTTTAAATTCTTATAAAAACAAAAACTACAGCATTATTATACTCGATATATTTTTTTGACCACTAATTACGGCTTATAATGTACGTTCTGTCAAATTGATAACTATTACTGTTTAGTCTAAGAATTTTCTCCTCAGATAATAGTACCTAACAAATAAAAATTACATATAAAATTTGCAAAATGAATAAAACTATACATAACTCTCAAATGGTTCAAATGTTGTTTTAAAAATTTTACCACGACTAGAAAAAGAACACATAAGTTTTTTTGTTCGATTTTCAAGTCTCTACGAATATTTTAAACTAAATTACTTTTGAAAAAAAAATTATTAAAATAATAAAAGAATTATTTTCGTAAATTTTTCCATACTTTCTACGTATTTTTCGATTTTGCTCAATTATTAATAAAACTACAGAGAAAATAAAAAAAAAAATTAGTTCTCACAAACTAGATTTAATGTTCAACAAAAAAGATCAATTATCGTTTGTCTAATGGAGCAATGGTGGAAAAATAAGTTGCAAAAATTAAAATAATTAAACCGAGACGTAGACGTAATTATTATTGAATTTAAAATGTTTGGTTTTTCACAATTTTCATGAAAACTACTTTGAACATCAAAACATGACCTCTTTGATGCACCAAATAGATAAAATTTTCTTTCAGAAAAAGTACTGAACTCAGTACATCGGAGCAAGATTTCGTTTCGAACAGTTGTTTACAGACAGAAAAAAAAAACACAAATCTTATAGTAAAATCAACACATCTCTCGCTACACTCCGAATCAAAAAGAAACTATTTTGTTTGAATTGTTTGCATTATAAGTTCACTGATAATTCACTGATTTCTCCAATACAGTACTTTGAAAAAGTCGAATTTTCAATTTGATAGGTACGACTTCCCAATACTTAATAAAGTTGCTAGGTTAGGGAAATGTTTCGATGTACTTTCTAAAAAATGTTATTTTTTTTTTCATCTGATAATATTCTCGGTTAGGTAGTGACAAATACTTCAAATCGCCAACATGGTGTAAATCTAAAGAAAGGACACAATTTTCTACATTCCCCACTTGATTGTTGATCTGCGGATTACCTTGAGTACAAGGTAAAAAAAAAAACGACCCATATATAAATGTCTCATCCTATCGATTAATCGAGCCCCGCTCAGAATCATTGTTTGATTGCAATGAATAACTTTTATAAACTAAATATCACCTTGTAGCCAACATACCTTCCGAATACTTTACCGACAGGAGTGGCCTACTTGTGGCGCGAAGTGTATCCGTATTTTTAATGTTTTAATTTTATTTTTATTTTCCTATACCATTTATTTTGTATACAAAACATAATTATATTATGTATTTGAAAAATATGTTTATGTTTAATTGCACTTAAAATAAATTCTGTTTTACGATTAGCAACGTTGACCTCCAAAACAATCCTTATTTTGTTTGTTTGTTTTTTTTTTTGCCTACAATTTCACAATTCGAGGTGTTTTTTTTTCTCGCAGGGTTTGTTCGTAACGAACAACATTATAGAGTACGCGTACGGTACGTATTGATTGCAGCCGGATTGGCCGAGTAAAAGTAATAAAATTACTAGCGTATAATTATAGTAGCAAACGAAAACATGCGTAATAAATCTTTTCTCATGGTCTTTTTTCCACTGTCCGGCGACGGTGTGTAGTGGTGTTGAATAAAATTATTATTAAACTCAACGCGCCAATACGTTTATCATATTATTATTTTTATTGTTATTATTATTAGTATTAGAACACGTACTTCCGACTCCACGGTGTTGCGCGACGACACGCAAACGAAGGAACCAATATTAATGCGAATAACATCGTGAAGAAAAATAAAAAAAAAAACCATTGACGATTTTCAGCGGTAAAAACGTGCGTCAGGGCGATGGGATTTCGACGTTTCATTGGTAGATTTGCGAAGCTTTAAAGCGTGAAAAAGCACTACAAAAAAAGACGGACATACTCCGCACGTGGGTGTGCCACTGTTGTAGGTAAGAAATTGGGCAGGTAGTGGAGGAGAAATTTGATGTATGTCTGTACGCAACGATTAACCGTTGCTAACGAAAATACGACTATTGGGAAAATTTCTTGGAAAATCGAAAAATAACCTTCCTAAAGTACCACCCCGGTAAGATTTCATTTCAGAATAAATGTGATTGTTGTAAATCGGAACAGAATTGCTGATAGAAAAGTTGTCCATCAATACATTTCTCGTTTCACTCAGAATCTAATATTTGAAAAAACGAAAATGGTAGATAGGTTTTAAAAGTTCTTTACTCTAAAGGCTCTAACACGTTAACACTTAAAAATACAATTTCACAACATTATAGCAATGATTAACACGCAGTAATTGTTTTGATTATACGTACTTACAATTGTCTTAAAAAAAATTATCACTTTAATCGTTTTTAGTAGTGTTTTGGGAGTTCGAACCACTTAAATGTATGTTTTTTGCGCACCAAACAATTTTGCTTCTACGATACTTTTGAAATATAATGTGTGGTAAAAAATTATAGTTTATATTTTAGACTATTGATCTTACAAATTATTTGATTTATTTATTATTAGTATAAATGTATCTTTTTCGTATGTTTTTTCATAAGAGTGGAGGCATGATGAAACCTGCGCGCGGGCCTGACCGTGGATTTTTATTTATTACCAAATATCCCCAACGGCAACAGACGCAACAAGCAAATAAGACAATAAAAACAAATAAATATCAGTTGGATAATGAAAACGAAATTGTTTTAGTTAGTGGCTTACGTAGGATCACAAAGAAAAACATATTGCTTATCCAAAAAAAGTAGAAAAACTAGTATACAATTTTTTTTTTAACTATCGAAAAATAAAAAAAAATAATTTTCAAATTTCATATCTGAACTCGTAACAAAACATACATTTACATAATATATTTTACTATATTTAATATCAAGTCGAAAAAAGCAAATGCTACAATAAACCCGAAAACTACTTATTACTTGAACTCTATTGTTTGGGAAAAAAACAATTCATTTTAAATATAAGCTCATTAATGAACTGCCTAGTTACTTTTTATTTAATGAACTCGCTTATTACAAGTTCATTTGTAAATGAACTTTAGTTTATTGTAAGTTAATTTTACTATTGAATTTTTGTTTAGCATTAAGCACGTAGTCTCGATGATTTGATTAAATATCATATAAATTATACAAGGCTGTACCTGAGGAAGTTTTGGAGGTTCGGTTCAATAACCTATACAATAGTATAATAAAATTAGAACATCGAACATTTTTTTATTTATAACCCCCCCCTTACCGAATTTATTTTCCAGTTACAGAATTAATATTATGTACGATGTATGAATAGTAAGTCGATAATATTTAAATACTCTCAAGAGGTCGTCATAGTAGAATTTGACATGTTTCTTTCGAACAATAAAGCAAAATTGCGGTATCTACTTAGAATTTTAATTGTAGTGGATTGACAGCGAAAATTAACTATATTTTTTACCTAAATTGTCAATGTAAAACTTAATTAATTACTTTAATGTCGACGTTGATCAAATTATAGTAAGTTCAAGTATAATGAAAACAAGACCTTAATTTTTTTATTAATAAAGTCAATTAACATAAATTATGAACTTAATTCATGTTTTGTTTGAACTTCAGAAGGACCAACGAGTTCATATTTTGGATTTTGAGCGGAGCGAGGAATTTATTGGTTTTACGATGATATTTATTTATTTTTATCTTTAAACGACTTTTCTACGAGAAATCTTACTCCAATTTTCAAGTGTTGTACTCTTTCTGAAAAAATGTTTATGTGGTTGGTACTTTGAGGAAGTCATTTTTTTTATTTTTCAATCCGTTTTCACTGGCCATTCAATTGGGAAAAATTGGAAAAAACGTAGGACAAACGGAAAATTTACGAAATATATTATTTTCAATTTTGATTGTAATTCGGTTAAACAAATTCGTAGAAATTTTATATTCGGATATAAAACATACATTTTCCTTTTCTATATGCGTGTTATAATTTTCAAAACATTTATGCCGTTTTTGAGCTACCTATAAACATTTTAACTTTGCCAGTTTTTTTTACGTATTTTTTATTCGGTAGCTAGTATTCTACGGATAAAACTGTTTGACCAAACGGAAATGCTTGAAAACTGAACAGTATAAGTTCATTATAAGTAGTATAATCGGTGGTAAAAAAAAAAATTGAGTGTAATGTAGAATTTATTTTTTCCTAAGAATTTTTAGTATCAAATTATGACGAAAATCGTCAATACGAGATTTAGATATTAAATAACGAGACTGCGCGCGCAGAGAGCGTTCCAAAAAGGTTAGAGGAAAACCGAATACAGCGCTGGTTAGCTGGAAGTGTCTATTATGCCAGTACAAAATTGGGTTTTTGTTGGTGCATTAGTATTTTTTCTGAAGCGTTTAGAAACGAACATGTTTTTTTCTCTTGCCGAAAACGATGTGTGACGAAAAACATGAGCAACGGATAAACGTAAAATTTTCTCGTTAAACTAAAAAAAAACTACAACTGAGTGCTATAAGTTGTTAAAAGAGGCCTATAGTGAGGATTTCCTATCTCGGGCGCGTGTTTTTGAGTGGTATAAATTATTTTCTGAAGTCGAGAGTGCACCGGAATCCAATTCAGTCGTAATTCAAATTCAAAACCATGCTGATCGTTTTCTTCGATATCAACGGCATCGTGATGACTGAATGGGTTCCAGAGGGTCAAACTGTGAATCAACATTACTATTTGACAGTTTTGGCAACATTGCGCGAATGAGTTCGTAAGAAACAGTCGATATTGTGGAAAAATAAGTCGTGGATCTTGCACCAGGATAACGCACCTGCCCATAACGCGCTGTCTGTGAAGCGTTATTTGGCCGCTTAAGGCACTCCAGTACTCGAACACGCGTCTTACTCACCCGACTTGGCACCCTGCGACTTTTACTTGTTTCCGATGATAAAGTGTGCCCTAAAAGGAATCCGGTTTGAGTCGATGGAAGAGGTGAAACAAAAATCGGCGGAACTCCTGAATGGTCTTACGAAAACAGACTTCCAGTACTGCCTCGAGCAATGAAAGAAACGAATGAAACGGTGTGTGAAGAGGGGAGGAGAGTATATTGAAGGGGAACATTTGGTTGTGGAATAATTTTTAAAATAAAACGATTTTTCATAAGCAGTCTCGTTATTTAATAGCCAGACCTCGTATTACGGCTTTTCAAAACACACGATGTATAATAACCGAACTCCGTTCAGAATTATTTTATTTTTTTCGTTACCAAAGATATTGATCGTTGAACGCGGATGTACATTATATCCTCCCCTATATATATATATATATATATATCCCTATAACTTCCCGACTTCTCGTCCACAACAGTGGCCCGCCCGTCGTGCGAAGTGTGTCGATCTTTTATTTTTATTTTTATTTTTTTTTCAAACCGTTCGAACGTACGGATGTCCGAGCCGATAACAAACGCCGGCGGTGGTCGTCGTCGAAACTCGAAAACCCCATCAAGACACGCACATGTAACGGTTATTACGATGATGATATTGGCGAATGGGACCCGCCACCGCGAACGATAATAATAATTTTGCGCATCCGGTGATGTACGGGTGGTATTTTTAAAACGTTGTTTTTCTTGCTTTTTTTTTTTTTCTTGGATCCACGTCCGAACGTCCGGCACACTATTTTATTATTAGTATTTCAGTTCGCACGCCGTCGCCGCCGTACGCGACACGCTCTCGGAATTATAATAATATTATCGTATTAGCATATATTATTATCATCATTTGTTTGCATGTGTGTTTGTGGGCGCGCGCGCGCGCGCGCGTGTGTGTGTGTGTGTGCGTGCGTGTATCCGTAGTTTTTCGTCCGTGTCCGGGGCACGAAAAACACGTGCGGACAAAAATAAAAACTGACAACAACAAAAAAAAAAAAAAAACGAATAAAAAATATTCGTACGAGAAAATCGTATACCTATATACCCACTCGGACATTGTTTCCTTCCGTTTCAGTTTTGGTATTGATTTTAAGCGAAACGAACCGAATAATATATACATATTATCTTTTATCTTTTTTATCATTTTCGTGAAAATATTTAAAAAAAAAAAAAAATGATAAAAATATACCCAGAGAAGGATGAAATGTCCCAAAAGTGAACAAATTATCCTATGATACGGAACAAAATAACATCGCTTTACCGTAATTTTATTTTATTACGAACATAGAGGCCGCGGGCCTTTACGAGTAAACAACAGATATTGACATTGGAATTACACTGTTATCCGGGAAAGGATGTATAAACGTGTATAGAGAAGTAAAGAAATACGAAAGTAATAACAACAAGCAAACAGTTAACGAAAACGACGGAAAAGATGCTAAAATATGATTAATTATAAGCGATCGAATAAGAGAGTTGAGGGGCGAGTCGACATTTCATCGGTGCATATAATAATAGCGATATGTTACGAAAATGTCGCGGTATTCCGCGTGAACGAAACCCGAGGCGAAGCGCGTACAGAAAAAAATCCCATTTGCTCGGGGAAGTTGACAATTGTGTGAAACAGAATTCCGAAATAGCCGGACATACTGCGCGCCACGGATTGGCTCGCTAAAACAAAACCCATCCGGCCCTATCTATCTAACTGACCTAGTCGCTAGGGATACACGGTTGTTAAAAACAAATATCGTTCGATATTTTCGATTAATAACGCGTGAACGGCCTAAAGAAAAAAAAAGCCCCGTATCGCGCGACGGCGAAATAAAACGAGTAATCCAAGTACGGCGAAATCTCGTCAAAACGATCGTAAAAACAGGCAATCTTAAACCCGCGTTTCGCGTGATTGCGTGATAGGCGGCATCCTGGCTAAAAGTGTTTTAAACGGAATACCACAGGCGGAATAAACTGTGAAAAGATTTCATAGCGTTACGTGTTGTTTATTTATATAACAGCGCAAATCAAATAAAAACCATCAAAATACAAATTTCAATTAATGTTAACTTCGTGCGCATTTACAACAGAGTTGTGATAAGTTGTGATAAGTGCCTGTCTCAATGACGATATTGATTGCACAGTGCTCGCGAGTGAAGGCGGCGGTGGACAGTATTCGTCCGTTAATCCGTCGTCCTCTGGACCATCTGGTTCATCGTTGGCTGTACAGCCCGGTTGATAATTACTTCTTGAAGATCGAGAATCTCGCCCGTAATAAATTGGTCGTCAGCGAACGCGCATCGGTTTTTTTTTTTTTATCGACGTATTGAACGGGATTTTTCAATGTTAAAAGGCACGGGAGGCCGGAAAAGAGAGCGCGGAATTACGTATATTAGGCTTATTAAGCGTTTTTTTTTTCCAATGTTAAAAGATCTACAGATACCCGAGACCGGAAAAAAATCCACGTATTAAACGGAATGGCGTATTGAGCGGTTTTTTAAAAGTAATATTTGCGATTTGAAAATAATACATTACGAAAGTACCACTGTCAGTCACATATGCTTTCAGACAAGTGCTATGAGTAAAAATCGGAGCAAAATTGCTGGTAGGAAAATTGTCAACAGAAAAAAAAAAATTAAAATTAAAAATAAATATAATTGTAAAACCAATACACTCCTCGCTCCGCTCAGAATCTAAAACAATATTGTCACTGGCAACCGTTTTCATTTACTTTAACAGTACTCGCAGACGGCACGGCGCGCCGTTTCTTTTATCCCTTTATGCGCCGACAATTTATATTAATATAAAACCAACGATCCGATTGTGAATCTATATGTATGTATACATATATATGGATTGATATTTTATTGACGACGCCGAACCTTGAATACCGTCCGAATTTCCGACTTTTCCGGTAGATTTTCCACAAATTTCCTTTTACACAGACCTTTATTATTAATTGTATCGTCAATTTGCTGTTGTTGTATAATGAAAACATGTGACCTGACCGTCAATTGTCGAATTATTTTCGTTGACTTACCTTGGCGGTACGCAGGAAATAATAATAATATCAATAAAAAGCTTAGAGAGTCTCATACAAAAATAACCGTCCGAATTCACGAGTTTTCCGGCGGATTTTTCAAACATTTCCCAACGATTGCCCCGTACTCGCCGACGACGAGTCGTCGCAACAATAATAGATACAGACGGAGAAACATTTCGAGAACCTGACGTCGTACATAATAATAATAATAATAGATAGATAGCGGGTGAGGGGCAGGGAGTGAAAAAAACAACAATTTATAGTCTCATACCCTCGAGGTAAATGTCGGACTTGACGTACATGGGATAACGTACTGTATGACCTTTCGCACCTTGACGACATACATATTTATGAAATCATTTCGATTCACAGTCGGCCGTATAACGGAAGAGTTCGGTATCATAAGAAACCGAAAAAATAAATAAATACCGAGGTGACAGATCACGATGGTATTATAATTTATACAGGCGAGCGTATACGGTACGTGCGCGGGCGACTGAGCGTCTTCGACCGTGTGAAATCATAATAATATTGCATAATTGTATATTCGTTAAAAAAATAAAACAAAACAAAAATCTATAACGCAGACTCTTAGACGCTCGGGGCTTAGAGACGAAACTATAATATTACAGCTAATAATAAATAAATACATAACGAAACTATGATATTATCCTATAATAGGACTATCCACCAAAAACATATGACAAATTCAGCGGAGTTGCCAACATTGAAGGGTAAAATGTAGGACTAAAAAAAAAAAAAAACAAGGACTTTCCTAAGTAATGTGTTTCAGGACGATCTTGCTGGACGCAGGACAAATGGAACGACTGTAGGACAATGCTCCCCGATGTGAGACGGCGGGGAACTGGCGCTCGCGTCAGCGGTTTTAGTCGTTTTTTCATTCTGAACGTAAATCGGTTTTACAATGACGTTTATTTTTTTTTTTGCGCACGACTTTTCTATACAAGCAAATTCGCTCCGATTTTCTATTACAGCACGTTTTCTGAAAGGAAATCTGACTGGGATGGTACTTCAGGGGGTAATTTTTCGATTTTCTCAAAAGTTTTCATAATAAGTGGAGAAAACCGGGAAAAAACGTAGGAAAAACGGGAAAATAGCTAGGTACAATGACAAACGAATATAAAATACATAATTTACATGCAATTATTTTACCATAATATGACAAATATATTGTTGACAAAGCAACACCGATCAACCGAACTCCGCTCAGAATCGTTTTTCGTTAGCAATGGTTAATCGCTGCGTTACAGATAATATACATTAAACTTCCCTTCTACCTTCCTAAATTCTCACTTACAACAGTGGCCCACCCGTCGTACGAATAAGTATGTTTTATTTGTTTTTTTTTTTCTATTACGAGTGACTGCGAAGAATGCAATGGCTCGCAAAACGGCAAAAAAAAAAATTTAAAAAAACGTTTGATCGTGCGATCCAGACGATCCAGTCACTGCGATCACGAGGGGTTCTAAAGACATATAATCGACAATTATTGTTGTGTCCCGTGTGTTCGTGTGTAATAACGTAATAAAATAATTATTTTTCAACCGTTTCGTCCGTTTCGTTTATTATTCACGGTTAATGGTAAATCGCATACTCGGATTGATGAATTTTATAGAATTATAAAATTATTAAATGTTCAAAGCCGAAGTTAGCTTGGTCTTAGTTTCGGACCGGCCCAACTCCGGTGTGTACCTAGTGGCCTTGCTTTTTTTTTATCATAAACTTCGACTTTGAATAGGTATTTGATAATATTTGTATAATCGCACAGTAAATAATTTTTTTTTTATCTCGCCTCTGATTACGGTCGAGAGAACGTCTCGGTCTAACTCTATACACCTAACTAACGGGCGACGTAGCAGAATTACAATATATTTACTTGGAATTTAAACCGTGACGAGTAGGTGGAAATTTAGAACTCGATCGCTGCAGATAGCGAAACTGAAAGAGGAGATTATTTTTGCGGCTTTGTTTTTTTTCGCTCTACAATGTCGTAGAATATGTACAACCGTTTTAGTTTTTCATTGTTCCAAACAAATTCAATACAGCTGTCAACCGTCGCGTTTTCTCAGCGCCTAAAACGCTAACCACGCTAAAAGCTCATAGCCGCACGAATCGTATTAAAAATCCTCGAAAACGATTGGTCGACAAAAAGCGTATAAAATCGTCTTGTACAACGCGAAATCGAGACGTACGCGTCGGCAGATCTCTTCGCGCCGTGATGGATATGCCGCTGTTGTTCGGAGAAGTTCGGAATGCGCCTTTAAAGGAGATATAGGGAAATTAGGTTTACACGTTAAAAGCATCGGTGCGATCAAAAGACGATTCTAAGTTGTACGCTGATTGGAATAGGTATAGCGATATAGTATATTATTGATTTGGTACATATCATTAGGACGGTCGTGAAGAGTTCGAAAAAAAAAATCGAAGCGCTGTAACAACGAGACAGGTCCACATTTCGAAATCGTTTTGGAGAAAGAAAACCGACCGTCCATGTGCTTGGGACTTATGTCGTAGTCGTCCGGAATTCGATTGAACCGGACGAGTCCCTTGATGCATACTTGACGCACCGGATTTCCGCAGTAAAATTGTAATTACTCGCAAAATTCGTTTCGGACTCGACTTGTTGCGCCAATATCCCTTCGCGGTTCACGAATTGCTGTACAACATTTGGAAAACCGAGCGCGACCCCCTTAATCTTTGCCGTGCGCAATCGGAAAAAAATGCGCGGTACACGTATAAAGACTTAAATGCTGGAAAACAAAAAATAAGGAACGAGGAACTTGAAGGCCCGAGTGTCAAGGCTCGTGGACATTATCAGGGACGCGCACGGGAAAGGTTCGCTGCCGGGAAAGGTACCGGAAAACGCGCGTCGAGGGAAAAGACCATTGGGTGGCCCGAAATGGAGACGGGAAGACGGGATAAAAGAACGCGCGGAAAAATGAAAATGAAGAACGGAAGGAATATTACCACTGTAGATGGGGAAACGGCCGCGCGCGTCACAATCACGGTAGGCAATCGCGAACAAATTTCCGGTAACAACGATTGTTCGATCGCGGACGCCTACGCCGCGCCGCCGAGGCGATTATTTTGGGAACCGGCGGCGACGCGGGGTCGAGAGCGAACGAGAGAGAGCGGGCGATTGAACGGAGAAAAAAAAAATGTTGCACAACCGCCGCAACGCGCGATGCTGCGTCTGCGTGTGCGCGCGCGCTCCGCCCGACCGCCCGTCCTTCTATAGCGGCGGCGGCGGCGGCGGCGTGTGCTCAAACCGGCCCGCGGCAAAAAGATTCATCGACCGCCGCCGCCGCCGTCGTCGTCGTCGCGGCGCCGCGGCCGTCGAACGGCGCGTACAAAACTACAGCGAACAGCCGTCCGCCAACAGTCGTGCGCGCCGCACCTCATTCGTGTCCAACGGAATATTATCACGCGCGCGCGCGCGCGCTTGGTAACAATCGGGGCGATAATAACATTGTCGTTTTAGCATCGGATAATATTACCCGGGCACCTGCCTGAGACCCGCACCGACGACGACGACCGCGACCGCGACCGGTTACAAATATAATTCGCGAAACGGCACCCGGCGTTCAAAACGGCACACCGACCCGTCTACCTACGTGCCGCCGCCGACATCGGATCATAGTCATCGTGCGTAGGTACGACCGTGAGCGACTTTCGTCGAGATCCGCGGTCGCTTTGTTTCGATAATAAATCCGGGATACAGCGAACGAAAAACCGAAGAAAAGAGAAGGAAAAAAAAACCGTCGACGTTTCGCGTGCAATCGGGATCGCAGTGTGTAACAATAACAATAATAATAGCCAACGGTCGTTATTATTCGAAGCGTTGAACGATCGCACGTTGGCGCGCGCGTTTTCCGCTATCGCCGGCCGTCCGTGCGCGTAGAAATATCGCGCGCGAGTGCTGGCCGCGACGCCGACGACCACCGTTCCCGGCGGCGCTCGTTTCACTGTCCCGAACGCGGGTACGCGCGGCGGCGGCGTACACGCACACGCACACGCACTCGGATGGTATTATTGGCGTGTTTTTTTTCCCGTCCATAGTACGCGCGGCGTTCGTTTCATTCATGGCTATTGTACTCGAGGTGAGTGATAATTAACGATAATAATAATTAACAATACCGATTATAGTTACAATAATTATGATACGTAGTAACGACGACTACGACGACGACGACGACGTTCGCGCGGCATAATCGTATAATCGCGTTGTTCGGGTTCCCCGCTCCGTCCGCGCTTCGCCTTGACGGGTGTTGTTTTCGTTTTCGACCGCGTGTCTACGTGATATTTGCGCGCGGCGACGACCGAGTCGCGATAAGAAAAACAAACGAACGTCAATGTTCTCTGTCCGATCGCGTATCGCCTCTGGCCGCTCGGAGGGGGAGGACAATGGCGAGATCCAGGGGACGGGCAGAGCGTATGATGGTATGGGTGGCGGGGAAGAGGGAGCAACGTCTTCTATAGTGATTTTTTCCCATTTCCCCGTCGTCGGTCGCCGCGCTGTATTAGCGTGACTTTGCTAGAGTCAAACTTTCCTGCGGGTTGCCCGCGGTAAAGCAATTTATTTTTGAGGAGAGGTGGAATATGAGGGGGAATAGATATCCTTTGCCGGCTCCATTCCCAGCGGCCGGGGTCATTTTTTTTTTCTTTCAATAAGTCCGCGATATTTTCATCGCTTCGTAATATTTTCAGCATAAAAATACGATTTAAGTTTCATTGATAAACTTGTGTACAGTTCACATAGTCGTAGCTAGAAAAAAAAATGACGTTCTACGTATAATTTTACACGCCCGCCCCTCCGGTGGCGCTTAGTTTAAAAAAATTATTATACCCCGCTCCGGAACGAATTCTTAATTACGCCACTGCGGGTACAGTGCAACTCCACTGCAGGGTATTTTTCTTAGGGTACTAACCGAAGAGACTTGAGCGCGGGGAGTTATTTTCTCGCGCTGTTCGGTTTATTTCCGTCCGAAGCCGACCGGAGAAAAATTCGACGGAATTTCGGTGTAACTATACGTGCGAGTTTTAGTCTCGAGTTCCATACGTTTTCCACCCGGCGACACAAAACGTTTTTCTCGATTTCCGACAGTTTTTCTAACTGATTTGATACACAGAAATTGTATCCGTAAATCTAAATAATTTACTTATTACTTAATTTAAAAATTAGTTTTCGTAGTTTAACTGAACGTTTATTTTGCGAGCCTTTATAGGAATTTAAACGCGTTGGTCCAAACGGCTTCGCTAAATTCTGGCCCAAACGTACTTCGCTTGTTTAGACGTATAACTATACTGCGCACCGCGCGCACAACAGATTCGACTGAAATCGAGAATGTCCTCGCGGGACTAACACGATCCGTATACGATTTTGTTTTTTTTTTTTTCAATTTTCTCGGCAATATTTTTAACCGCTCCGTAGCATACTGACGACAGAAATACCGCGGGGCTCAGAGCGGGTGACGATCTTCCGGACTCACCATCGAATCCGGCCCCGGTCATGGTTTTCTACACCGAGGTATATCCGTTCGTTATGTTTTTTTTTCTCTAATTTAAAAGTCGATTGCGCTAAAGACGTGCGTAAAATAACTCGCGTGGGATCGCGTTCGTTGGCACCGGAAACTGACCGGCCGGAAGTCAGCGACTGCGGTATTCGTAAAAATAAGCGATATTTTTACTATTGCAATTTCAACATAATTTATTAGAATATCTCGAATATTAAAATCGACAAGGGTAGGAAGATAAATAGATAAAGCTCATACAATTGTAGATTTTAAGACCCGATTGAAACACAAAATAAAGAATACGCCAAATATTATACCTGTATTATTCGCCGAAAGAGTATTCATAAGGGAAAATTTGACACCAGGGGAAGAAAAAAAGGAGCGTTAATTGAGTTCTATGGTGCGAGAGAGATGGACAGTTTAGGAGTTAATGTTGAGCACAATTAGTCCAACCGCAGTTGATTTGTCGCAGGGAGAAGTCGTGCGTATGTATAGGTACTGGCCGTAATCGCAAAACAGGAAAAGATATCCGAGAACCCGCCAGACCCCGGGCTAAGAAGGGGCAAATGGGGTAAAACAGAAGCGTATATACAGATTATTTATGGGGGGAGTGGGCGAGTGATCGGAGGTGTTCTGACTATCAATTATTGTAATTCATATTAGGAGCTTATCGGGAGTTGATAAAACAATTGAATTCCTGTAGTCATTTCGGAATGGAAGGGATTAAACCACTTACTCTTACCTAAATTCCTGGCCCAAAGGAAGGGGACGTTCGAATGCTCAAACAAGCGTAACAAAGTTAGGGTCAAAAAAAAAAAAACAAATCAAAAAATAAAAAACATTCCGAAATTTCAGGCGGCAGGCAGATCGAAATGGTCCCGAATAGTGCCCTCGGGCGTCGCCAATGAAACACGGCCCTGGAACCCGACGTTTTCCAAATCTTGCGAAATAGGAGATAACTTCCATAATAATTATTCGTGTCTGACGATCGTGTAAATGTTGTTAATGATCAATCGTGTATATTATGATTCGTTTGTGTGTAGAGCTTTGTTATAAAAATTATTTGACCGTCTGCTCGCCCATACCATACTGACTGTAAATCGCGTAGTCGGAGAATCGGTGCCGGGGATTCGGTTCTTCGGAGAAGGCCAATCAAAATGTTTATTGAAGAACTCGGGTGTTTCTTCTGCTAAAATTACTTCATCGATTCCGTAAAACAAAAAACCAAGTAAAACGACATCATCTTCCGTAAAGGCGATTTCCATTTCCATTTCAAAACACAGAACTAGAAATATTTTTCTAGGGAGGTCAGATAAGAAATAATACACGTTTTTGAATGAGAAAAACTACCAAAACAAAACAAATTTTTAATTTTAAAATCATTGTTGATTTCCGGGGAAAAGTGGACGGGCCCGGGCCTACCGGTTTGATACGAAATGACAGTATCGACGACAAAACCCGATGGTTATAAGTCCGACTCGAAACGCCACCCGAGTCGCTGCGGTTGACTTCCACTCGACTCGATAGTGACGCCAGGCGGTTTAAGACGTTTTAAGACGAGTTATTCAGACAGTGTCGGAAGCGTGACTCGAATATGATAAGTACAATGCAGTAGAATATGTTTGGTGCGAACGGCCGTAAACGTCGCGCGGTTTTAGAAAACCGACTCCGCGTCCCGGAGCCCGCGCGCAACCCCCTCTCCGTCTTAAGTTCGCCGTCGCGTCGAATCGCGGCGGTGGACCGGCCGCCGCGCCACGGCGTCTGCGCTCGGCGATGACCGGGATCGGCCGACTACGCTGTACGCTACACAAAACGGTCACGAGGCGCGTGACACGTCGTCGTCGTCGTTGTCGTCGCGCGGTTATTATTATAACAATATTATTATCGCAGAAACCGGTCAACGCGATACACGCGCGCACACACACGCGCGCACGCACACACATACACACAAACACACACGCGTGCGCGCGCGTGCGAACGGACACGACAACAATACTCTTCTGTCCGTGTCGTCGTCGTCGTCGAGTTTTCAACGGAAACCTTCCGGCCCGACGGACGACGCCGGTGCCTACCTGTGTAAAATTTAAAAAAAAAAAAACCCGTATAAAATTATACACAATGTACCGTGTAGTTATTGTGCGATATTTCAGCGTACCCGTTCTTCCAACTGTCGCGGCGGCGGCGGCGGCGGTGCGTTGCAGGGGGTCGCGGCGATGGTGGCAGCCGATCGTACGGACAAGAATTATTATTATTACGTAACTCCACCGGCGGCGGCGGCGTTGTTGCTACGCCCACAACGACGGTGACGGAGGCCGCACGCGAAACGCGCCAGTGATCACGCTGATCGCGCGTTCTATGGACGACCAACAACAACAACAACAACAACCGCAACAGCAACCGCAACCGCGATTACAGCGGCGACGATTGTCCGCGACAGGGACGACGATGACGACGACGACGGCGGCGGCGGCGGCAGCGGTGTTACAGCAACAACAGTCCGGCGCCGGGAAGAGCAGGCGCGTCGCCACGCCGGCCAGGAGAAGCTGTTCCGCGGTGACCGAGAGAGAGATGATGGTGGCCGGCGCGTGGCCTCCGTCCCGACAGCATTCGCTGACCGCCAAGTGGTCGTCGAGGGTTTACAGGTACCTATACTTTAAGACGTAAGCGCCCCCTACTGCTGCCGCGATAGGTAACACTGACTATATAGGTATACGGACGACCCGGGTTACGGTCCCGTACCCGGCTCCGGTATTCCGAGCGTACGAGATACCGTCACGCGCGGAATTTCGCGGGCGAATTTGTCGCTGTACTTGATGCGCGATGTAAAAATGCCGAAACGAAAAGTATTTCTCGATACTGCGCATCGAGCATTATCGTCGAATGGCCGCGATATTACGTTGTGCTCGATGGAAACGTTTGTTGTTCGCCCGTTGTTTAAAACCAATCGACGAATAAATTTGATTCGAACGAATCAAAAGCGGATGCCGCATAAAACCGGATTTCGGAATTCGGATTCCGACAGATCCGATTTCGGATATCAAAATTCATTTTTTTTTTTATTTTTTTTTTTCAAACCTACGAGGTATAAATTATGATGTACAATCGGTTAATGTCGTTGCGCTTACACTTTTCGCGTACGAAAACCGATCGTGCGCTGTTAGTTTTGACATTAGGTTGTGTATTTGTCATTTACGAAACCGAAAGCTAAGAACATTGTCTGCGTTCGTACGCTGGTTTTTCTTTTTCGACATTTTCATTTTCAAATGAGTTACGGATATGTAACAGTTTTAAAACCGTCCTATCTCGCTTGAAAATGAAAATATCGAAAACCAATCGACGTATAAACACAAACAATATTCGCACCTTTGAGTTTGATAAAAAGTCAATATACTCTAACATAAAAATTAACGGCACAACACAGATTAATATATTAATGTCACAACATTTACCGTAACATAAGTACGGTCTATGTATAATTTTTAATTTTAAATTAATTTTTCTTAATGGTTTAAAAGCCGGAAAATCAAATCGATGTTTAATCAGTTCTCGTCGATTACGTTCTGAATAAATCTATTTTTCACGGCATGAAAAATTGATCCCGATAGTGAAGTTGTGGAATTTTTTTTTTTTCTTGTAAATTTTAGATACCATCCGTGTTTCGTAACACCAGAGTCGGCGTACTCGGTACGAAAACGTTTTCAACCAACCGCCCCGAAGGTAAAATTTCAATTAGCCTGCAGATTCTCGGTACACGCTTGCAGACGAGGAGTGCGAGTGATGAGAAGCACCCGCGAGCTATTCATTACGGAAACGAATCGCGGAAAATGATACGAGGGCCCAAAATCGTCGCCTCCTCCTCCCAATAGAAATGTCCCGGTTTCCGATCTGTTTTGCGCGTTGACGACCGAGAGGACAGTGCGTGTCGTGTTAGCGGGCGACGACGGATCAGAAACGTGACGGTCCACAACTGACGATTAAACCGTTGGTTATGGATCGCGGTTCGAAACTGTCGAGGAAAAAAAATGAAATCTTCGCGTACGTTAACGATCAGATGGCCGATTGACTTGTAAGGCGACGCTATTGTGCCGGGTACTCTCGAATTGCCTCCCGAATTCAGGCAGGTGACCTTTTTTCACTCGAATCGCCTTCAAAAACACCCGGAAGCGATTCGAGTGTACTCAAACCGTCCACTCGGATTGCCTCCCATAGCATAACTCGATCATTAGTTCGTATACCGATAGTAGACGCGTATTGTAGATTATTACATTGATTTCAGTGATGTTCAAAAATAAAACCTAATTGATAAACTAAACAAAAATGCAATTTCAAAATTTCAATATTTAAAAGTATTCGCAAACAGATTTAAATCTCGAAAACATGCTACGTAACTAGTTTAAATTTAAATTTTAGACTATAAAACATAATGATATTTATTTATTGATTGTTTACTATTTTTTATTGTTGCTCATTACTGTTGTATTGGTACAGTAAAACAGAATGCTTTTTCGTCGAAATTATTATTTTTTTTTTATTGATTTTTAATACGTGAAATTTCGTTACAATACATATATCTATTTGCTTTTTTGACACCGACTTATTACCGAATATCGTGTACTAATGTCTACCAATGACATGTGTACCAATATCGTGTACTTAATACGTATAGCTTTTCGATATAAGAAGGTTTGAAATAGGATGTGATTCAAGTGAATGATACTTTTGAAATCGGGAGGCGATTCGAGTAACCTTTTGAAAAAAAACAATACGCGGTAGGCGATTCGAGGGTCAGATGGGAGGCGATTCGTGTGCGTCCATTGTGCCGCAGAACAAAAACGCACCGCACGTGCCGTCGAAACGGTTTTTGGGGTTTTCGGTCAAAAGAAACCGCACCGCCGTCGCCCGCGGTCACCCGGTCGCCGGTTTATCCTTTTGTACTGTTTTTTTTTTTATTCATTTTTACGAAAAGAAAAGATAACGGGCCCCGCTGAATAAGCTCGTGTCGGGGGCCCGTGAAATCTATTACCGATATTTATCCGAATCGGTTCCCATTTGCAAAATGGTTGGGCTAGCCGAATATTGGACGGGAATACGATTGAGTCGACGGCCATTGGCGACCATTGAATTGGCTCCCAGGTATTAGGCGTAGTACTTCATCGAACATTCGAATCGGCACCCGAGAAACTAAACACCGAACTGTTTCCCAATACGATTTCGACCGAATGGTCCTTAAAATATAAAATGGTTCAATAAATATCGAAGTGGAAAACGTACGAGACTTTAATATTTTTAGTGACGTGACAGTGTCAAATAACTGCTTGGAATTATCTAATCTTAAATCCGATAACGCGTTAAACAGTCACAACCATCGTAATTGTATAATAATTTAACTGATAATTTCACTGGCATCGTTAAACGCAGTGTGTACTGGCAATTCGTCACCATTCGTCGCAGTTCGTACGCTCTATAGCAGTTATATATAAAACTAATTCGGTCGAAAAAATCAGTAGTTAAAAGGGATTCTTTTTGATGACCATGCCCCCCCACCCCACGGCTATTTAAATTAATATTAAATAATAACTGTTTTATTACTCGCATGGCTCAAATATTTAAGCCGTGATTACTTATAAATTGTAAAAAGAGTCTAATACTTCTGACTTTGCCCCCCTCCCCCCGGTTTATATTTCTGCGGGCACTCTTGTTCAAATGTACTACATTTTAACAATACTTGATGATCTATAAAATGTAATATTTTAAATTATTATTTTATATAACTGAATTATTATTTCGAACAATTTTTATTTGTCAATGGATTTATAAAATAAAGGGAGCCGACTCGGTACATAAATCTCGGAGCCGATTCAATGTTTAAAAACGTCGATTACCCGAATTTCGGGGGCCAATTCAATAGCTCCGCGATCATTATCGTCAATACCTTTTTTTTTTTTTTTTTTTTTTTTTTTCAGACCTTTTTGACTTTTACACGATTGAGAACGCTCAGTTTTTATAATTCCACGCTTAAACGTTGCCATTGTTGCCAAATCCGTAGTAATCTGAAAATTCAATCATATAGTCGTCAAAAATATAATATTTATTGCTTATATTATCTTGATCGAGTTTAATAAATTACCTATTGCTGTTTGAGATGGCGTATTACCGAATCCATCGATAATGATTATTATCTAATGTATAATTTATATTGTATATAAATACAACGATAACGAATTGTTTGCGACGAATAATCAAAATATATAAGCGTTATTCGGCAACTACGTGGTTTCCTGCATTTTGCGTTGCGTGTGCGAAATATTTTACGTTTAGACTTAAATAAAATTGAAAATAACGAAGAATTACATGCTCCGAACGCGGTAGAAATTTAATTGTTTTAAACGCCCGCGAACTGGAGCGTGCCCAGGGAGTGGTTTTGGGGGTTCGAATCATCCCCAAATGGACTTTCTTAATTGTTATCCTTATTTTTCGCGTGAAATAATAAACATTTACGACGATAGATTTCTAAATTATAATTGGTAGTTCTGATTCTCATTTCTAATTCTAAATCTAAAAATGCTTGAAATCTTAATTACTCTTCCAGTATATCAACTGCGACAGCACAACGACCTTTTTCAAGTTTACGACGCATAATAACATAGTTTATTGAGATCAACTGCCGGTGCTGAGAACCGACTCATAGGATTAGCTCATCTATCAATCCATATAATGGCGTACCAGTAGACCCAGACAAAATAGTTTCAAAATGTGTTTCACCTTCAAAACAGGACGGACTTAATTTTATAATTTTGTTTTTTAACCCTGATTAAGTAACTGTTATTATTATTTTTTGTATGCATAATACATATTATTAACATAAACCATGAAAAATATCATGTAAAATTATCGGTATCTAAAAATATACTTTTTTTTTTTTTATTATTATTATTATTCTTTACATTTTCATTCGTGCTACATATATTATTCGCAGTTACAACTTTATAAGGTTAACTCTCGAAATGCGTACAAAATATTCAACAGTGTTATAAAAGTATTACGGTTTTTTTTTTTTATGCGTACACACACACACACACACACACAGATTTTCACCTACTTATTTTAATGGTGTAGTTGTAAACGCGATACTAACGTGAACAAAAACTAAAACCACCTCCCCACCCCATAGCGAAATAACGGGGAATAACGGCCGCGCGACCCGGCGACAAAAAATCCGACATCGCCTCCGTGCACAACGCGTCACGAAATCGTTACGAATATTGAAAATACGATTGCGAAACAGCGTTTGTTTACGACGGGTCGCGGATTTCGCCGGAATCCGCAACGGAAACGCGACGACAATATAGACTCGTTAACGCGGAGTTTTTTTTTCGCAACGGATATAGTGTCCCCTACTCGTTTTCCGGTATACCCGTCGGTTCCCTCGGTATCGCGTCACGGTTCGGGCGCCTTCGAACGGCGTCGCTAAACCGATTCAAATAACGTTTCTAATCGGCTCGAATCGGCGTTGCGGTTGTAACGAACGCGTTTGTCGCGGTACCGATCGGAAAGTCCGACCGTTGACGGGGAGGTTTTTGGTTTTTGTGTGGGGTGGGGGTAGAGGAGGGGAGGGCAATGGAATTTTCTCGTATTCGCGATAAACCGACCTGATAAAAACGTTGATATAACGTTCGGCAATGCAAAACGCGTCGTATTCGTTTTATTAAAAAAAAAAACACGGACTGCTGTGGGTGAAAAATTGGCAAGGTATAGGATATAGATGAGAATTTAATTTGCATCTGTGCGCAACGACAATTCGTATGTGCGTATAGATTTCCGCGGTTTTTTACCCGACCTTTATGAAAACAGCTTGGAAAATTTTTGAATTTTTGATGAAAAAAAAACATACCCTCTCCAAAGTATCAAACGGATAAGATCTCTCGGGATTCTCGGAAAATTTTAAGATTTTATCCAATGCTTACATTGTCTTTGTAGAAATTCGATTTTGTCACGCGGAATACAATAATGCACTTTTTATTTTTTATTAATTTTGGTGTATTTTATGAGAATTTTTCCATTTATTTCATTTTTACTTGTAGTTATGTCTGCATTTTTTTTTTTTTTATATAAAGTCTCGCCTATAATTATTGTACATGATGATAGGCGTGGTCCTAATGACGCCACTGGTTGACGGCGAACTAACACCAACTTGCCGACGTGTAAAAAGTCCAACGTAACCTGTAGGATAACTGCAGGAACGCGGAAGCTTATGTGAGCCTCACTGACAAACGGCGGGCGTCCGCTCGACGGCCGTTCAATGAGCCAAAAATAAAACGATAACCGCGACGAGGTCCGGTCGATAACGATACGAGATCGAGCGGGATTTACCCGTTCCTTATCTATATCTATACTTCGTATATATCACAGGCAGATCGGTACGCATTTTATTGTTCACTCGATTACTTGACGATAGAGCGGTCAAATAACTGCAGTGTTGTAAAAGTATAATTTTAATTTCAATCATGCACAAAATGGTTTAGCTGCAGGCCAATCGGGACCGGTTTTAAAGTAAGGCGCGAAATAAAGAACGCGATTTTCGAGACGATACGGTTAATGTGATGGGAGGGGGGAGGGGGCATAACTTTACGCACATTCCGATTTTGATGGGCAGTGCAGTCGATATTATGCATTGCTGCATCGGTGTGCAGCTCGGGCAGTGTAACCTGTATAGGTAATAACGACGTTATTAAGTGGCGCCGAATCAGTTTTAAAACGGTCTGGTTCAATTTATAGTCATATTATATAGTGGGGCTGACCGACGCATCGGCAGCGGGGTAATCGCGGAGTCACTTTGTCCCATCGTTCCCCCTCCCCCCCCTTCCTAAACGCTTTTGTTAACATTCATCGAAATGTCTGGCTATTGACAATCGCGTATAGTTTCGATTGTCTCATTATTTTTCGCTGCATATTCCGGCACGCGCATTTGTCAATTTCCGCGGTTTAGAAAATCGGAATCCCTACGGGGCCGTGTACAGGAAGAACCGTCAAAACGATCGCCCGGGAACGTGTTTAACCGTAAAAATTCTCGTCGGTGCCCGCGCGCACGCGCATTCGTTTTTGTTTTTGATGGCTCTTTACTGTGTACGCGCGTAACAGTTGTAAAATCCGTTGTTCACATCCGATATCGTCGAGCCACTCGTAATATTATTACTATATTATGTTCATTAATAATTAAACATACGTACGTGTCTGTTTTATTGCATATACAGGGTGTCCCACGATGGTCTGCCACTTGAAATAACTTTTGTTCCATTCAATATTTATGATTTATTTCGTCGAAATTCGATCATCCCGTGTAATAAAACTAGAAAAAAAACAAAACAAAACTATTTTATTACGCCGAACCATTCTAATTACAGCGTATACGCGATAATGATTACAATGCACGTTGCGTAATAAACTGGCTTAGCTCAAAGGTGTAGGCAATTTTCGTTATTTCCATTGATGTTTTGTGCCGTGTGTATTGTATTGTGTCAATCTAATAATAAATCTTTCTACGTAGAAAACTGATGTTGTTTCCTTGCGAACCGAAAGCGCCCGTCAACAATCGCGTTGTAAGGGGAAAAGAGAAAAAGAACAGAAAAAAAAAAAAAACACGAGAAAAAAAAATTAACAGTCAACAGATGCTTACTCCAAGGCAAACGACGCGCGTGCGCGCGCGTACGAATGCCTATTTTTAATTCGCTCTCCGCGCCATCGTCGGTCGTCGTGTAGTTATCACAGCGCGTTTGCGCAAGACTTCGAGCAGCCGCCGGACGGCCCGGAGCGAAAACTTGCCGGACCGGACCCGCAGGAGTGTACAGCAATATGCGGTACACGACGTGTGTACGATAACAATTTAGCGGAAAAAAAAATTTGAAAAATTACTAACTTACCGTTTACTTACGCGCCGTCGGTCTTTTCGCGTACGATAAACGAACATAACGCCGTATCGTATACGTCATAAACGTCCGTCATCTCCGAAAGTATATTGACTCGTTTCGGAATTCTGAGTGTGTAGCGTTTATTGTTTATTATTATTTTTTTTTATCAATACTCTGTACGAAAATACAACCGGAAATCTCGCTCCGAATTATCGAGTACAGCACCTTTTTCGACAGGGGATTTCCCCGGGGGCGGTACACCGGTGAAGTCGTTTTTTCAATTTTCCCAGTAAATGGGAATTGTAAAAAACGAGAAAATAAAATACAATATCAAACAAATATATTAATTAAAGAAACGCATATTATGTAATTATTTTACCATAATGCGACATGCAATTATATTGACGACGAAACAACACTATTAACCGAACTCCCGCTCAGAATCGTTTTCCGTTAGCTATGGGCAATCGTTGCGTATAGATATACATTAAACTTCCCCTCTACCTCACCAAATTTTTGTATTATTATTGCTATCGTTTGTTTGTTTTTTTTTTTTTTTTTTTTTGAAAATTTCAGAAACAAGCGGCTCTACGGTTTTACGCTACCGTTGTTTTTCGTCAACGCCTTATTATTTCCGCGATTGAAATGACAGGCGTACGTTCGGTTTTCAAATGGCATTGAAAGTTCCGTATGTAGATAGAGTTAATTAGTTTAAATACGTTCCGGTGTTAAAATGTTTGAAATTATCGTAACGCCGCGCGCCGTGCCGCCGCACAAATGATGCTCCCCACCACACTCACCCGATCCAATAACTTAAAAGCGGAATATCTCGTCGACGGACTGACGGAAATTCGGATTGTCGACACCGAAATTTATTTCGAATAACGCTCCGTCTGTTTATGGAGTTTTCAATACGGGTCGCCGTTTGAAAATCCAAACCGTGTAGCGGTTTTGCCCGACGTAATTGAGGGCGGCGAGAAATAATATAAAAGTAAAATTGTAGAGCCGCTCGTTTATCAAAATGTTCTATAGAACGGATTACGAAAAAAAAAGCTAATTTACTTTCCGAGATACACAAACGTTATCGTCCATCCGTCTGTCGTTTACACCCCCGTCGCATCGTATACGAAACCAGTGGCGACACGACCGAGACTTTTCGGGGCGACTGTTCCGGACAAAAACCCGGTGGGTGAATGGTTGCGGCATCCCTCAAACTGGACGGTTGTTATTTGTTCAGTTGCCGCCGGACTCTTTTGGATGGAGGAATTAATGAACCACTGTAGGGGTAAACGGAATGAAAAAAAATTGTACCGTCCCACGAATTAAAACCCGCGATTTGCGCCGCCACTGCACGAAATCGTATACTTTTTCTATTGTCAGCTACATTGTAGCCGCATTACTCCGCAGTCCTTAAAATATTCGACAGTTAACACAATTATCTAGAAAGTTAACAAAAAACGTTATTTATACCGCGCACACCAGCTAAATGTAATTCGGCGCGTACACAATAATTATTATAACATCGTCCGTGTGTAATCGCGTATTATAATTATTAGTTCATCAATTTTGATAATACACTACTGACGTCATTTTTAAGACATATACGTAATAATAATAAAATATATTACGTATAATATTAACCATCTGAATTTCCAATGCATACAGGGCGATTATTTTATCGTCGAACACTATCGTTATTTAATATGCGAAGTATAGACTTTTTCAACGAAAAAAAAAAAACGATTTAACAATTTGAGAAACAAGCGGAACTAAAATGTTACATCGTCATTATTTTTCGTGACCCTTATATATTTTTTGGGAGGGATGGGGGGGGTAAAACGACCGCCGACTGTCGATTTTCAAACAGTAATATCTGTATACATTCAAAGTTCCGTGCTTATAGCACAGACAGAGTGTTACTTTAAATAAGTTTCTGGTGATAACACCTACAACGATTTCCGTCAATCCGTTCACGAAATATTCTACTTTTACTTTTGCGCGGGGAAAAAGTACAGCGGAGTATTGTATTTGAGCGGGAGCACGGCGCGCGGCGTTTGAATAGTACCTGCCTACTCTCCTCCTATCCAAATTTAAAAGCGGAATATCTCGTGGAATACCCGTGAAAATAAGGGCGACGAAATATAACGGCGAAACTTTAGATCTGATTGTTTCTTGAATTAACGAACCAGTTTTTTTTTTTTTTTTCCCGAAATAAAAGTCTTTACTTAGCGAAACAATGAGCGTTCAACGATATAATAATCACCCTGTATATATTATATATTATTATAACGTATACAACCGCGCCGGCTCTGTAGTTTTTTAGGAATGATGTCATTCTGTCGTCAACAACAATAATAATGTATGTAATAATATTATAATACCTGATATACTTACTTACGTGTCCAGGTAGCCCGTTTTTCCGTCAGAAATTTTCTTTCAAAAAAAAATCGTAATTTTTTTATAGAAACTGGATTTTCAATGTTCATCATTCTGTTAGAATAATATAAATACGAACTTCGCAAATTTAAGAAATAGCAGTGCGCGTGCAAAACCTAGCGGGACGGCTATTCGCGGGTAAGAAAATATTTTTTTTCTTCTTTAATTTTGTTCTTAAATAATTATGATAAAATTCTTATTGTAATAATTAATGTATTACATAAAGTAGAGAATAGGATATTTACAAAAAAAAAAAAAATGACGATACTGGAGACGAGTGCGGCCTGTACTGTTGTACATGGGAAATCGGAAAAGTAGAATATAGAGGGGATTTGATTTATATGTATACATAACGATTAACCATTATTCATTGCTGACGAAAAACGATTCTGAGCAGAGCATGATCAATAGTATTACTTCTTCAACAATGTGAATTTTCATGACAACAGCGATTGCTTAAAAAATATTAAAATAATAAAAACTTAATAAAATAACAAAAAAAAAAAAAAAATTGAAAAAACGATTGCCAATTACAACATTTTTTTTAATCTTTTTTAACCCAAAGAATCAGTTTCTATTATATGGAATATATTAACGAGAATATCAAAAAATTACCTTTCTAAAGTACCGACTAGAGCCAACACGCAATAAAAAAAAAGGTCTCTTGTCGTGTTTTGATTGGAACGAGATTTCTATAAGAAAAGTTTTTAATAGGCAAAAAAAATTAAAAAATACACGTCGCAGAAAAAAAAACCATTAGATCTCTCGCTTCACCCGGAATTTGAAAAAAAGATAATACTTTAAACGTACACATTCATTTACGATTTAAAAACGCGTTTTAAACAACAACAAACAAAAACAAAAACTGTTCTTTTCAAACTCGCCTACGCAACCTTTTATAATATTTCGAACGCCCAAAGGAACGCTCGGCGGTACGTTCGGGATATTTACGCACGGACCCCGAGGTTCCGGCGTGTCTGCAGTGCCGCCGTCGTCGCCGAGGACGGAGGGAGCGGGTGGGTGGGTGACGTGCGGCCGGATTCACGTCCGCGCGGGCCCACGCGAAACGGCGCGCGTCCCGTACCCGCGGAGAAATGTCCGGCCCACGCCGTCGTGTGTAGGCAAGTCGCATTATTCCGGCCTACCCTACCTATTTTACACCTGTGTACGGAGCCCGTGACGAACGGCGCGGCCCCTGCAAAAAAATCCCACGGCCGTCCGTGGGCGATCGGCCCGCACCGATAAACTTCGCTGTGTTATATACGCGCGAGTCCGCACGGCATGTACTGTAGGTATTATACAGGGCGATTCTTTTGTTCGACGGTTTTCTCGCAGAATTCCGGATCGCCGGGCGATTTTGGCCAGTGATTGGCGTGCGGCGTCCGACCGACCGGTTGAACCCGCGGGTCGCCTCGGCGACGAAATACGACTGATGATAAGTGCTAGGCCTCCCGAAACAGTGGCATAACCATATCGGACGTTGCTTACGAAAAACGATTCGGAGCGAAGTTTCTTTTGTACGTTTTACCGTTTTTCCCGATTATAATACGAAAACCGTCGCTATCTCTGCGTTAAAAAAAAAAAAAAAGATACAATAACAATCGCCCTGTATACGCGATACCATCGTACGATATTTCGGTTTGGACTTTTTATTATTATTTATTCGTCCGCCGTCGTTTTTTTTTTCTATGTATAATCGGCGGTCCTACTATATTTTATTTATTTTTTTTTTTTTTTTAATATTGTATTTAACTCGCGCGCTCGTATATTACGATAATAATATTCGCGCGCTCTCCTCTCGGACAACCGGTTCTTCGGCCGGGCATTCCGCGCGCGCCGTCTCCTCTGCAAATCAGTCATTGCGCACCTATGCACGGATAGTCTATTTTCGATCCCGGCGCGTCCCGGCGATCCGGACCGTTTTTCTTACGATCGCGATTTCGATGTGCCTCGATAGTAAAACAGATAAAAAAACCACCATCCCCTCGGAAACGTCGAAACAACGTCCGCGCGCCGACCTTTACCCCCCCCCCCAACCCCCTCGCCGGTCTCTCGGGAGACCCCGTTCCGTCGACCGCGACGGCGACGGTTCCACGGGAAACGGGATTCTGTAACGGCGTCCGTAAACATAACGAAATCCGCGGATTACGATTATTATACGTCCGTAAATCCGATATTTTTATCGTTTTTTTCACCGTCTTTTTTTCTCATTAAAGATATGTACACGCGTACACGCGAATTCCGCGAATACATAAATACACACGATTCCGTCTGAGGCGTCTGCACTAGGGTTTTTTACCGTTCCTTTTTTAAATGCACAGGTGAGCTATGTAATATTAAAATTAAAAAATTAAATCATAATTAAAAAAAATAATATATATATGTATTATTCTACTCTACTATACAATATTAATTAAATTTAAGAACATTGCATTTCAAAAAGTTTTCATAATTTTTTTTTTATTATTTGTATTCGATATTTTCCTTTTTATTTTGCCCCGATCAATCCCAACTCCAACCGCATTTTTTCAATTAATGGCCAAATATTTGGGTGGGAATGTGAAAATAATTTGGAAAACTTAAGACACCGGCCTTCAGTTTGGTTGTTAGTTATCTAGCTACAGTGCAGTACAAACCGGACATTTGTACCTCCGGACCTCTTTTCATCAGACATTTTTACCTTGTCGGGCATTGTCACCTACAATCATTTATTCACGTGTTTAACGTTATTATCCACGCATTCGCGTGAATACATAGTAATACGCTAACACGTGAACACGGATTCTAAATTCACGTGCATTCACGTGAGTACACATTTTTCATTCCCGCGTTCACGTACATGTATTAGGTCGCGGTTTTAATCGAGACATTCTAAATGTCTCGATATAATATAGCATGTATACGCATAAATAATGATTATTCGATGATTTTCGTTTCGATGTAAACATGTTATAATTTCGCACAATGGCAATAATTAATTGATTTACGACCCGAGACGATAATTTTTTACAACCGCCTATAATGTTTTTCGATAAAGCTATACGCCAAATAATACGAGTTGATTATACTTGTCGGATTTATTTTCAAGGTCCGATATTGTACATACACACGTGTTGCGTGTATTGTATATAGAATTGCCAAATACCAGATTAATTTTGGACGATCGCTCAGCGAAATAAGCGTTTGCGCGATATAATATAAACTTATGGGAAATATTAATAGTTTGAAACGCGTACAAGCCAAAATCGCGTTCGCTGTGTAAATAAATATCGATTTTTATGGCCGAGCAGCGTGACGGAGCCGGATCCTTGAAACGAAAACCTACACGATTAAAACTGACGTGAGGAGTATCGTCAGTGACTATATAGGTACCCAATTGTTTAAAATATCGCATAGGTATTCCCCCGCCAGTGGCGGCGTGAACTTATTTAATAAGGCAAACATTTATATTAGAGGTTGAGCACAACCGCCTAAGTGTTATTAGACAGAACCATGAGGGACGATGCCCCCTCACACCGCCTCCCACCCATCTTCACCAATTTACCATTTCACAAATATATGCTTTAAGTCATGGTGATTTTATATTTTATGAGTATCAAAAATTAATAAAATTGGGCACTTCATATATTCTGATGATACATTACACCTATTTTTTGATTTCGCTATCCGTCAATCCAAAAGAACATTGGACTAATGATCTAAATACCGAGCCATGTAAAACATGTGACATTTAATCGACAGAGTTTAGGAGTCTGTGGGATTATTTTTAAAATTAATTTGTACAATTAACAAATTACAAATCAACAATTTTATTTTATCTTCTTCGTTAAAATTGTGGTTTGCTGAAATGTTCGCTGGCTACCTTAATATTGAATATTTAATACTTAAAAGTCAAAGTGAACTAGTGAATTAAAATATATTAACTTAATATAAATATATATTTACTTTATATTAATAACAATAAAGTGTTAAATATAAAGTGTCGGTTGGCAATAATTCATATTTTTAGCCTGGGGGCACCACCACCCAATTGGTCATGAGGCTATTGTCTCATGAAATACCCTATCGCGCCGCTATTAAATCCTCGTATACTATTGAAACCGTTTTGGACGCAGCAGAACGCTTTTTCGATTAGAAAAAACGGTTAGGATATGGGATATCGACATGGGTTGGGTTCCGCGACGTACGTCCGAAATACAATATCCAGATTTTTCCCGGGGTAAACGCGTCCGACAACCCAGCCGACTACTCCGCTCCGAATCGCTTTTCGTTTACGGTATTATAGACAAACTAAATCGCGTCCTGTACACCAATGGCTTTCAACCTGGGGGTCGCGAGTGATAATTAGGGGGTCGCCAAAAACCATAAATATCATATGTGTATACTGTACATCGTATTATTCAAGTTCTGCTAAACGATTTTTAAAGGGGCCCTCATAAATGAAAAAAAAAAAAATTAGGGGGTTGCGATTCGTAAAAGGTTGAAAACCACTGCAGTATACGTCTTACCTTAAGAACACGCGCCCACGACCGCGATGACCTGCCCACGGTGCGCGCGCGCGTGAAGTATACAGTTTTCGTTCAGCGTGCGATCTGCAGCATACGTCATGGCCGTTATTACAAACGATATTTACATAAGTACTATATTTAATATTTATGTTTACTTTTCGAAATGTCGGTTCGATTACAAGGCCCGTATATCCGTATAATAATATGTGTTCCTCGTTTCTAAAAAACAGTGTGTGATGTATACTCGTACTGAACATCGTCGTCGAAAATAGGGCTGTTATTGTGTTTCTTGTTTTCGATGTTTTTTTTTTTTTGTCGTCGTCGTCGTCGTGCATGCGATTCGCGTATAAATTAATGTAAGTATATTATATTATCCGAAGAAAAATAATAATAATCGTATGTTTTACGAAATCATAATAATACACTGTAAATCTCTTGTGATTATTGTTTGAATTGTCAACATTTTGTTTTCGTTTCAAATTGATTAAAAAAAAAGAATTTATGGTATAAATATAACATTGCGATTTTTTATAAATCTAATAGCGCTGCCGTTTCGATATTCCGTAGACTGGGGGGCAAACGGATTTGCCGACTGATTAGAAAAAGATTACTTCTCCTTCCGAAAAAAAATTGAACGTTTTCGTTTTCCTGGAATCGGATGTTCCCGTTTACAAAAAAAAAAGGTTTTTAACTATATTTTCGTGGCATTTAAATTTTATAATTTATTTTAAAAACTATAACACCTCCGATAAATGTCATGAAAATCGGTCCACATTGTTACAATAGGTATCTATCAAAATACAAACAAAAAGAACGTTCTTACAAAAAAATAGGAATAACTTTCCATCCCCCATTTTACCACTTTAAGGGTGAAATTTTCAAAAGTCCCAATAAACGTGTTTCTTAATTTATAGCCAAAAGGCCAAATACTAATTATTATAAATTTTACCTTAAAAAAAAAAAAAACGGTGGATTTTCATACAAACTTTTATGTTCAGTTTTTTACCCGTTTGGCGGTATAATGTTTAAAAATGATTTCTTTACTGTATGAAAGACACCTAATATCAAAATCTCAATTTTCCATCTATTATAGATAAGGTTCTACGTTGATTCTCTGTCAGTCAGTCAAAAGAAAACCGTTTTTATATAAGAGATAATGAAACGAATTTCGAAATATACACTAGTCTTAATTTCCAGATTAGCATAATTTAGTCCCGAATAGCATTTCGAAGAACATTATAAAAGCAGTAACGTAATATAAGATAATATAGGATAGGACGAACCAGTATTTATTTCAGACTTTCATTCCCGATGAAGAGAGGGGGTATCATACATTTTCAAGGGGGTATGCCAAAAGCAGTACCGGATCTACGAATTTATACACGTGGAAAAAAAAATAAAGAAATACACTTAACGACAACTTTCTTTGTAAGTCGATAAAAAAACGTTTATTTATATAACACAAATACAATATTTGTTTTGTTGTCAATTAGATGACTCATAATCGGCCCGTAAATCATTTCGTGTATCATATCGCATGTATTTTTACGTAGCAATGTCATAATTTTTTAAGGAGTGATATACATTTCTGTAAGAGGAGGGGGCAATACCCCCCCTAAGTCACCCCTGAAATAAACATTGGGACGAACTCTGCGGCAAATATTGAAGCCATCAAATTACAATTTACAAACGCAATAAGATTCACCGCCAATGTCTGTCTAACGGGCAATATTGCCACCATGTGTTTTCGAACTTCCCACAGTACTGAGGATCAAAAAAAATAAAAATGGATTTTTCGATCAGATCACTACAAGGTATAGAATTTTTCGTTTGAAAAATAAATATATTTTATTTTTAATGTTTGAATAGTATATACGATACCTGGAAAACGGATATCGAAAAAAAAATTCCTATTCGTGTAGCTCACAGTAAATGCTGTCGATTTAGTGAATGATTTCTGTTTTTGGTCTATTATAGCTCCTATTGAAAATATGAAAACACATTTTCGCTATATTATACCGTCCGTCATAGACGGCAAAATTTTTTCACTATGACGCCCTCATATAGCTTAAACGATTCGCATAATATGTGTAACGAACTCGACGTGTCGCAATAATTAATTTTAATAGGCGTTTTTTTTTTTTTATACAAACAAATAGTTTTCTCGTGCGATTTCAGCAGTGTATATGTTTTACCCGCGTAAAGATTCCAACAGTTTAAATAATGTTATATCGAGTTTAAATGACGATGAAATATTAAAAAAAGACAAATTTAGATGTTCCGTAGACGAATAAAACCGAGTAACCGTTCTTTTAATATTCGTATAAACTACGAATATTATATGGTACACAATACGAATTTAATAAAAATGTAAATAATTATGTCCTCGGACATCGTAAATTTATATATATATATATATATATATATATAAGTATACTGCAGCAGTCTTCCGCGCGGCGTGTTATTTGTACATTGAAATTATTCGAGTTTATTGTTTAAATTTCCACACGCGTATTTTGACAAAGACATTATTCGTTTTAACGTGTTATTATATATTTTATATATACAAAAAAAAAAAAAATTATAAAATATATATTTTGGCTAACAGCTCTGTCCTTCTCCCCAATAACAATGACCGTTAGTTATGATTCTGGTCAACAAATCCGGCGCGTCGTTATAATGTTATTCAATCGTAAATCGTGCGTAATTTTTTTGCTCGAAACTTAACCTATAACGGGATAAATGAATAAAAAATAAAAAAAGAACCTACACCAGTTGCTGACGGATGTGCCGCCGATGTAGGCGGATAGTTGGGAAGGTCGGATATAATATAAAGTACATGCGTTTTAATTTACGCGACGATAAATCATTTTTATGGCAAAAAACGATTTAAAATCGATAGGTTTGATTAAACGTCTTTTGAAATACCGCGATTTTCAGATATGCGTTAAAAAAATAAAAAATAAAATATGTATCGAACTTTAAAAGTAAAACGTATACCAGTGTATCCTGTATCGAATTTTCGACCGTTTTAAAGAAGCCAAAACTATTTTATCTGCCTACAACCTAATGAAAACTGACGAAACGACTATAGAAATAGATCGAAATTCAACCCAATGTTCTGATGTTTTACAATCTGTACCAGATCTATAGTGCTTAATAGCTAAATAGTACGAGTGTCCAATGAAAATATCGCGTCTCTAGGATAGTTTTTAACTGAATTATTGAAGAAAAACGACTTTTTCATTGTACCGACTAGACAAATAAGTCTACAAAAAAGCCATCATGTCGTTTTTTGATCAGAACCAAATTTCTGGAAGAATAGTTGTTAACTGACACTGGAAAAAAAAACATTTTTGTACATTCTTACGTTCAGAATCTAATATATTATTATCATTTATTCTACAAGTAAAACATAATATTCTATAATTAATTGCTGATATGACTAATAATATACCAATTTTACATCTAGTATTAATTATTATTTAATTTCGTGGTATTATAATTATTTTTTGAGATTTGGTCACGTCTGTTAGTCGATAATAATATATAAATTGCATCACTTTACGCACAGTAAATGAATTATGAACGCAATAAATACTTGTATCTGCGTCAGTCGTTCGCATTATTTTATAATATAAACAATATTAATTTCAAAAATCGCTTTATTCCGTCATCGATAAACATAATATTCGGTTTTTGACGTAAGTACATTATTTCATACGACATTTCCATTAAAAACCGTGTAGACGGTCGCCGACATTTTGGTTTTTTTGTCACGCATTCGGCATGTACGGACCGTATGAAATCGTGTCACGGTAACAATATTACTCGTATTTTGTAAGTGGACGCGGACGTTCGCAATTGAATTGAACGGAAATCGAAAGGAGTCCAACTATATATAGGATATCCGGGTCCAATTATTTAGAAACTGATAAAAAAGAACCGACGCCACTGACGAGAGTGTGCCACTTTTGTGGAGGTAGACGAACGCACATCAGATGAGTTATTCGACGCTGGATCGGGCAATGTTGGCCAATCGCGTCGTTCGACATCAATTATTAACGGCTCACGACTTTACGGGTATAGGTTATGTTAGGTTAGGTTAAATGCTACTAGGATTAGGCACGTAACCAGGGGAGGGTCCATCATGAAGTCCGAATTTTAAGCTTCTCGTCAAAAATTCAGATGGTACCAAAAAATAAAATCCTGTCTTCGTGCCCGACTAGAACTGATTATTAGCAATCGATTTCGCACATCAGACAAGCGCGCCTGAAAAATATACGAATCCGAAAATGATATAGTCGGAAAGGTATGTCGGTCGTGATGCGTGACTTGAGAGCCTGATGGGCCAATAAACAATAATGTGATAAATAATGTGATATTTTCTGCCGTTTTCATTTTTTTATCTGTAAAATACGACGTTGCATCACCATGCACCTGCAATTTAACGACTGTACGTAGATATGCGAGTGGATAATATACATGCATACGCGATTCCAGCTATATACACCTATTATATGTATATAATGATTTTATCCAGGTATAAAAGAAACATAAAAAATATTAATTATTATTAAAATATACAATTATTATTATTTACGTGTGACTGTCTTCCCTCGAAACGTGTTGCCCGTTGCGTATTTAAATCCACTAAATGTTATAAAAAGCCGGTGGATATATATTATATTTATACGCCAGTTGGCGGTTAATAATAAGGTCGCTGAAATTGTAATTATTTATGTCGACATTTAAAACACATAAGCTAAAAATACCGGATTTGTTTGTTCCTAAAATCCACAAAAAGCACTTGAAAGCGTCAAAAAGCATTGAAAAAAAATCATTTAAAAATATATAAAAGCGCAAAAATAATACAGAGGTTTAATAGTTTTCCCCTCTAACGAATTTAGAATAAAATGTTCTAAAGCCACAAAGATGATTAATAAAGTTTTTTTTTTTTAATATAATGCGTACGATTTTATCCAAAAGAAATTGTTTTGTTTGAATCAATTTTGTAGTGTTAGAAAATTGTATTTAATAAGTAAGCACCATTAGTGGAGAGTACTTTTAAATTCCTCTATCATTTTTGCTTTTTTAAATGTTTGTAAATCCTTTTTTCAGAGAATTTTTGATGTTTTAAAGCGCCTTTTGTTATAAGATAATATAAATCCCGTCTTTATACATAACACAAGAAAATGAATTCAGCATTTAAGAATATTATTTACTGTGAATTGGACGTACATTGTTTTAAATCAAAATTCGGTACCACGCCTTTAATTCTTAATTCACTGTAAAATAATTAATTTGTTATTGTTGTATCAACGTTTTTCCGGAATTATTATTAAAATCGCCCAATTGATTTATAACACGTATTCAGTTGCTGAAAAAAAGTCGGACATACTTCGCACGATGTGTGAGCAACTGTTTTAGTTGAGAAGTTGGGAATGTAGGATATAGAAGGTAATTAAATGTGTATACATACGCAACGATAAACGATTCGGGGCAAAGTTTCTTTTATACATGTACGTATATTTTCCCGTTTTCCAAATTATTATGATTAACCGTTTGGAAAATCAAAAAATGACCTCACTAAAGTTCCCAATTGGGTAAGATTTCCTTTCAAGAAAGGTTCAACACTCGATACGTCGGAACAAGATTTCTGGTAGAAAAGTTGCTCATAGATTAAAAAAAAGTAAACATCATTGTAAAACCAAAACATTCCTCGCTACGCTCTAAATCTAATATACTACCGTACATTAATAACTCTGTAAGTCAACGGCCCTTTGTACTGAGCACGGTCGCACGCCGGCCTAATCCGGCTCAGGAGTTGTTTGATTTATATCTGTACGCGTAACAGAAAACGGTTTTAAACGTGTTTTAAAATTTAGAATGCGCCGATTTTTACATTAAAAACACTTAAAGAAAAGTCGTTTACGAACGAAAAAAAAATATTTCAAAAATAAAACATATACCATAGTTAAACCAATAAGTTGCTCACTGGGCTCAAAGTCAATAACTGAACAGTTTATATCTCCTTAACGTTTATATTTCACGCCTTTCGAGAAGACGAAGTTAATCAATTTTAATTAATGAACGAGCATTGCTTACGAAAAAAAAAAAAAATGCGAAATTAAATTATCTAACCATAACCCTCTCATTACTTGTTTATTTAATAAAATCATAATTTAATAAATTAATCGATTATTTAAATGAAATATTGATCCACAGTAACGACTAATAAGCATGTCCGTAGAAATGGACAGTCCGACAGTAGTAAAGAAAGAGTTAATTAATGTAGAAAAAAAAAATGATTAATAATATAGTTCTAAAATAAAAATATATATATTTTATATTAGATATATAATAATAATGAATAATGACGATTTCGTTGTTGTGTACTCGTCTCGCCTCGCTTATCTTGGCACTGCGTTTCGGTGTACATTATTGTTATTACCTATTTTAATTTTCAACACGCAACAAACGTTTCCGAGCCAGACTGGGAATTTAAATTTAAACGCTCACTACGGTGTCTTTTTCGCTGCTTTTTCTAACGGTTTTTTTTTTTTGCTCGAGGTAGCCCCTCGGACCTCGACACTAAACCCGCTCGGATAAAATGCCGTGGTGCCGCCACTGCGAGTTTTTGATACGATTATTACATTCGACAAGTCGTAGTTACAGTAGTTCAAGATGCCTGTAACCGCAAAATTTATTTTCTCTGTCTGTCTAATGCAGTGTTTCCCAACTTCTCTATTCTACTCCCCCTCGTAGATTTTCGAAAATCGCATGCCTCCCCTGGCCCCTATTATTTAAACATACGAGATAATTTTTTTTTAATTTCAGATACGTTTAATTTGTACATTTTATATTTTGTTCTTACAATTATTTCACCATCGCTACATGATGCTCCCCACGCAGTACCTAAATTCCTCTCCGGTGAAAAATGTCCTCCCATGTTGGGGAAACACTGGTCTAACGCGTAATATGACAACGGTTACCTGCAGGTCGAGTTTGGGGTAAAATGACATACCATACTTTTTTTTAAATTAGAATATTTACTACACCTTTGCCGAATGATTTGTTTTATACGGTTTCCGTTTGTTGATGAGTTATTATAATGATTAAAATTAAGATAAATTAAAACACGCATTATTCCGCGGTAAAAAACGAAAATATTAAAGACAAAAAAATCATCGTAATACTCTAAATATATATGAACAAATATACATAAAAAAAAAAAAAAAATGTATAATAGGTCTCTTTGACCTAAACTCGACCGAGGAGTCGTGATCGGTACGGTGCTGTATTATGTTGCTGTGTTACGCGCGATACGGACGGAGAAAACGAACTACGTTGTAGAGGCCCCTCGATACAACTAAACCGGGTTAGACATGGTTCAGTCAAGTTGTTTTATATTCATAAGCGAATGTATACCGATACAACTGTTGTTAAAAAAAAAAAATAATAAATAAATAAAAAACTTCTAAACGCAACTTATAGATTTAAAAGATTAAACCGTATAGAGAATAATATACGTGCAAAACAACAGCAATACAAATAAATCTTTAAAGTGTGCCTACACCTGCCTGCCTACCTACCTACCTACCTACCTACCTACCTACCTACCTACCTACCTATACCCATCGATAATAATTTATGTTAAATTCGTGACGTACTACGAAATTTTAAATTACGAGTACCCGCCTATTTATACACGCGTAATAATATATACACCAGAGTAATAATAATGTTTGCACTTTTGGTTATTATAATATACGTCATTCAGTAGGAATAATAATATTATTGTACCTGCATAATATTATAAGATGATTGTGCATATACGAGAATGCAATCGATAATGTACACGTTTTCGTTTTTTTTTAGGTTTTCTTTTTAAATTTAATCGATTTGTTTTAAAATTGAATATTATTCTATAACGCTGTTCCGTACGTCGTCACAGTACTATAAATTATTATTGTTTTTTATTTTTTTTTTAACAGCCCGAGTGCTCATCGTTCTATTAGTCATATAAATATATATATATATATTGTATTGTTTTACTTCGAAATGAATTTTAATTACATTTATAGAATTACATTATTATTGTTGTATCACACGACAAGTGCTAATTTAACATGACCAATATCTGTATAATGTTTGTCGAACCGTGCTGCGACTGAAAGTTTACTGAATTTCATACTATCTATATAAATATGAGAATCTATTGGACTCGAACGAGCTCTGAAATCACTCGTCCAACGGTCGTGCGGGTTTTTAGACGATACAGTACGTCGCGGTCCGCGGAGCAGGTTTTGCGCCCGATTCGGTAAGTTCGCTAACGGCTTTAATAAATATACCCGACAAATTCGCTATATAGAGCTCAGGTCAATAATGAGCATACCACTATTTTTATAAACACCGATCGTCGGATCGTATTCGCGTTACACGTAGATTAGTGAAAATTAGTATGACATTTTTGCCGGAATAAAATGGAAAATACGAAATCTTCAGTTGCGATTAAAAAAACCTCAATAACGCGTTGTGATGTTGATTTCACGGTTATAGGTTTAAACACCTGACTTTAAATTATTGCTATTATGGTAGTATTATAATTGTGCGTGCATATTCGAAGAAAAAACGGTAAAACATAAAGAATATTTTGTATCTATTGAAACGAGACGAAAATAGGTATATAATCGTAATTTCGTAGTACAGGTGAACAGTTTAAGGGGCGTAAGAGTATGCGTTTATATAAGTAGGGCTCGGGACTTGAAATTCACACAAAAAGCACTTAAAAACATCAAAAAAGCCTTGAAAAAAACGCACTTCAAGCAAATATAATCAGACCAAATGGTAGAAGGGTTTAAACGTATAACGATTTTAAATTATTAAATATAACACGACACAAATGATTAACAAAAAGTTAATTTGTTTAAATAAAATTTTACGTATTATAAAAAAAAAATAATTTCAGATTAATAACTTGTGTAGTATTAAAAAATTGTATTCAATAAGTTAAAGTCGTTTAGAGTGGAAATATTTACACCCTTTTTTAAATATTTTTCAAATTATTTTTTCAGAGCTTTTTGGATCGTTTTTAAAGAGTTTTTGTTATGGATTTTAAGTGCAATAAGTTCCGTGGCCTATTTATAAGTAATTAACGATTAAAATCGAGAGAAATTAAATTAAAACTCGACGATGTGTTGATAGTTATCGTTTTACAGACGCGTGACTTTATAATAATTATAAAAATATTACGTATGCACTCGAACCAAAACGGTATAACAAAAGAAAGATTTAATTCATCGAAATGAGACGAAACTATAAAAATAAACATGCGATAATCGTATACCTATCTATTGTGCGTGCGATGCGATCCGTCATAGACTTTATTAATATTATGATTTATAACTTTTATTACGACGTTTATTGATAATGCTATATTTTTTTTATGTGTGTTTTTTTTGTTTATATTTTTGAATTCTGAGTGCGGCGAGAAACGCATTGGTTTTACTGAGTTGCGTTTTTTCTTTTATTTGATGACGTCCACCAGAAATCTTGTTCCGATCAGAACACGATAAGAGTGCTTTATTCAATCGAATAGAGGATATATAGTTCATTAGGGAGGTCGCTTTTTTATTTTCCTTTTAGTTTTCTTACTTATGACTGGGAAAAACCAGAAAGTTTACGACAAATACCGGTTTCGTTATTTTAGACACGTGCATTATTCACAAAACATTGATATTTCCTAGACGTGATAAAATTCTGACGATTTCGAGCTATTTAAAGACATTACAAATTTTCGAGTTTTGTAGTTTTTATGTGGATAGAAATGTTTTGCCCGAGCAAAATTGCTTAATAGTTTTACTCGAGATTTGTCATAATTTCCATATAGTGGTGAAATAAAAAAAAATTTTAGCGGTATAATGTTTAATTTTTATAACTCATTTTAAGTTCAAATTTCGAAACAAATATTTTTAAAATTAAGGCATTTCAAAATTGTTTTAAATGAACTTCGCTCAAAATGGTATTTTGTGGGCGATAATTTATCACTACGCGAACGATTTACGTACAGATAATATAAATTACATAATAACTCGATCTATGTGTCCTATCTTTCCAACTTCAAAACTACATCAGTGGCACCACTCATCAACAGTATATCAGCTCTTTGTTGTTTTTTTCACACATATATATATATATATTAATAATAGTAAACAAAAGTACTTATATCTCTTACTTACAGCTGGTCTATCAGTCGTTATTAATTATAAGTGTCGGTTTAAAACGAATTAGATGCACTATATGTTAGCCTGCAGTATACAGTTGTACCTTTATATTATTTTAATCGGTTCTTTAACTCGCAGTAATTATTCCGTAAAATATATTTTATAAGTGCTCTACCGGTTGATTTGTAATTCTGTGTACAAACCGTGCCCGGATATATTACTCCGATAAGATTTATCTCGTCGGTTTTAAACGACGGTATTTTTCGTTTTATATAATATTATATACCCATTCGAAATTGAATGTACAGTGTAGTTTCACTCAAATGGTAACACGAAATATGTCTGTTCAGTGACCTCAGATTGAAATGGCTTTTTCAAGAGAAGATAGGGAATACTAAAATACACATTTTGCATGAATTTTCAAATTGCTTAACCTTTCAGTGTGCGCATGCTCAATAAAACTTTCAATTTTTTAAATGGAAACACCTATTTACAACACTTGATTTAAATAAACCGTTTTTTTTTTAAGCAATTTATATAAATAAACTTTTCCCTTATCTCGACAATTTACCGAAATACAGCTAGTTAAAGTTGAAACAAAATTATTTTATTATTATTACCTAAATTAATTTAATTTTAAACAATTTATTATAAAAAATACTCATCATTCATCATTTTCTTATAAATTGTTCGATGTTTTGTCCATTATGTTGTAAACATGCTTTTGAACGTCGTACGACTTCATCTTGAGTAGCTGCCATAATTTGTTTGTCAGTTGTGCGCATGCTTCAGTGATTTTTTTGTTTGCTGGAGACTAATCGGTGGGTCAGCATAAACTACAGTTTTTAAATATCCTCAAAGAAAAAATCTAAAGGCGTCAAATCAGGTGAACGCGCTGGCCAAGCTATCGGTCCATATGTCCCTATAAATCCAATAAATTTATAGTGTGGATTAATTGGAGGTTCCGTAATAGGCCCCTATTTTTATAATGAAACATTAAATGGAAGGAGATTTTGGATTTTCTCTCTATCCACTATTTGTTAAAAAATATCCCATTAGATATTAGGGAAAACGTATTTTTTAGGAAGATAATGTTCCCGCAAACAACAGTATTATTGTAAGACAATACTTATGTAGCTCATTTAAAAATCGTTGGATGGAGAAATATGGACCGATAGCTTAGCTGGCGCGTTCACCTGATTAGACGCATGTAGATTTTTTTTCTTGGGGACATTTAAGACTGTAGTTTATGCTGACCACTGATTAGTCTCCAGCATTTAAAACAAAAAAATCACTGAAGCATTCGCACAACTGATAAACAAACAAATCATGGCAGCTACTCAAGATTAAGTCGTACGACGTTAAGAAGCATGTTTACAACATAATGGAAAACCTTCGAATAATTTATAAGATAATGATGACTGATGAGTATTTTTTGGAATAAATTGTTTATAATTAAAATAATTTGATAAAAATAAATAAATTTTGTTTCAACTTTAACTAGCTGTATTTCGGTTAATTTTCGAGATAAGGAAAAAGTTTATTTATATAAGTTGCTTAAAAAAAAAAATGGCTTATCCAAATCAAGTGTTAGAAAAAGGTGTTTAAAAAAATACAAGTTTTATTGAGCATGCGCATACTGAAAGATTAAGGAATTTGAAAATCCATGCAAAATGTGTATTTTAGTATTGCTTATATTCTCTTGAAAACCCCATTACAATTTGAGGTCACTAAACAGAAATATTTTGTGTTACCATTTGAATGAAACATACTGAATTCTACACTAGGTATACACGCGTTTATATCGAATCCCGGCTTTAAAACCGCATTTTCGTTGGATTAGTTTCAACAGGCGGGCATTAAAGTTTATACGTGATATTTGCTCATGTAATATTTTACGATAGAACGCAAAACGCTAAAAGTAAAACTTCCATTTTACAGAATGTCGTCGACAATAATATTATGATAATAGTACCTATACAGTGTTTCGATATCAATTGGATTTATCGTGATGCCGGCACTCCCATAAGTTATAACCGAATATATCAATCGGATTATAAAAACACTCGAATAATCGTAACGTTTTTTATACGGGATGATATTTTATTAGACATTAAATAGGTTTTTAGTAGCGTTTTCCAACACAACAAAATGTGTTTTGCCATTAATTCGTTTAAATCATAATTTTTATTAGGTAGATTTTTTTTTTTTATTTAAATTTACTTTACGCTCTTTTACTTTTATTGATACTGCCGCGATCTGACGACCGACCGGCTGCCTCTCGTCAATCGCGCGCGGATTCGCGCTGTTTTTGTTGTGTATTTCGTGATGATCGTAACGCGTGTAGAGAATCAAAGTACAAAATTATTCCAGGTTTTTGCATTTTTTTAAATACAAAATAAAAAATGTCAATCAGAAAATGAAGCAACATTGAGGCGCTCTAAGGTGCAGATAACTAAAAAATAATCTTCCGAAGAGATGCTATAAAGAAATAAAATTTTCAAAACTTAGATTCAGTTGTTTTGGAGCAAATATATAAATATCTCTTTGAGGACAATTTTTTTAGTTTTTAAACATTTTCGATCAGCATTCGAGATCAATGCTATAGAATAGAATATTTGTCGGTTAATCACATTTAAATGTTTGCGCCGAAATTACCTGGGAAAATTATCGCTGCTCACAATTCAACGAATTTTCAAACGGCAAACTGCAGTATTAAAAATGTCGTAAAAAGACGGAGATTCAGTCGAATACATTTCGGCGTTGACATGTCCATGTCAACTCATTGTGATAATGCTATTTGTTTAAAACAAATTGTATGAATGTTACGGTAAATTTGATCGTATATAATGTTTATGAAATTCCTCTCTTTGTACTCTTGTGTATAGGTATACGCGCTATTTTATACGGTGAGGGTAACACAGGGGCGGATCCAGGACAAGAAAATGGGAAGAGGGCGATTTTGAAAATGCATATAAGTCACGCATTTATGACGAGCTCATTGATGAGTAAGAGTAAGAGTGAGGGTATAATGGAGAGTGAACTAGCCCCCCCCCCCTTGGATCCGTTCTTGCTGGTACATTTAATCGGGGACGACCGGTATATTTATTAAATGCCGAAAACAGCCACCGAAGGCAACTGGTCGAAGCCGCTCGCCGCGCCGTGCGGAACAACAGGGTATTGTATTACAGTATTGCGAGGCGGGCCGGTACTCCCGTGTTTTCCCGACTTCCCGCCTACGGCGGTGATGTATTACGGCACCCCCACCGGCAGTATTATCGGCCGTTTTGTTTTTTATCTCGTTGTTATCGAACCGTGTGAAAATTTCCCCATTCGTGAACCGGTACCGTAACAGATTTTAGATGGTAAAAAAAAAATAATAATAATTCACCTACACCGTTTATAATAACAATAATAATAATAATAATAATACAATACGATAATGTTATACACACGCGTAATTCGACCGACCGATACCGTAGGTTAGGTTCGATCGGGTCGATTGTGTAAACATTTTTAATTATTAGCGTTATAACGGAAACACACACGGCCAGGTATTACGTGTACGCGCCGGCCGCCGTCCTATCTAATCTGGCGTACCCGTGTACGAACCGCAATTATTTCGAAACGTTTAGCATTAATATAATATCAATACATAAAATAGGCAATAATATGCCTAGTCTGCAGTCGCTAATTAATATTTTACACGGTACACGATATTATTGTGACGGCGTTAATAACGCCGGCCGGAGCGTTTCGCGGTCCGCTGCAGTGTGTCTCTGAATTTAGTCGCGTCGATACGTAAAAACATTGTACGGAGTACCCGACCCGCGATAACGCAGCGTTATAATAATAATATTGTGATATCGTAATGACATTGAGGTGATGTTATAGGTCGGTTATTTTCTTCGGGGCGAAACAGAACGAAAAAAAAAAAGAAATAGAAAAACGCAACAAAAACTCGAGCGCGATTCCCGGTCCGATTTTCGTTTTCGCCCTTGTTTACCCCGGGCGCGGTATACTATATACGTATAGGTAAATTCGTATGCTCGTGCGGGATACGTAAAACGGTTTTTTTTTTTGTTATAAATAAAATGTGTTTATTATGGTTTTTTTTTCTAGAGAATTTTGTTTGGCGTGGCACTCGCGTGTGGGCTCCCAAAACACGAACGCGCCGGCCCACCGAGTTCAAACGTTGTTCAACGACCTAGGACTGTACCCGACCACTGCTCAAGGTGATTTTTTCCAGTTCTTACAAAACTCGCCTCATTCGTAGTATTACATTATACGCGTGAAAATTTTTCGACTTAACGCCGCCGTCCTGGTTTTTCTCGGCGGAATTTCTCACGTTTTGTTTTTTCTGTTTTTTTTTCCGCGCAGTCGCCGAAATGATGCAGTGCGTGATGAAATGCGCCAATAGAGGCCCGCCCGTTTGCATGACGTTCGCCGAATTCTGTTTGTTGGCCAAAAAACTGAAAAACGGCTTGGACAGAGGGTAAATAACCGCACCACGATACAATATTGTAATATTACGCTATTTGAAATAGAAACAATTGTTATTATTTATAATACTGCTCTGTGTGTGTGTGTGTGTGTGTGTGCACGCGTTATAAATTATTGTTGTTTCTGCCGCAATAGTGTAACGTGTTATATTATAGAAATACAACTTACTTTTTTCGACAATTATTATTGCATACATAGGTATAAGTGCCTAATCAAAATATTTATTTTTAACACGCCAAACCGATTGAAATAATGTGTACCCTAATCTATTATCACTACAGGGCAGATATTTACAATGAATTTTTGCACGTTTTTGGTTGTTGGTCGAACAAAGAAAAAACGGCTACATAGTTTCATTACACCAAAACGTATTTCAATAGCTCGTATTTTGTCCGTGCTTAGAGTACGTTTCGTATATAATTTTCAAGACTCGGCAAAACGAATATAACAAAACAATATCGTCCAAACTCGTAAAATGAACAAGCGAGCCGACACCGCCACCGGTGTTTAAAACAGAATACTATTAATTTGTTTCACCTGAACGGCGGTCGTCAATAGGCTCAGGATTTTCTGCATATAAATGAAATGCAATTTTGGTAACTGCATACCGGCTTCGTATATTTTAATAGGTTTTTAGGGCATACACACTTTTGCTCTACATATCGCGTTTCTTATCTTCGCCTCTTACCGCGTGCACAACACGAAATAATAATAATAATATGTCCTCGTAGATCAGTCGTAGAAAATGATTTTGAATCTAAAACAAATATCTACCTACCATTTGTATACATATAAAAAACAAAAAGTGAAATAAATCACATTTTCCAAGGGCGTATCGAATCGATTCATGGTTTAATTGTATTAAACACATTTGGAATTAAATTGTTTTTAGGTTTCTAAACGTAAATTTGGACCATCTTATATTATGTCCGTTGTGCGTTCGCCCGTCTGTACGGTTATTATTACAAATATGTAGTTACGGTTGTTGATTTGGTTGACAAGGGGATACAATACATTACACGTGACATTATTATTGTCGTGGTTATTAATTACAACACGAATATTAATTCTAAAGTCATATTTATTAGCCAATGTTAAAAAAAAAAATACGTACTAAAATATAATTAATTCAATAATTTTCAAAAATGTCCCGTCAACTGTTTACAAATTAAGATATTTAAGAATATTTAAACTTTCTACACACGAGCATTTTTTTATTCTAGATTACCCAAAATCTTTCAAAAAAATTGTGTATTGAGTTATGGTTTATTGATTTAAATAAGTTTAAAAACCGGAGAATGTTCACACTCGCGGAGTGAGCTTTTCTATAGTTTGTTTTATATTTTTATTAATCTATATAGGGAACTATTTTAATTCGAAACACATTTCATACTGCGTTTGTTATTTTGCAGCTATAATGTATAATTGTTTTAGATAAAAATATGTAATTGACCGCTTTTTCGCATTTTTAAGACTCAACACCTTTTACCCGATCAACTCAGAATTGATATTATATTACACAGTAATTTTATAAACGCGTTAACATAGTATACGAGTCGGTTCTGCAGCGTTCCAGCAAATTCCTATTTACAGATGACATTTAAAATAGCAAAAAGTGTACCTATATAATATATCAATTATTAAAAAGTATTTTACGGTCTATTATAGTAAGTTATGTTCCTATACTGATTTTTTCTATCCGACGGATATTTGTATGCACTTTCACTATATAAGTAATTACGTACATAGAGGTAATAAACTAATAATTATCATGAATAAAGGAAATCGATTCTTTCGCGACGCATTATAATGTGATATAATAATGAAAAAAATACTAAATAATAATAGTCGAGTTCTTATGTAGTATGTCGTCGTTACTAACGACGACGTTACTCATTAGAAAAAATGACCCCTCTCCTTTTTTTTTTTCTGTAAGCACAAATTATCACGCATACCTATTATAAATCTATATATAATATTTACCTGTCAATCGAATAAACAGGTATTACTTAAGTATAGTAATGCAAATGAGAAAACGAAAATGAGGGAAAAAGTCGTATTGTATAAAATACGAATTTCGCTCTGTTCAGTCTTAGAAATCCATCGCGTACGTATCGTGACTAACCGCTTTAAAATAAACATACACAATACACATTTATACGTCTTGTTTTTGTATACATAATTCGCATACACAAGTACCTATCCAACAATACAATACCTCTAACTACTGTATAATTATTCCGATCCTCGAATGATATATTATTATTACTCTATGGGTATGGTAATATACGTAGGTTATATACATAAATAATGGTCATAATTATTAATACGTTGAAAAATAATTGTTCATTTGTCGTGCACGAGTCAAATAGTCTTTACACCCGACTTGATTTACTCGTGTTTATTTATAATGGTGATATAAACACGAAATTATTTCGACGCAAAGTTGGACTAATTCCCATAAAATTAAACGCGGAAAATATAATATGTGTAGTATGTACGTACTTACTGTTATTTTTTTTTTTAAAGCGGTAGTATAGATACCTCCTTTATCTCGTGTAAAAGCCACAGCCGTCATACCTAACGCTGGACTGGATAGTTGTCCGGATTTTCATTTTCTCCCCGAATCGGTACGGCCATTTTTATTTCCATGCCTAACCTTTCGTTCGAAAATGCTATTAACGCTAATTCTCTATGACAATAGGTATATTTATAACGACTAAAGTCTTAATTTTTAAACTTCTTAGCATAAGTTGCATAGGTAAGACAAATTAATTTTGAATTCCTTTATTGTACCGGGTTTATCCATTTAAGTGGGTACACTCTTTATCTCGGAAAGTATTAACTTTTTCCGGAATTTATTTTCTAAAACATTTAAGAAACAAACTACTCTACAATTTTATATTTATATTATTTAATGTCGCCCTTATTTTTTGGTTCCCCAGAGTTTGCGTTTTCTAAATGTTGCTTTAGGTTCCTTAAATAAGCATACAAGTCGACAGAATCGATTAATCGATAGTTTAAATATCTACATCTACATTTTACATACCATTTTATTAATTTTTTTTAATGCGTTTTGACAATTGCATATTATTTTTTATCTATAGGAAAATGTGTAGGTTCTTATTGTTTCATTATTTAAATATACGTTTTTTCGCTATTTTAAGTTGAATTTTTGTCTCCATACAGTAATATACGTATAGTATACAATCACTACGTTATTTTTTACTCTAAGCATTTCACGAATATATTGTAAATATTGTTATTAACCTATAATAATATATTATTTAAATTAATTATCAACATACCGGGTATAGAAAAACCTTTGTACAACTAAATCGTCAGATATGGTCCAATAAGGTAATTTAATGATAATTTGTATTATACTATGAAATAAAAAAATAAATATTCTATTGAAAAATAAAATATTAGACGTATTTTAAGACAATGAATTACTATACTGAGTTAGTTATTTTGTTTAGCAATTCATGCGGTAGCCATTTTCAGTCCGTTTCTTCGTACTCCATAAATTTCTAGTCACTATTTTCTACTTAGTCATCGATTTCGCCATGCTGAAAAGTTTTGTCTCTAGCACATAATGGAGTCGGTTTTTTATTGTTTATTTTTTTTATGGACGAAATAAGTAGAACTGATCTAACAAGTTATACTTATAGAACGGATCTTTCAACTTTTCAATATAGATGTGTCTATATCTTACATTATTTTATGTGAAATTCTCAGCACCATTATTCCTAGCTTCCTGTGTTTCATCTGAATCAATAGATCAATTGGCAACATAAATTTTCAACAATTTATGGTCCGGGAATTCAAATTTTGTAAACGGGCACTAGTAAATAAAATCAAGGATATTTATACTGATAAATAATTGAGCAGTCTCAAATCATAAAGGAAAACTGGTTTATGAAAATCCGGGCAAATGTAGACAGCTGGAAATTATAAAAGTCTATTAAGAAAAACTTATAGAATTGTAATATTATCTCACATACAAGTACATTGTAATAGCATTACAATTAGGTGTTACTTCAATTTATTTTTTTTTTAAAACAAAGTTTAATATTTTCACAAAAACAACGTATCTGTATTTTTAATCAACTGATTTTTTTTTTTTACCATATAGGCGATATCAAACTTAAAAAGATTAACTTTTTTCGATAAAAACTATATTACTAATATATAGATAGTAGGATAGCAGATACGGGTGATCGCAAACATATTAGGCAGTTATCTCCAGACTATTAGATAAAAATATGTCTAGACTGATATAAAATAACATTTTATATTTGAATATAATTATAATTCCCATATTTTTCCCAGTTATTTTTTATTTTATTTGTTCGGACCGCTGCAGCGCAATGTCCTGTTTTAGTCGCGTGCATTTTGTACCGTTTAAAAAAAGTCGATTTGCCCACATTCATTTGAATATTTTTACGAGTTTGATACAGATTACATACACAGACTATACAAAATAATATTTGACGTATATATCCTACATGACTAATATCTATCTATTTTAGACGAGTGACTTTTACAATGTCTATGTAAAATAATGCCGAAATACAAGCAAAAATTCTAGTTTTGTACTTACACATGTATGATATATAACTGTACTGTGATTAATTGTTTAATAATAAATATTCGTGATCAAATGACAGATTACAGCACCTATATAATCGTACATAATATAAAAGTACAACGACACCGGTGACTGTTGTATACACACGATCAAATGAAACACTAGTCGCGGTTTTATTATAATATTATATTATATTAACTTAATGTGTAACCAATATTATAGCATAAGAAAACCTAACGGATAAAATAATAACATAATGGTCGTAATTAATGTTTGCAGAATACCGAGGTCGTTGCAATTTTCACGTCTGTTGGAAAAAGATCAAGAAATAATACACAACAGGGGAATAAAAAAAAACACGAGTAAGTCAAACCACGAAAATAACATTACCTATACTATAGTCATAATATTATAATAGAAAATATAGGTATAGTAAAAATCTATTAAATAAATGGATGGACCATCAATTGTGTGCGTTCCAAAGATACTTCTGTTGTCATACTGCACTGGTTACAAAATATATTCCATACGGTTGACATTTTTTATTATTATTGATTAGTTTTACATGGTTTTGTGTCTTTTAGTTCTTCTGTACAATTTTTTATTCCGATTCCAATTGTTCTAATATTTTAAACTTTTACCTATATTACGGTATTATAGGTAGATTATCTACTCGGGATAAAGCTACTAAAGAATCTGGCTCAGTGGCGTAGCCAGGATTTTTTTAAGGGGGGTGTTTATATGTAACTTTTTTGTGCACGTGTAGAACACAAAACATTTACTTAATAATTATCTATCCGAAACATAACTCATCTTGTATAAATCTGATGCATATAACTGCAAATACTAAAATATAATTTTTGGCTTAAATATAGTCAAAAGGGGGGGGTGTTTGAACACCCAAACGCCCTCCCTCACTACGCCACTGAATTCTGGCTTGTATCTTTACTTATACTGCAGTATTATCTATTATCTTCTGGTCCACAGATAATTATATAGATAATTAACTTGATTGCTAACTTTAACCTATAATGTATTGTATCTAGCCATTTTGAATATAGATGGAACAAAATTATAAACACTAAAATCGTAATTCTTTCATAATAGATCTAAATTATTTATTTTTTACCTTTATTATATTATTTATTATTTATTTTCAACTTAGCACATTTTAGTAAAATTATTTTTATAGTGTTTATACGAACTTTTAATACATTTCCATAATGGCATACGGGGTGTATATTATAAAAGGTGAATAGATTATCAATTTATGTAGATAAAATGCGAATAATATATTCACAATAGTCAACAGCGTTAAAAATCCTTGGTCAGCTGTTGCTCACATTGTGCAAGGAATCATTGTGCAAAATGTATTAAGTCTCTCAGTCCCAGTGGTTTGGGCCACGCGTTGAAACGCCAGTCTGCCGGTTTCCTCTCTCATAATACTAATATAGATACAAAACGTAAAGCTTTACTAATGATTGTAATGCAATATATTTAATTGTTCAACGGATTTTAATATTTTATAAACTTTGGTTAGAAATTAAAATAGACGTCATATGATGGTTATGATTACGTGCTGAAACGTCGTATTGTACCATATTTTGTAGACATGAATAAGATTAGATATACCTACTTACCGTTTATACTTACTCAAAATGCCTAGTAATCTAGTTTATTATCGCTATACAGATATCTTTTTTATTTTTTTGTTCATATAAATATATTACCGACAATATTATACATAGTGGCAGTACCATTATATTATTTCTGTACAATACACCCGTGCTTCGCAAACTCAACGTTGCGTTTATCAGAAATACCATATTACAATGATGGTCCATTCATTTTTTCATTTTCCACGGGTCCATCTGGTATTTCTATCGATCGTTCGTCTAATCTTCGTGTTTTGTTGCTTCGTTAACGCAGGAAGTGACGTCCATAGCTACGACGTGTTCCTGGGCGGCTCTTGCAATCCGACCACGTGGCGCAAAGACATCGCCATACCGTACTTACAAGAGGCCGGGGTATCATTCTACAATCCGGTTGGTATATAATAATAATAATAATAATATAATATTATTTTAACAAAAGCGGACAAATTAATGGCAACAGTTAACTCGATTGCGAAAAAACCTCCAGTTAAAAATCAAAAGCCTAACGGTAAAAAACGAGGTGTTATTTTATTTACCAAACCCGGTTTTAGGAACTTAAACGCGGTTTCTCAATCAAATAATTATCCCGGTAAATAATTGTAATAGGTGATTTGCGCAGTACCTAACGAGAACTGCCAATTAAAATTTAATTTCAAAAATATAATTATCTTCTTTAATTCGCCACCTCAACTGGATGTCCATACAAATTAACTGTAAAAAGTTTATATGATGTAGATAGGTGATCGACGTCCTGCAGACGTCCTCTGCAGACCTCGGTTTTTCGGTGATAATATGACGATCATAGACCGGCAGGTTTATCTGATAGGTATTATCAATAATCAATGATAAGGCACGATAAGTGTGACACCAATAATGTGGTAGTTTTGGATAGATTTCATCGGTTCGAAAAGAAAAGTTGATATTTCAAATAGTTTTCGAGGTATAAATATTTCAATATCGACATCTTTAAAAATTTGATCGTTAGGAAATAATCCAAAATGATATCAAAAATATGTATTGTTTTTTATTATAATCATTTGTAGTTATTGATATTTTGAGAACAAAGTTTTTTTACTTTAAAAGAATAACTACAATATGTGTCAGAATAGCATAATAAGCATATGTTATAATTGTATGTACAATATAATTGCGAATAATAAGAAGAGGGAGGCCAACAAGTGACGGAACCCATACAAAGTATTTTTTTTATTGAATTCAAAATAAGTCTATCTGGCTTAGTTTTAGAGTTATAAACGTTCAAACGAAGTGTATTTCGATGAGCTAACTCGGAAAATTTTAATCGAAAATAACCCTGATTTATTGTAGAAAGCTACGTTGGATGGAACACAGGATAAAATCAAATGCATCATTAATGTCGTTGTTATAAATTGGCGAAATATAATGTGTTTCGAGTGTTTGAGATTTTGGCGATTTCGAGATATCGATATCTCGAAAACTATTAGAAATATAGATTTTCTTTGGTGTGTTCTTTTCTCGGATCGATGAACTCCATCCAAAACCACCATAATTTTTTGGCGCCACACTTATCGAAATCTTGCTAGTAATAATATAATTTAATAACCGGTTTTAAAACGAAAAGGTAGGTATGAGGTTTTTTTTTTTATATAAATCGCCGATTACAGAAAAACGCGCTCGGACGTGTGTTTTCGCGGAAATCTAATCCAACATTTTCGACATTCCGAACTTCCTATTTCCGTGTATGTTTTTTTTTTAACTCAACGACGACCGAGAGTGCACGCGCCGCCGAGTGTCAATTAATAAAGCGCAATTTGACACCGCTAAGGTTACCTACATAACGTACTCGTGCAATAATAATAGCGCGTCTATCAATATAATAATAATTATTGTTTGTTCCTTTCTAAATACGGCTTCGAATAATAGTGTGTGTGTGTGTGTGTGTGTGTGTGTATTTAACTCAAGCGATGGTGACCAGAGGCGGTTACGGTTTTGGAAAAATATTCTGCCACGAGACATACCTTGGTATAGCCAGTATAGGTAATAACCTCGCATCTGCATCGAGCATCGTTTATCCTGCAGAGCCAAGCACGTCCAAGGTACCGTTACCGATGAGTTCGATTTTCTGCGTCGAGATTATCGAAAAAAAAAACAACAAACTTTTCAATATGCACTAAAAATATAATATAGTTACAATAATTCCGAAACAAGCGGCGTGCCTTTTATCGTCGCGTTACTGATACAATAATAATTATTGTCGTTGGCACACATTTAAAATACTAATGCATTTTTTGCGTTAATTTTTAATTGAGAATATTTTGATAACGTCAGAGGTAGGTATCTAAAATAAAAATACTTAATATTCCACGATAAAATAGAAACCGCGTTCAAAGGCGCATACCAATTGGAACGATATTGCACGGATGTTTTTACATATAAAAAAAAACCTCGAAAAACTGTAAAGAACCTTATACCTGAGGTATTCGCTGATATATTTTAGATACATTATAATATATGTATAGACGTGCAATATCAGACTTTTTGAGCAGGTACCTACTATATTATACGGCATTGACGCATTGACCGTATAATATATCACGTGACTATTATCTGTTAGAGGTATTCCAAACGATATATTTTATACCAAACGCGATAATCGGTAACCTACCTACGTCATAAATTATGTAGGTTTATTATATAAACGTGAAAATTCATTTTTGTGTCAGTAGGTGATATTATTAGGTAGACGATATAATATTGAAACGTTTCGAATGAAAAAAAATTAAAAGAGCTAATACTGAACAACGAGTGCGACCATTCTGTTTTAGGTGGGAAGTTGAGAATAGGTATAGGATATTATAGAGGAAAATTAAATTCATATATTATGTACGCAACGATCAACCATTGCTAAGGAAAAACGATTCTTAGCGGAGTTCGCCCATTTGTAGTATTGATTTTTCAAAAATGTACGTTCACGACAACGATTGTTTGAAAAAGATTTAAAATAATAAAAAATCAATAATAACGAAAAAAAAATGGTTTTCAATGACAAATCTTATGTTTAATCTTTTGATTTTTTTAATCTTAAGAACCAGAGTTTTACCTCATTATATCGAATATTAATGAGAATTTCAAGAAATTACCTTTATCAAGTACCAACTAGGACCAAAATACAACAAAAATGTCTCTTGTCGAGTTTAGTTTGGAACAAGGTTACTACTAAGAGAAAATTTGTTTACAGACAAAAAAAAAAATACACATCATAGTAAAACCAATAGATCTCTCGTTTTACTCAGTATCTAAAATGTAGTATCTAAAATGTCATGTACTTTCACAAGACGTTTCCGGTACCGTTACATAGTAATTATCTACTGCAGAACGGTGTAAATTTATTCTGGGTTTCTCCAGTCGAAAACTAACTAATGTAGACGTGTATAAATATATAAAGCATGGGATAGACAAAGGTGAACAAATTAATGCAAATTACAATGTAGGTAACCCTTAAAAATGAAATTTTACAGAATGAACATAAATATAGTTATTTTTGTGGTGCTACGGTCTATAAAGTTGACATTAGTGTCTTACTTTTCGAATTTAAACAATAATTTAATATTTTTAAATTCACTTTTCACCCACGGTTTATGTATAATACGTATTAGATTCTGTGCGAAGTGAGAAATGTACGGGTATTACTATAATGCGTTTCAATCAAACACTTTACACTTCATAAGGACCTGTAGCATTTTTTATATTGTTGGTGCGAAACTGAGGTGGTTTTATTTTGTTTTTCTTGTAATTATTTTAATCAATGGGAAAAACTGGCAATTTGTCGTATAACTTTTGTTGATTTCTGGGTCATCTTGGCAACAAGGGGAAAAATACGACTAATAGTAATTAGCTCAAAATCGTTTTTATGAGCAATGGTTTATCGTTGCGTACCGATATAAATTAAATGACTCTATATATATATATATATATATCTTTCCTTCCAGCTTTCATCCAATCCCATATAAAATAATTATTATAAAAAATATCAAAAACATTGGCAGGGGTCGCGTAAAGAAAAAATCTAATAGGGTTTTTATAAACATTCAATAGTAAATGGGCAGGCGTGGATACTTTACAAGAAAACAATAATTCGAACAGAATAAGTAAATACCTTTCATACCTTTCACCTCATCTTCTTAGTATCAGCTGTATATTATCTTTGTCGGTTAATAAAAATGTAGGACATTAAAAATTGTCTAAAATATTCAATTAATTTGTTTTTTTTCAACATATTAACCTAACCTTTACTTACCTACCTAACTAGGTATATTGTTTTGGGTGTATAAGTTGATAATTAAACGAAAATTCGAAAACATAGCTATGTGCCGCACCTATAACACATGTCAATTGCAAAATATACGCTGTGCTGATTATATGCGTCTCCCTAAGAAATTATAAAACTCGTAGAAATTACTGCAGGCACCGCAAAAAAAAAAAAAAATAATAATAAACCCAAGTTTAATATCCTATTTTTGAAACGTTGTGTTCTTTTCCCGTGTTCCCGTGTAGCAGGTGGATCAGTGGAGTCAGGACCTAATCGAAGTCGAACACGCCGCTAAGGCAAACGCGAAGATTCTGTTGTACGTGATCGACAGTCAAACCAGAAACGTAGTCAGCGACATAGAGGCGGCCAACTTCGCGGGCTATCAGAAGAACCTGATACTGGTCATCCATTCGTTCCAGGACGCGGCGGCCGGATCGGTCGTGGCCGGCGAACAGATATCCTCCAAGGAAGCCGAAGACATCCAGGAAGCCCTGACGGTGTTACATAAGCTCATGTTCAATCAAGGAGTCCTGGTGTACGACAATATATCACAAGCGCTGGGCAAAGTGGTTCAAGTAGGCGGACGAATTTTTTTTTTTACACTGTTTAAAAACGACCTCGCGTTACGTAGATTATTGTACGAATTTAATAATACCTATATTATCGTTTATTAGATTACCAAAGGCAAAAGCCAACAGAACAACGACGCCTGCGAGGACAATACCACGATCACTTGCCGGTAAGAAAACTATAAAAAGTTACTAAAATTTACAACGCGCCGCCGACAGGTTCGGATTAAGAGTTGTGGGGGTCATAGGAGCCCATAATAATAGGATAACAGTGGCGTATCCAGGGGGATTTGGGGGTTATAACCCCGCCCGAAATGTCTTTGAAATAAAAAAGAAATACTAATAGTTTTAAAAAAAGAATAAAGTGTTACACTTAACAGTTCACACAAATAATACAAATTAATAATATACAAGTCCAGTCCAGTGTAGTGTGTATATTATAATAATAGGTAGCTAAATGGTTATCGGTTATCGCTTTCGGTTATCCAAAAAGACAAAGTATTTTGCAATTGTCAATAGAAGAAGTATATCCACAGACTAATAGCTTTTAACTAAAAATCTATGGTGCAATTCGATGGGTCGATCACCATGATGCAGTTATATTATTTGAAGAACTTCAACCAGCCATTTTACATACACTAAATAAAATTACACTTTAGACAGATTCTGACACTTCTAGTTCTAAAAGTTCTTCTTTTAAGACTGCGATAAAACAGTTAAAATTTCAAACAGCTTTAACTATTTTGGTGAAAATACTTTACATAAGTTTTCCACTTAGCCGATATCTTCAAGCAGCAAATCTTGAATTAAAAACTGCATTAGAAGCTGCTAATGTTCAAAATAATATTCAAGATATTAGAGAAAATTATGATGTAGACTTTCAACAGTTATTTTTATCCGTGATAACTGTCTGTGGAAAATTTGATATAACTGTTAGTTTGCCACGTCAATCTAAATCAGATGATCCAGAATATTTTTTTAAGTATTCATACCTATTATAGGTAATTGTTTAGACCAATTGAACGAAAGATTTATATCGCACATGATTGTTTTGAATAATGTTAATTGTATTTTACCTAAGATAGAAATGAAAATATCTGAAGATATTAAAGGCCCGGTTCGGCCGGCCTTGTTTTGAAAACGGTTCCGAAGCGCTCAGCTGACTGCCCGCCTAGGAGCAAGGTCGCCAACCTAGAACCGAGGTCCGAAAACCGGAGTCCTGGGATTTTTGTTAGGAGGGAAAAGGGAAAATTGCATTAATCTAAATAAATAAACACATGTTTCTTTATGGGGAGAATAAGGAATTATTTTATCAAATCATTAATCATCAAATGAAAGTAAAGTTGCGTTGATGTGACAGAAAAGCCCATGGCATAAAAACTGTCAACCACGATAGAGTGAATAATAGGTACGATTTTGCACAGGTAAGTGGAATGCATAGAATGATAGGCATATATAAATATATAAACAACTTATATTTTAAACTCATATGGACACGGGGTGACTGGGGCGTCAACCAGTCTTAAACTTATAGTCCGCACACGTGTATTGATACAACGGGAGCGCGCAGGCCGGGACTCATTACTAGTTATTAATGATAACGAATTCACATCCACGTGCGCGTAGATCGATTTATAAATATTGAGACGGGCCACCAGGTGGAATTTCGCGGACACAGTATATATTTTGGGGAGGCCCCAGCAGGGATGTGACATTTGCCGGGTCACACAAACATTACAACCGGAAAGGGTAGCTGAACGCTTTTGTTCCAGATTGATTGGTCCGCGGTTATGGCGGCCCTGCGGGTTAACCTGCTGGGTGCGTCCGGACACGGATCGCGAGACGGGGAAATCGATCGATATTATATATAGGTTTTTTTTAAAACACGCGCACACGCACAGACTCAGTAGACGCGTGTTGATCCCCGTAGGTATAACGGAAGAATTTAACATAAAATACTGTATAGTACACGACTTCGACACACACGACGCGGATTGTAGGACGCGCGCGGAAACGGGAAAGTATTGTGTCGGGAGGTGTATACACGGTATGTTGAACGAATTGGTGGTTCGAGGGAAAGAAAACGAAAATCATTTTAAACAAAATATTTAAACGGGGCACATTAACACCAAACCAACTTAAAACTACTTAACTAAACGGGGTATAGCCCGATTATTAAACTGCATGTATATTACCAATCATCTCGCCCGAAAATGTCCGCCTAGCGGCCCGGATCGGGACACACTCCATCGGTTCGTTTGAGGCACCGTCGGGACAGGAAACATGCCAAGGTATACGACCTTTCTTAATGGCGAAAAATATGCGGACGCGTACAGCACGGGAGTGTTTTAGCGAAAAACTGTATCCAAAGACCGTCTGAGGACACAGTCCCGAGACGAGGTCGGGACACGAAGAGAGAAAAAGACGAAGAGTAAAACTGTGTAGGTGTCGGAGCGCCGAGACGTTCGTGACACACGTCGCCGCGGGCCGACGTTTTTAGCGATAAGGGAAAAACGTGATATGATTGGCCGTTAACCCGCGGTCGGGAATATAATATCATTGGAAATCGCGAAAGATTGCGATCGCATAGACGTTTTCGCGGGTGGGGGGGGGGGATTATTGATCACGATGACATAACATATCCGTCGCCGCGGGCGTAATCTGTTAACCGGTCGACCATATTGATTGTAGGTACGCTTGTCCTACGATGACGGAAAATGGTCGTTTTTGGGCGACCGCTAATGTTCAAAATAATATTCAAGATATTAGAGAAAATAATGATGTGACTTTCAACACACTGTCTGTGAAAAGTTCGTTATTGCTGTAAGTTTGCCGCGTCAATCGAAATCAGATGATCCAGAATATGAGAAAATTCAAACAATTAGTAGAAACATATCAAGATATAATTGATGAATGTAACGATTCAAATTTAAATGGTAATGTACTAAACGGAGAATTAGATTTGTGGTACACTAAATATTCAAATTTAACATCTTCCGAACTCAAAAACAAAAACACAATTGAAGTATACTTCCAAACTAGTTCAGATATTTATCCAATAATATCTAAACTTCTACAAATATTCATAACACTTCCAGTGTTTACTGTCACGAGTGAACGATCGTTTTCAACACTCCGTCGTTTGAAAACATATTTGAGAAATTCTTCGGGACAAATACGTTTAACTGGTTTAGCCTTACTAAAACGTGTTCATTGCGTTATCAATGATGTTATAGATCAAAACATCAAAACATAAAAATGAATAATTAATAATTTTTAAAAATGATAAATACTTCAACTTTCAACTTTTATATAATTAACGCTGTAAAATGGTAATAAAATGTTTATGTACAATTATAATACACACAAAATTCAAAACAAATTCATTTGTCATATTTTTTTCAACCCCCCCCCCCCAAAAAAAAAAAAAATTCTTAATACGCCGCCGCTGTGGGATAAGCCTATTAAAATGGAATAAATAGTCAAAGAAAAAAAAAATCATTAACTATTTCATTCAACCCATAATATTATGGTCTTTATTGGTCCCTATTTCTCGTGGCCCCCTACTAGCCCCCACTCCCTAAGCTGGCCGCCTATTGTGTACCTGTCTATAATATATTAATATTATTGTTGATATCGTTTCAGCAGTATGCGCGATGCTTTCAACAAGTCCGACACCAAAACTACTGGCAAGATAACCATTTTCGATGTATGTGGGTAGGACTCGAATGATTATGATTGACGTTGATGCGATCGATTATTAACCAACAATGTGTTTTTTTTCTTTTTAAAACGATTTTTTAATTCAGGTAAGAATGGCTATTCGATTGTTGACCAATCCAAATCTGTCCGCAAACGACGTGTTAAATCTTATATCCGAGAACAAAGATTCTAATGGTAAATACCTAATATCCCTATACTTACCTACCTACCTACTTATTATTATATTGTTTTGAAAAACCTCAATAAATATTACGAATTTCAATGTTGTTTCAGATGATCGGCAAGGTTGTTTTACATTCGATCAATTTTGCGCTATCGCTTTTAAATATCTACAGTTACCCGATAAACACCATCGAACAAATGGTTTTGAGTATTTTGACATTGGTAATTTAAATACACACCAATATAGATTTTAATTTGACGATTATATTATAATAATTATAATTACGTTTTTCTCAGGCCGTGAATATGTTGAAATGACAAGATCTTCAAAAACAACAGATATATATTTAGCAGGAGAAAGTGGCGATGATATTCGATGGAAAGAAGACATTGCCATTCCCTTGATCAAGTATAAATAGTATAATATTATAATACTAAATTTCTTAGGCGATTTTACTTATTTCCCTGGCTTATATATTCACATTGTTAATTTTTTATTTTTAGAAAATCTAATTTAACATATCACACAGCAGTGAGAACAGACTTATCAGTATTATTAGATGCGCACACATTGTTATTTGTAATTCCAAACAATTCAAGATCTTTGGCAACCATGACACTGGTAAATTTTGTCATTTTACACATCCATTTAAGTTTGGAATACACAAAATATTTTGTTTTCTTTTCTTTTTTTTCAGGCATCATATTGTATAGCCAAATGTTTTAGAATGGTGCTATGCATTCAGAATCTCACTACAGATAACTGTACAGTTCACGGTGAAAAGGTATAAACATATTATCTATTTATTGAAAAAAATGCTAAATGCTAATCCATTTAAATTTAGTTAACACAAACAGCTGTCAAAGACTATAACCGTGGGCGAATATATCTTGCAGATTTAGCTGCACGAGAACGAGTACCTGTATATGAATCTATCAAAGAAGCGGTTGAAACCGCTATAAAAAAAAGCCTTTAGTATATATTCATGTATTATCTTTTTTATTATTATTATTTGAATGTTATATTACATAGAAAATAATGACCATTTAATTATTTTTAATTATATGAAAACTAACAGAAGTTCACGAGCAAAATGTTTTTAAACTATAAGTACCATTTTTTTAAATTTAATTTTAATTTTTATCTAACATTTAAGTATTTTTTAATTTAATTGTAATAATAATATTTTATTGTCTGTTTCGTAAGTTATATATGTTAATAAATTTAATTACTTAAAGCTAGGTATTTAATTAAACTGCTGTATTCCTTCCTCTATTATTATTATTATTATTATTATTATTGATATGTATAGTTATTGTATTAAACAACCAATAATTACACACAATAAACTCTTTACCTATTATTAAACCTACTTAGAGTGTATCAGTATTAACATTAATATTGGTAATGTTATGACATTTTAGAAATGGTGATTATAGAAAAAAAGTTAGTAGAAAGTATTCAATGCATAAAAACCATGTAAAACCATATACCTAACTGCCATGGACATTATATACAATAAGAATTAATTTAGAATTTGCCAATGATGACCATATTAATTAAAACGTTTGGACATTTTATACCACAAAAAATACTATAATAAAGTGGTTGTTAACCTGTGTCACGGCTCCCAGGGATGTTGTGGTTTACTATCAAGGGAATCGCATCTATAGTAAATATAGTAAAGTAGGTACTTTATTCACCTATTTTAATTTTTATTATTATTATTCATAAGGGAGCCACTAATTCGTATTTCAAAATCAGAAAAGCTGTGGACCCAAAAAGGTTGAAAACAACTGCTATAATAAATAATCTGTGCACATTTAAAATATTTTCAACTGTTTTGGTAATTTTATTTAAAACAATAAATATATATTTAAAAAATCACAACCACATTAATTTTTGAAATTTGTATCCACAGATATTATACTATTATTGGGTTTGAAGAACAGTTAGCCTTATGTTTACGCAAATGTTTGTCCTTTGAAAAATTTTGTTCACATACATCACACTTGTACTTGTTATAATTAGGGCCTAATCCATGTATCCTACTCAAATGTTCTTTAAGAATTGACTTTCTTTTGAAGTGTTTGTCACAGTGAGTGCAACTGAACTGTGCATCCTTGTGTCTATTTAAATGTTTTTCGAACAGACCTTGATTTTTAAAACAAGAACCACAATAATCACAGACAATTGATTGTGGAGTATGGGTTGATTTGTGGTACCTATAAATAGAAAATGATAAAAATAATACTATTAATATTGCATACAAAAAAAATACATACTTGAAATTTGATGGTTGGATCGTAGAAAAATCACATAAATCACATTGAAAGACAAACAACTTTTTATGAACAAGACGATCATGTCGACGCAATGATGATAGTGTTGCAAATGTTTTGTTACAATCCTTACAACAATGATCTTTAACTGATGAATGAATCATTGCATGCATGTTTAAGTTGTATAAAGTGGGCGCTTTATAATCACATTTCTGACAAGTGTATAATCCAATATGAATATTCATATGACTGCCAAGAGTTTTTTTGTTAGTGAACTTCTTTTCACATAATTTACATTGAAACAATTTCTCCCTGTGTACTATTTCATGTATATCAAGATTTTCTTGAGACACAAATAATTTTCCACATGTTTTACAATTGAACTTCTTAGGAATGTCACTATGTACTGTAGACTCGTGTAAAATAAGATCATTGAATTTTGTAAATGTTTCTGAACACACAGTACATACAAACGTTTTGCGAAAATACTTTTTATAATAATACAGTGATCTTGAAGGCCCTTTTTTTAAATCAAGTTTTTCTTTTTCTATTGCCTTCATAGAAATGGCTTTAGGATTCCAACTATAAGGTTTAGTAATGGAACAACTATCATCTTTTTTTCTTAATACACTGAATGCTGTATCCATACATTCTTCGCTAGATGTAGTGTCAATAATTAGATCTTTAGGTGGTTGGAGTTTTTTTGTACATCTGGGAATAGGTGATTCTGTATATGTGGGATCGACTTCATTTGATTGTTGTGACATTGTTGTGATATTGTTCCATAAAGTATCACTTTCCAAAAAATTGACACTGAAGTCAGACATTTGAGATGGTGTGAAACCCAATGTTCCTAAATTTGTCATTTCAGAATTCAACTGAAAATCACAATGTACATGAATATAGAATAGTGTTAATAATAATACAATTTTTCATGTAAAGTAATAGTTATTATAATATTACCACTAGATCAGACTCATTGTTATCTTGTAGGTAATTCTGTAGAAATTCATTGGTAGTGTCACACAACATTTTGAATTTACTCCAAGAATCCAAACTCAACATGCAACTAGGACATATATTGGTTGGCTCGTCACTTCCTAATGAAATCTAAGAACAATAAGATTAGATACTTTTCTATTGTAAACCCGTAAAATAATTATAAGTACCGCCACTTTTAATTTTTATATAATAAACCAAATCTGATTCTTATAGTAATCAGCAAAAAACAACACAATGAAAATCTACAAGGTAAAATTTATTTTACTTAAAAATTACAAATATTGGAGGCTAATTGCAGACTTCTGATCCCCTATTAAATAATTTCTGTCATACGGCTATTTATTCCAAAGACACACCCTTTTTTTTTGGTTAGGGGGCTAAATATATTATTTTTAAATAATAATATTATTTTAACATATATTAAGTGAAAAATATTTAAGTGAGAAAAGAGATATACAAAATCGTTTATTAGCTGTAGCATATAGTATACAATATTTATGATTTATTATTAATGAATTTGGTATAAAAGCTTCTAAGCAATTTTTTGTAATTTTTTTAAGCTCACAAAATAATTATAACTTACTTAACCACGTTCGTACAATGTTCAGTTAGCACTAACCGGCACACTGTATAAACTAAGTCTGAGTGAAGATGAACCATTCAAAATATTAAATTTAAGGGGAAGAAGAAATTTAGAATTTATACTATTAGAACAAGCATAATATGATGAGCCATATCGAAAAAAAAGAAAAAAGTCATAATAGATGTTCCCCTAATACCTGATATTTATTATGATTTCTACAAAAATTTAACAAGCAATCAAAATGAAGGCCTATCATATGACCCAGATCTCAGTGAATCCTTTTAAATATAATTTTGTTTTCATTGGTAAATAAAACTAAAAGGAAAACTTTTAATTAATTTTTATGTAACAAAGGTTATAATCTATTTTACATTTTCTTATTATTGATTTTTATAAACTTTAATTATGCTATCAAAATATATGATGTACTATTGAGTAAATTATTCTACAGGAAACATTAATTTGTTATTAAACACCTACTAGATATTATAATGAATTCATTTTTAGGAAAGGTAATTATTTTCTAAGTTTTGATAAAAATCACATGTCATAATTTATTTAATCAAAAAGAATTAGGTATGTTGAAAAAAAAAATAAGTCAGAAAAAGTGAAATCCAAATGGCGTAACTACAGTTAAGTCTATAAATAATTATAAATTCAAGAATTTTAAGTCATTAATGTACTTAAAATTGGATTAATATACTTAAATGATTTTAATACTAAAACATGTAGGAATTTTAAAACTTTCAAACGGCTGCCTTGAAAAGTTGATAAAATTGACATAAGACCTTTCTACCTGGAACTAAAGGAGTATGTATGTATATATTTAGATTATTTTAAGAACTAGCATTGGAAAAAAGAAAATTTTAAAACTTTATTAAATATTTTGTTATTTGTAACAATAATTTAACGTTATAATCATTGAATTAATTTTACCATGCCCTTCAGCTCCTCTCATCAGGTGATTTTTTAAAAAATTATTTTGGCCTAAGTAAAAAAAAAAAAAAATAGTATTAAATAAAGTATATTTTTTCAAAGGTAAAATGTGGTGTTAATATATCCATAAGAAAAGATACATTTTTCCATTATTTCTTACAAACCAAAAAATATTAGTTAATTCTGATTTCACCAAAAACTTATTTATGTTATTGCACACCAAATGAAAAACAAAAAAGTCAAAAATTCAATTTTGAGTTACTTTAGTATGCAAATGATTGAAATAACATTATAATTAGGTTTTACGCGATTTATTAACAATAACAAAATAAGTAAGTAGGTAAGTTAGCACGATTTTTAGAAAAATCGAGCATTTTGAATTTTTTTGACCATAAATTTCACATGAAATTTGGGCAACTTTTTTTGAAAATAACATCAAATTAAGCATGCAAAAACAAAAATATCAGTTAGGAAATAACCTGCATTCGTTCCTTGAATTTAATCGATTTAAGTAGTGTTGTCACAACAGACAGAATATTGATGGCCAATTTAATTGTCGCTTAGTGCTAACTGAACATTGTACGAACGTGGTTAAGTTATAATTATTTTATAAAATTATAATAAACATCCATAAGAACAAAATCCTAATCATTTTAAAATGATATATAATACAACCATCAAGCCTCACCTCGATTTGTACACAATTTTTAATAATATCTTCAAGATCTGGTTGTTCAAATATTGATGTCATTTTACTTTGCCCGTCATCTTCACGAATACATAAACGACACACCCTTTCGATATCAAATATTACCGGAGCCATTTTAAAATAACTGCTATTCAGTAGGAATCGATTTTTATAATATCACGTGTAATAGATATACATTACAAAATCGAATTTTTAATTACATTTAGTGTAATAATTTTACAGCTCGAAACGTTACGTATTGAATCGCAGAACATTAAGATTCTAGAATATAGACAAATATTAATTAAATAGGTACTCATTAAGTATAAATTACAGACGGTTTTTTGAACGGAATAAATATCTAAAATCTATAACTCAAATTTATTATAAAAATATAAACAATATATTTTTATCAGAGAATCAGGTGTTAATACCATAGATAATAATACTGAGAAGCGTCGGTCGACAACAGCGCTCACCGTCGACGGCCATCGCAACCAACTGCACCTGCGCGAACGTGACGTTTTTCCATAGATAACTACGATGACTCTTTTATCTGTGCGTTTTTCGTCGGGCGGGCCGGCAAACTTTTTTAAAAAAAAGTGTTATAGTAATTATACATCATGAAGACTACGGTAGTATTGGTACACACAATCAGTGGCATATTCAGGAAGGGGGGTTGTCCCGGGGATCAAACCCACCCTAATATTTTTTTTAGTTCTATTCATTACTGAAGTATCGCAAAATATTGTTGACGAATGACGAAATATTTTAAAACTGCTTTGAAAATTTCTATCATGGATTCATAATAATCGGAGATTATACCAAACGTTAGGTAACATTAGGTACATGTGTATTACATGAATACATTTTAAATAAACGAATATAAAAAATTAATTAAACTGATATGGGAAATTACTCAGTAAATTTAAGGGTTAAATTAGTTTTAATTTATCCAGTCAAATCGTTTATATAATTTATTCCAGTTATAATTTTATTATAATCAAAAATTTAAGTAGCAATCCTAAAAATTTTTTTACAAGAAAATTACCACTTAAGGTGTTAAGGTTTTAAGGTGTACTATAATCAGGTATGAATTCGTGATGAAGCTATATTAATATTTGTGGCAAAAAAGTATTGCCAGTAGCCAGGACATCTCCCCCCCCCTCAAAAAAAAAAGCCCAAAATACGACACTCACTGTACGTAATAATATTACTTATGATTTCGCTGTCAATAAATAAAAATCAATATTTTTTAATTTTTTGCAAAGTAACTAAAATTTGTAAGTTAATATGATGGTGTTAAAACGGATTAAATATATCAAATTATTTTCAAAATTAAAAGCTCGTACAAAAGAGTTTAAAAAGTTAAAACTGTTCCCCAAATAATCATAAAAACGCGTAATTCTAGTTTAACTATCACCCAATTTTTTTTTCAAGATATATGTTTTTGCGTATAAATTAAGAATGTAAAAAAAAGTCGGACGAACTTCGTTTGGAAGTTATGACGAAAAACTTCATGAAGTTTAGGTTTTCCGTTTCGCGTATTTTTCTTAGTTAGAATTTAACATTTTCAATTTTTTTTTTTTCAAAATGTGTATTTTTTAATGCTTAATCCATCAGTATAATCAAAATTTACCTATCATACTAACTTTTAAAGTTTTTATACATTAACATTGAAAAATAGTGTTTTTGGAATTAATGCAAAATGTGGTCAAAAATAGACATTTTTATTATTATTATTAGTTGTAGTTATTGATATTTTGATATCATTAGGTATATGATAATATATTACCAATACATAAAGGTATTCTCTTATATTATTAATGCTGTGTTTATGTCTTCTGATACTGATCTAATTAAATTTGATAATTTGATTTTTAAGATTAGGTACTTCGTAAAATGGGCAAATCAGTGCTAACCTATAAAGATATTAAACTTCAGTTTCGCATTTATTTTATCCGAAGTAATTATCGTTAAATTATTGTGATTAAACCGCAAAAACATTTTTGTAAAATGTATTGCAAAATGATTGTATTATTCTGAAAATTCTATGAAATTATTTGCATCTACATAGATACCAAGGTAGGTACTTTAAATGTGTTAAGTAAAAGAAATTCATGGGATATATTATTTTTCAGCTGATAGCACATTAGTATCGATCTACATATTTGATTAAATTTGAATAAAATGACAAAATTATCTAGTTTTCATAATATGCATGGATATTGGATATTATTATATAAAAAATAATATACAACATTAGCGTATCTAGGGCCTGTTTTTGGGAGGTGATGTGAATATTTGTTTAAAAATATCAAATTAAATAATACCAGCTATATGTATACTATTTTTATAATCACAAAATTATAATAATTACTAATTAGGAACCGAACAAATATTGATAAGTACAGTTCAAATATATAGTGAACGTTTTTTTTTGAAACGGGGATATTTTCACTAATTACCATTAGGTACCTATAGAAAAGCCTCTAAATACAGGACACTAAACAACGGACACTTTCTCCCTCTGAATAGCGGATCCCTACCTCAGAATAGCGGACAAAATGTCAGTAACCGATAGTAGCTAGTGACTAGTAGGTATCTAAAGATTTCATTGTATGTCTATACTGATATTTTAATATTTTCCATTTTGTATTTTTTGTAATAAGTTACTGCAAAAAAGAGAAAAATATTTTGGTTCTAAACTTGTTTGGGCGGTGGACGATGTATGACCCACATCACACCTCTTGAGCAGGTCTGTACTGATATATAAATATAACGTATTGCATCTAATAGATAAACAACTAAACCGTTTTAACGCCATCACATTATTATAAACGTACGTTTAATTTTTAACATGTCGTCATTCATAAGTCAGACCACCGGGTGTGTTTTGGCGAGTTAATTTTAGTCAACTACTACCTACCTACTGTAAGTACCTAGGTAGTTAATGCAATGCTACACGAATGCACACAAAATTAATTCGCCAAACATGCCTATTATTAATAATGTTTCTACAATAGTATAATTTATTATAGAGACATAAATGATTTTATTATGTAAGTAATGCTGAGTAACATATTAAATATATCACTTAAATATCATGATGCAATACAAAATTCATATCTGTTTCCGTAGTGTAGTGGTTATCACGTGTGCTTCACACGCACAAGGTCCCCGGTTCGATCCCGGGCGGAAACATACGGTTAATTTTTTGCTCATTTTATTTTTTAATTTAACAAATTTTAATCTAAAAAATAATTTTGTATTGTTTTAATTAGGTAATTAAATTTTATAGAATAATTTAATTCATTTTTTGTTACTTTTACACGTTTGTATAAATTTAATTTATTTCTGTAGGTATATATTATACACTAGAAAAAAAAAAAGAGAATATAGATTTACGCAGTGGTAGAAATGTGATTTTTATATTTTCCATAACAGTGTACGAAAACACTTGGTACTGAAAGTCGAATAAAGACTACGAAATTAATTCTCGTTACCGATTCCCTCCATTAAGTATGCTAAAATATATTGTATTTAATATATTAATGAAGTAAGTATCCTGAATCAAACCCATTTATTTTTAACTCCGAACATTTAGAATACCTACCTAGGTAGGTACCAAATGAATAATAAGCTTTTTCATTTTACGCAAACACTCGTACGTACTCTAAATAGAAATAGCTAAGGTCATAAGCTCTCTAGAAACGTTTTGGCATTGAATACCTAATAATCGAATATCAATCGGGTTGTTTAAATAAAAATCAAAACAAAATTTTTTTTTTATTTCACGTGGCTTTTTGGGTGAAACAAATTTAAATGTACACATACATTTTTTGTAATGTACCTATCATTCAAATTATTAGGTTCTATATTTTATTGCTAAAAAGTTAATTTAAGAATAGTTAAATTTTGTAATTGTATATTACAAAGTAATGTAAGTATTCATACTTTAATATGAGTTTCTAAAAAATATTAAGTATACCTATTTGCTTTAAATAAATTGTTTGGATCTAACTAACTATTCAATTATTACTGATAGAAGACTGATAAGAAGAAAATTATCACATGGCCATGACCACCTACCTATCATATGATGTCAAGAATAAGAATTGTTTTTCATTATTGGTACCTTTATTTGTTATATACTTGTGTTTTGTATTATTTCTACATTATTATTATTTATTTTTGTGATAGTATGAATTAGTAATAAACAGATTTTAAAATTACACGAGCTTATCAGTTTATCACCATACACTCTTATATTAAGTATTCATATGGTTTTTTTTATCTTTTAAATCGTATTATCATTATAATAGTACGTACTAGGTATCACATTTATATTTCATTTAACTTGTCCTTCAGAATCCATAGGAAATTTGTGACAATTTATTATTAGGTAAAATTTGTTTTAATTGTCCGTGTGTAATATTTATTGTTATTATTTTGTTGATTTGTGTGCGTTGTTTAAGGTTTTGAAACAGATTGGACTTATCATGGCCTCTACTACTGCACAGAACTTTAAGCAAGATATGCCGCCAGAAGGTGGCTATCGGAAAGTTAATTTTGCTCGAGTGTTTCCTAAGCCATTCGCCAGCAGTAAGTAAACATATCACTGTAACTAAAGAAAATGATGTCCAAACAAATTTCATGTTTATTAAATATCAATTCTGTACCTATTGAATAATTGTTATAATATTTACAGTACCTACTTTTCAGTTATCTTGACTATGTACCTACGATTTGCCGGTAATCAAAATTTGGCCATCTCAACTACCCGATTAAGAGGACGCTATACCCACATCTACTGTTTCAGTCCAACTACCAGTTAACATGCAAAAACAATGTTTACTTAGAATAAGTAAAACTAGCTGAATTTTGATTTTAGAGTAAAAGTACCTATTATAAAATTTATACATTTTGGAGGAAATATAGTGTTTTTGTATTATTCAAAATGTACAACTTGATGTAAAAGAAAACCTTTATTTTTAAATTACTGTAACATTTTTAATAGTTTATAATTCATAAAACACCTAGTCCATTCCCTCCAAAATATTGTTTTTTATTAATTTCATAATAGGTACTTTTACTCTAAAATTAAAATTAAGCTAGTTTTACTTGTTCTGCATGAGTATTGTTTTTATATGTTACCTGGTAGTTGGAATGATACAGTAGATGCGGGTTTAACGTCCTCTAAACTTCTCTAATTGGGAATTTTTCAATTACAAGTTTGACATGAGGTTGCACTTGTATCAAATTGTACGCTAAACATCAATCAGCCAAGAATATTTGTTACTCAAGTGTGAGTTTATGTCGGATTTTAATTGAAATCAGACCTCAATTTTTTACTAAAATCACGTTAGGTTAGGTAATAACAGAGAACCAAAATAGTCTGTGTTAGTCGTGATAACTGAAAAGTACAGTATTATTATTTACTGTTTAAATAAAGCATATTATATTTATTATGTTATAGATACAAATGTAGATTGAAAGTAATTTTCAAGTTATATACTTTTTAAATAGTTATTTCTCAAAAATCAATACTTTTACTTCTTTGAATACATTAACTAAATAAAAGTACATTTACACCAAATTTTTTTTTATTAAAATCTACATCATAAATTAATTTTATTCAACCATACGATTGCAATAGCTAGCATTGAATAATTAAATTAAATTTTTGTTGAAATTTGTTATGCAACTATTTATATTTTTATTAAAAGTTTATTTAAATTTTTCATAAATATTTAAAATAATGTTTCTATTTATATTTTAGCTAGAGCACTTGTTGGTACATATTTGGTTTCCACGGGTATTGGCTTTTATCTGTATCTATTGAATGATAAAGAAATTGACCATTACCAAATTGAATCACGTAGTGCACTTATTGCTTTAAAACCATTATTGGACGCTGAAGCAGATAGAGAGTAAGTAAATTATAAATAGGATTATGAATTTCTACTATTTAAAAATCACAAAATAAAATATTTAAAAAAAAATTATTTATACAATATCCAATAAAAATATAATTCAAAGTAAAACTGATTTAACTTTACTCCCAGACAGATAATTTAAACATTTTAAGAAAAAAACTTGGTATTTAAAAATATTTTTAAGATAAGGTTTATAATAATACCATAATATACTTAAAAATAGAGAAATTTTAAAAAATATGAAATATACAATTTAAAATATATACTTATAGTATTATCAAACATATTTATTTATTATATATTTTCTTTAGTTATCTTAAACAGTTAAGGAAAAATCGTGATGTTGAAAATAAATTGATGAAAGATGTCAAAGGTTGGAAAACGGGTACTTATTATGGTGAGCCTGTGTATAAGACAGTTCCCAAAGAAAAAATTATTCATCCCAGTTTAAATGAATACTATGCACATGCCGATCCAAAAACTTTAGAAAATAGGGCATACTGGCATAAGAATTTATAAATATGTAAGTATTATTTTAATGATTTATTAATTTTATAAATTATACTACTGGGTTCTATAAATATTTTAATATGTTTATACATGTGTTATAATTAAAATATTATGTAACTAAAAATATACACTAATTTGTTTCTGTTGTAATCTAACCCAATGTCTTGTTTTGCCATAAATAAAAATAAATCTTCTTTTCGACGTAAGTTTGAATTTCCTGTATTATGATTATACTATTATGTCATCAAAAAAAACTTTAGTGTTTAGATGAATAACTTTTCTCAGCTTATCAGTCAGTTAAGCATTACTACCATCACAAAATATCTGTCTCTGTCTGTATTGTATACCAACTCAAAAGTCATGTTCTCTTGGTCTTTTATATCATGAACAATAACATCCACCTAGCTGGTTCTGAGTCTTCTTAACCCGAGAACACTTGACCTGCAATATTTAACATTTAACTTATTTTTAGAATATATATTATCCATTAAATTATAAATAATTGCATTTTCACTAATGTTTTATTTAAATTTCTATAAAACGTATCCCACCATAGTTATTGTCGATAAGATTATAGAATGACAATTATTTAAATTTTTTAATCGACAATATGTAAATTGTTAGTAATAATCTAATTTTTAAACTTAAATAATTAATTAATAAGTAATTTTAACAGGTTGGAAATAATCAAAGTTTTAATAATATACCCTTATTAAATCAATCTATTATTTGTTTATACTTTTTAATGCTAAATTAGCAGCTATAAATTAAAACTTAAAATGTGAATAAAAAGAACACTATTTCTGTAATGGAATTGGGGGGGGGGAGGGACTGAGACATCAAAACATAGTCTAGTTAATAATGCAAAAAATACAAATTGAAAAAAAATGGGATTGATTTTTTGATGAAATTATGTAAATTTATAAATTGTGTGAAATAAAACAGTTGAGTGATTCTGGGTTAATAGTCATTCTCTGTTTATTTTCTTTATCAATTGGCACATTTCCACATATATCCAAACCATTTAAGACAATTGCTTTTTATAAAGAATAGAAAATCTGCCCTATGAGCCTGTTTAGTTTTGGTTTTAATTTTTAATTTTTTTGTAGGTTTGTGATTGTATTATGATTGTTTTATTTCAAATGTATGGATTTTTCATATTTGTATAAATAAAAATAATACAATTATATTCTTGTTAAGTAAATTAAAATACAATTTAAGGATTTTAAGAAGTATTTAGTAGTTATAGGGTTGGAAGTAGTCAATGGTTTGAAAATAAGTGAGGAACGTGACTAAAAAATGACTTCCATATAAAAATAAGTGACTTACATTAACAAAAAATACAATTATTTAACATCAATAGTAGTAGTTATAAGCAATAATTATAATATGATAGGTTAGGATTGGTATAATGGTATGATAGGTTAACAACCACTTTATTTAAGAATTTAGTGATAATTTAAAAATGAATAACAACTTTAATTATAACTAAACAATTTTTTAAAAATATTCCAGCGTTTGGTAGTATTAGGTTAAACTTATATAAGACTAAATTTTTTTTTCATTACAGTAAATTATTACAATATAAGATACTAAGATCTCATAATAAATATCAATATAATTATTTTTTATAAAATTGTGTGAGAATAATTAAAATGTGACTTTAAATGAGAAAAGTGATCCATCTCTGAGTATTTGTATAATTTGAACAATAATTTATTTTAGGTTTTATCTAATATTTTGTACGGCTAATCCTATTTTGTTTTTTTAAATTATTTTTCAGATACATGATTGCAGATAATGTTTTCTACAAAAAATAAAAGTTTAAAATTGCATTAATTTTTTTTCTTTTATGTTAGTAAATGTAATAAAATAAATAGAAATTGCAAACAAATTTTACATTTAACATTTTGTAGATATTTGTGATAATAAAAAAAAAAAATTGAAAAATGTGTTAAATATTAAATTAGATGAGTTTATATAAGTATGTATTAAATCATAGTCTTGTTTATAGTTACATATAAAATATATTACACTTTAGTACAATATTAATATAACTGTAATAAAATTGAAATCTGATTAAATTATTTATGAGATTTATACTTAGAGTTTAAGGTATAAATTTCCTGTTTGGATCATAATTCATTGTTGATATCTAAATACACATTTTTTCTTAAATTCTGAAAAAAAATCAATTTTTTGACAGCAAACTATAATTTTAATCATTCAAAAAAATGCATTATACGAAAGCAATTAATTCTACCTAGTATTTAAAATTAAAGACATTTTTAATTACTAAAGTATTTGGATTTGTTAACTTTCAGCCGTTGCTCTATCACTATCGCATCAAGAAAATGCTGATTTGTTTATAAAAGTGTATGTGGAGATTTTTATACATTTGCATACTAATTTTAAAACAAATTTTATTTGATTTATTTACTTAAAGCAGCTACAATTACCTCGTTGAGTTTGAAAACATTTTTATTTTTGGCATAATATATTTTAGTATTGTATAATTCAGCTAAAAAATAGTTTTATTTATAAAATTAAAGAAAATGTGAGGAATCGACTAAAATAGAGAATTAAAGTTTTAGACTTATGACATAGAAATAAAAATATTAATATTTTTATTTGTCATTCTTATGTATAATGTTGGAATGAAATTCAATTTGATACATCATAGTACCATAAAGTCCGTAATGAATATTGTTTACTATCCATTAAAAAATAATTATGTACATTAAAAACCATTGTTAAGATTTAATAGTGGGTATCACATAGATTTTTATTTTCCTCTAACATCAGGTACCTAATACAAAATTAAATTAAATTTTGTAGTAGAGATAAATTGTGTACTTTATTCAAATATTGGAAAATCAGAATTCGAGGCACAAACTCTGTTTCAAAGTTATATCTAATTGAACTGTTGCTTAGTGGTAACTTTAATTGAATTATAACTCAAGCGTTCAGCGTTTGATACTCCTGTAAGACTGTTATTATATAATGTTATATATTTATATGCACCTATACACCTGGTGTGATCGCTGCTCTCACTCGTACAATTTTATTTGAAAATAACTTTAGTTTTGTTGTACAAAGCCATGTCGGCTGGGTAAAGTCAAAAATCATTATAGATGGAACAAGAAACCCTGCTAAGTCATTCGCTTGCTTGGTAATAACATAATACATCATATATATTGTATACTGATTTCTAAGGGTTATAACTCATAAACTAGTGAGAGCCACAAATTCTGACATCACAAACGTTTTCTGCATGCTTAACTACAGAAGTTTCAAGAAAATGTCTCATAAGGTAGAAATATACCAAATATTGTACTTGTAAGTTACTTAGGTCTTTAAAGTGAAATGTGATATGATTTTGAGCAGTAGGTAATTGTATTCTTGAAAGACAAACATCGGTAGGTAAGTACGGTGTCTGGTGTCTGTTCATATGCCATACAGCCATTTGATCAGATCGTATGTAGGTCATAGCTTTGTACTATAATTATTGTTTGGTTTAAATTGTTGCAATATTTTATTATTTACGGGCAGGATTTTTAAAAACTAGAATCAAAATAAAATTATTATCATAATAAATAATGACACATTTTGCCGGTAGACGTTATCATTAACCGGATTCCTGGTGTTGGCCAACCTGATACCTGAGGAATGCGTTTTGCAGCCTCCGATAGAGATAAAACCAGTGGAAATAAAAACCAATCAATAGATATGTAAACAAAAGAAGATTTTCATTTTTGTTTTTTATTATTGAAAATTTCTCAGTTTTCGTTTTTTTATTATTATTTTTTTTTATTTTTCGTTTTTTAAACGCATCGTATACCGTTTAAATAGATTAGCGGTTTTATCGACACCAATGTATCAGCTGGGTTCAGTAATTCGCGCTATTAATTTTTCTGTTGACAGTATACAAAAATCATAACACTGTACTGAACTTTTTCTTTGTACCGCAAAGGAATATCCAGGTATATTTTAACATCACAGAAACAGTATTATTCGCATATTTTCTTCAACAATTTTCGTTGTCCATAGTAAACCAAAATTATTAATTAATATAATATTGTAGATTGAAGTCATATTTTGTGTGCTGTGAATAAACGAAATCGTCACGCTGGCAGGGGCACTGGAAGACAAGGCAGATTTGGAGGGGACTGCTCCGACCTCTCCAGATCAAATTCCTTCGGACCAACCAGGTATTAATCTTTTGATGTTAAAACAATGTTCAGTAGTTACTATTACCATGGCATTTTTGAGGACTGTAAGTTGATCCTCTGTATTTGTACAGTACATGGATATGATGTGTTACATCCCAGTGTACTATATTTATAATATTCCTCCCAATTGATAATGGTTTAATAATTGTTATTAATTAGTATTTTTTCTTTTGCTAATATAGTACTATTTATCATTATCTTGATGATAACTTATCAGTAATACATAATTCAAATAAATCTTATCAATTATGTGTACTAGTATTTTAAATTTTTACTATAGGTAATAAAATAAGAAGAGGTAAACAAGATATTATTTTTAAATGTATTATTATATCTAATGTTTATACTTTTTTGGTTTATGATGCTCTAGGTACTTTTTAGATACCCATATTAAGTATATTTTATGACATTTAAAAAAAAATATATTATTAAGTAATAATGGATAATATAAATAAATAAAAATGCTTCTTCATGAGTACTTAGTAGATTATCTAAACTGTATCATGTATTATGTCATCAAGACTCGGTATTATTATTATTGTTGTGTCACATAGTTAATATATTATTGTGATTTCACATTAAAAGAATTCTTCTATTGTGTTACTCTTTCCAGATTTTTTTATACTTTTTGAGATAAAGTATTGTTTAATGATAATACAATAGATAGTTATAATAATATGTGCAATATGATTTAATAATAACATTATTTTATATTTAATTTTTGCAGTAGATTTATTTGTAGCTTTTATTTTGTATAACTTTAGTGAGATTATTATATATTATAGATAGATATTAAGAAAATAGCGGATTTATGTTGATATTAGTGTTAGGTTTAGGATATATAAATACTGATAGATGAACTCCAACTTAATACTATTTATTAGTAGGTATTTCAAGTTGAGATAATAGGTAAGCGTGCAAACAAAATAAATTGATTTAATAACTGGTTCATTATAAGAAATCCTTCTGTTTAACAGTAAAAAGTATAAATAAATAAAATAAATAAACATAGAATAATATAAAAATTATTTAAACATATTTTGTTAGATTATACAAAAAATATATATTTTGATTTCAAATAAAAACATTTACACATAAAGTTTTTTATTACATTTTATTTTGAATAAAGAAAATGGATTGTACAGTAAATAGTATAACAAGTAAATTTGGTAGCCAAAGTGATAAATTACCACAGGAGACATTAAATTAATTGTTCATTAGTAGCATCTCAGAAATAAGTATTATTTTAAATAAATTGACTTAAAGTTCTCTTAATTAATTTGTTTTTTGTATTCTAGTAGGACTGTCTGTGAGAACTTGGAATGACATATGAAAAATAAGAGGATTTGAATGACTGGAAGGGTTATGAAATATTTTATAATACTGTTGGAAATACTTAAACTTTAAAAAAATGAGATTAGGTTTAAAAATAAATGTATTTGTATATCTGTTCCTTTTAAAGATATTGGGTAGATAAAATATAACAAATGTAGGTAGAATACTATATACATTAACTCAATACAATAATGAGAGTATAATATTTTACTGTAATGCAGTGTAATATATATTTATTTATTTTTTGATATAAGTACATAATATAGCAATATAACGGTTAAATAAACAGTTTATTCAGTGATGTAAATACTGGGTGAGCAAAACGCCATGGAAACAGTAGTGGCCCTGTAAATTAAGGTCTGAGGCATTATTGGACAGGTGAGGGTTTTTTTGAAAGTCTTTTTCGGCTTTTAAGACTTTAATACAATATATTGCCTTGGACATTAGAATTTCTAGTTGCACCATTGAGTTAATTAAATTTTCTATTTTTATTTTCAATTCTAAAGAGGGAACGTACAAATACATACCTACTCTTGAAACTTAAAACTATATTATTTATTTTTTGGTATTCCGCGTGTACAGAACATGGATACTATTAAATTAATTATTTAATATTATTATTTATTATTATGTGTTCGTAATTTATAAAAACATTTTCGTGTATGTACCTACCGTATACATGTAGAACTTTTATGAATCACCCGTGCTGCTCGCTATATATGTTTAATGCTAAAAGTTTAAATAGCTTGCTTTTAAGCAAATGTTGAGGGATAGGGACCCGGCTATTTATTAAGGGCCAAACGTTTAGGGAATCGCATTGTTTTCGCCCGGTGTAGTAATAATTGTTTCGGCCCTTTAGATGATTATTATTAGTGGGAGTGAGGTTTCGTTTACCTACTACCGTATTCCACACCGCCTTATCACGGATTTATGGATTTTTTATTCGAATACCTATTTTTTAAGCAAAGAGAAATCACAAATGTATTGTGTTAATAAATCCGAAAAAACTCAGACAATATAGGTACGTTTCCTGGTTAAAAACGAAACCTATCCGAACCGTTTTAATATAAAGGAGGTTCTTCTTCTCCCTATTCTTAGAGTAATGTATATAATTTAAACTAATAATAATAATTACTATATTATTTCAACGATTGTCGATTAATCGAATTATAAATTTAAAAAAAAAATATGTATAAAAAATATAGTTATAAAATTGGGTTTTTTTTTTGTTTGTACTCGTATTAGTCTAGGTATATATTGTTGCCTTTGCCTTTGGGTCACTCATATAGGCCTACCTAACTCAACTTGAATAAGTGTCGTGTAATTACTTTCTTCAAATCTTGTTCATTTCTAATTCACTTAATAACATTTATCTTCATCGAGTCTCTATTATTAAAGGTATTGGGATATATTACTCGTCTACCCTTTCTTTTGAACATCGTATTAATATAACCATAACAAGAGCATTAAAAGTTCTAAGTTTTATTAAACGAAATACGAAACAATTTAAATCTGACCAATGTCTTCAGACTTTGGATTGTGCACTGGTTAGACCTCTTCTTGAATATGATGTTATTGTATGACATCCTTTCCTTGCGAAAGACCAACTTCACCTTGCACATGTTCAAAATAGATTTTTACCCTATACTTCTTATATCCTTAAGATCCCAGTTATCAATCACTATTCTCTCATTCATGACGTTCTTCAAATTCAAATGCTTTCCAATCGGTGTGGTGAAGCTGACCAGCGGTTTATTGATTATCTTTTAAATGGGTCTTTAGATGATCGTGATCTTCTGGAAAGAGTTTTTTAGAGTTCTCATATTCTACGTGCAACCAACTTCCGTTCTCTATCCCAAGTACCAAGGGCCTATACTCCTTGAGTAACTTGTATTTGTATTTATGTTTTTTGCTTTTTATAGTATTCATGGATATATCTATTTTAAGTTTTAAATGTAATAATTTCTTGTTTCATTATTAATTGCCGATTGCCATTTATTTTTTCTAAATAAAACAAAATTATACAATATTTTAAAATTAATTTTCTCTTTCCTTGGCAACATCCTAAATACGCCACTTTTCCGATTGCTCGATACAAAATCACATTTTGCATTATCGTTAGTGGTAAAATTGCCTCAACCACTTCCATTAGCTTGCACTCGTCTGACTTTCGATCGAAAATAAACCCTGATTTGTTGTCAAAAAAACCGCAAAGTTTGTATTGAAATTAATATTGCAATACAATAATTTGTCGGGTTGAATCGACACACATTTTATTATAGACTCTGTGCAATGATAAGATACCTACTATTTAAAACAGTGAATTTCCCTGAACCATCCGAAGATAGGAGCGTATTGGGACACGGGTACTGGGACAATGTATACACTGTTAATATGCGTTGCTATTATAGAATTAATGCGTACAACTATAACAAACACATGATATACTGTGTAAACTAATTTGTATAATAGGTATTCAAATTGGTTAGCCCATTGGCTTACAGTCATTATACTCGTATATAACGACAGTTAAATAATAATTTACGTACAGTTATTAAATTTGTTTCTGTAGGAAAGAGAAATTGTCGTTGACGAAACACGATTCCGAGAAAACTTCAGTTAAACATGTTTCGAAACAACGTGATTTTTAACATTTTTCGATAGAATTTGAATGTCAGGATATTTTCAAAATTATACTGATCTTAGAAAATATATATTATTATTTATTTATTTATTTATTCAATACATTTATACGGACAATGTCCAATTTACAAAAAAAATAGTAAAAGTAACAATAATATAATATAATTTAAAATAATAAGATATAACATAATAAATGTTAAATAGAATAATACATACAATTAGTATATTAGTATTCGGTGAAAGCGTTGTTGTTTCCCAATGTTTTTTTCCCCGTTTGTCCATCGTTAATATTAATATCGATTCTCTTTATAATTGGCGGTTATTATTACAGTAAAGTGTAAGGAAAATCAAAAAATTATCATCTTCCCAATGCATCAACTAGACAAAATCCGTTGCCGCCTAACTTAACCCTTAAAGTTGATGTTTAGAGAGTTTTTTACACACAACGAAAGCGCACGTCGCCATAGTGAAAACTAAAAGTAATACATTTCTCACATAGCTCTGAATCTAAATTTATAACAGATAAATAATATTATAACGTACAGGGCGGTCGACGTAACGTAAGACAATCATTACCTCGGAGAGTATTATTCCTCTTTTTGGAATTGTTTTTTTTTAGGAAATTAAAGCTCTAAAATGTTACATTGCCGTTGTATTTCGCCACCCTTGTTATAAGTGGTGATAGCTACCTGTATTAAAAATGCTGCACGTAGATTAGATTTGGTTTAAATAAATTTTGGCGATCAAATTTTGATATTAAGTCAACTCGTTGACGAGATAAATCACTTTTAAGTTGTGCGCAGGAGGAGAGTTAGTAGTTGGTTAAGTAATTGTAGTGGACCATTCAAACGCTGCGTGTCGTGTTTCTATCACCCTAACCGCAAAACGTCAAACTCAATAGTGGAATATCTCGTCAACGGGTTGTCGTAGTATAAAAATTTCAATACTGAAACGGATTTAAACCAAAACGTAGTTGTCTATTTACGGAATTTTTAACATAGATCGTTGGTTGAAAACCGTAAGTGGGCCGTGATTTTACTCCCAAAAATAAGAGTGATGACAAAAAAATAACGGTTATGCGAAATTGCTGAGCTACTCGATCCGAAAAATGTATTCAAAAACAAATACCGGAAAAAGTTAATGCTTTTCGTGATTATTAGTGTCATTCGTCACTCTGTATATTGTTATATAGTCAAATAATTCGTATAGAATCAGTTTAAGAGTAATTTAATGTCGAACAAGATAAACGAATCGCTGTTTTTAATTTGTTAACGTAATTTAAAAAGTTTTTATCTAAGTTTAGGTGTAATATGTTTTTATCTATTTCTACATATTTTGACTGCTGGTGTTTTTCCCCCATTATAAGTGCTATATAATAATAATAATAATAATAACAATTACACTGTAGTAATAATTGTTAAGCTTGTTTGCTTTTTCTGGCAGTTGTACAAATACTGTACACGCGGTCGTGTTTCGTACACTCTGCTTTAGCATTTCATTTTACAATTCGTTTCCAACGCGTGATAAATAACTAGGTATCGTGTTTAGTGGGACCTCGTGCTTGATATTCCAGTTCTAATATTCAATTTATATGCGATTTTTGGCGGTAAGGTTTTAATTATTATTTTTAAACATACCCAGAAAAATATAGCCATACATTTTTATTTAGTTATTATTTCAATTATTAAAATATTTTATTATAATTACGGTTTTATAAATATTATTATATTCATTTAATGTATAATATTATATATCATATATTATAGCTTTATGTTTCCTAATTACAACTATATATATATATTTTTTTTTTGTATAAGTACAACTATAATACAATACTATACTATATCTGTGTGCATATTTTAACTTTTGAATTACGCGAAAATGTCGTTTATTTATGAGCAATACATTATTTCACAATAAACCAATGGCGTAATTTCAAAGGTATGGGGGAGGGGAATCACTCAGTTTTTTTGTACAAATAACATATTATAGTATTGCAATAATTGTTTTTAAGTTTTTGCAGGCTGTAAAACAGTACAATTTTAAAATAAATGTATAGGTACTTAATTGGTAACTATTATATTGCTGGTAAGTGATGAGATTTACACAAATATAGATATTAGTGTTTAATATTTAAGATAAATAAACTCATGGTTTATATTCTTATATTAACAGCCCAAACTATTTTATGGTGTTCATCTCACTCTCACGCCCATTTTACCGAATCAGTTTAAAAATTTCTTTAAGTACGTGAATTATAATTCGTGATGATTAGTGATTAAAATCATGAAAGTTATTTAATTATGTATCTAATTAAAGTTAAAATGAAAAATATGTAAATACAAATGGCTAACTAAATTTAAATAGTGAACATATTATTATATTCCGAGCTAAACAAAAATCGGGGCTTTTTGTAAATTGTATACAGTTCACAGTTTTTTCGGTTACTAGGTGGAAAAGCGGATGACTAAACGAGAGGGTATTGTGGTAATGTGAATATAAACAAATACATTTTTAGATTGTTCTTTTTAACATTAAACCTGTATTATTATTGTTTTAAGTCTCTTATCCAACGATCAATACTTATTCGTCAGATACATTTTTATTTAGTAGACCCAAATTACCATCGGCATAATCTGTATTTCGACATTGAAATTTATATAATATCAATGTATCGCCCAACCTAACACAACCTAAACTTAATTTTAGATCCTGCATAGTAATAAAAGTATTTTTGTTTTGATTTATTAAATATTTTAAATTAATTTATTTGGTATATTTACAAATGGGTTCCTATATTAATAAAATAATTGTTAATTGAATGATAGGTACATTTAATGTTAACATATAGCTGATATTTTAACTATGTTAATAAAAAGATATTTTAAAAAGTAAAATAAAAACCTATCACTTATTGTTGGGTTACTTACCTTACGTAACCCAACAAAGACACAGTTAGTGTATTCTAATAATTATAGAAATGACAGCAATGCCAAACCATTAGTCATTCCAGTTTTCGGGGCATTAAACTAAGCAATACAAAAAATGACCTTTGAAAGTATACCCGCCTGTGTTCAATAACCTATCTAACAGTTGCCGATTGAATGTTTTGCTGACAATTTTTACTGCCCGTCTAAACTTATTCTACGATAAAAAAAAAAAAATTCACACCGCTGTAAAACTATAATAGCATTTCCGTTTTTCTCAGTGTCTGAAAATGTACATTTAACTACTTTAATTAAGCCATCAGAAGTGTAAAAAAGTGTAAAAAAGTTTGATGTCAACTGAAACGTATTTTATGTTACCTATATCAATGTTTATAATAAATATAAAACATAAGTGGAAGCACTAAAGTTGTATTTTATATTTATATTTATAGTATAGACTAGTATCACGATGTTTTAAATTGGATTATTATTTTAGATTCTGAGCGTAGCGAGAAATATATTGGTTTTACAATGATGTTTATTTTTTTTTTGCGAACAACTTTTTTACCAGATTTTGTTCCGATTTTTAAGTGTAGCACTTTTTCTGAAAGGAAATTTGACTGGCATAGTGCTTTAAGGAAATTAGTTTTTTGATTTTTCTATTGGTTATAATAATAAAAAAATTGGGAAAAATATCGAAAAAACGGGGGGAAAAAATTTTATTTTATTTTCCTAAATTGTAAATATTATGACCTTTCAAAACATGTAAAACCGAATTCCGCTCACAATCGTTTTTCGTTAGCAAAGATTAATCGTTGCGTACAGATATATACTTAATTCCCCTCTGTGTCCTACCTGTCCATCTTCTCACCTATAATAGTGGCTCACACATCGAGCGAAGTATATGGCTATATCTTTTTATTATTGCATTTGATATGATTTCGTCATTAATAAATATTAAAGATAAAATAAAATAAATATAAATAGTAAAATAAATTCATATTTATGAGTAAATAAATAAATAACACAAATAGAATAAATATATAAATAAATAATAACTATCACAAGAACCATATAACTAAATACAATTTTAAAATAGTTGAATGGTAATTTGGAGGCAAGTTCACAATTGAAATTCCATCATCAATTGGATGATTTATATTTTAACTTCGTATAAATATTCATCTATTTAGTAAACATTTTTAGACATTGCATACTCAGAATTTTTAATTGAGGAAGGTGTAAACTAATAAAACTTGACTGAAAAAAAAATGTTTTGCATAATATATATATGTGTAATTGTGTAGTACAATATTATTTATACTCGAGCTATAAGTAGTGCAAATATGCAATGATTATTATTTTATTTGTACACATTTTTTTTTTTTCAATGCTGAATAGTTTATATTATTTTTACGTATTTTACATACCCAATGGGGGGGAGGGGTAAAGCCATCTTAGCCCTGGATACGCCACTAATAATATGTAATAGGTATCTAGTACATATTAATTAAAATGAAATATTAATTATAAATCCGAAATAGGTTATTATAATATGTTTTGTATTGCGTATAGTTAAAAATAATTTTAAAATAATTTTTGTGGTATAATTATATATGCAATTGTGTCGGAATACTATGCTATTAAATTTAAAATATTAGGTAGGTACCTATACGAAAAATACAACATTTGATTTATAATATATTTGTATACAATTTTCCTCAAAAAAAATGGTAAAAATAGTATTTACAATGGAAATAATATTGCAAATTTACATTGTAGTAACACTCCCAACTATTTAAACATTGAACACTCATATATGATTCATAATTTAATGTTTGTATTATATCTATAGTCATTTAAATTTGTGAAAGTGCAAAGAAAATATAAAATATTAAATGTGTTAACATATTATCTATAATATAATCATCGGACGGGCGGATATGCATCGATCCCAAAGTGAAATTGATTGTTTAATTTGATTATTAATAGTATTGTTTGGTAGTTTAACATTAAAACATAGTACATAATATGTATTCGTTACAACGCGTAAACTGTAAAAGGAAATGAAATGTTTACGACCCACAGCCGAATCTATCGTAAGCGGAGGTCTGTAAATTTTCATCCAGGAGTGGAAGGATACATTTGTCTTTATGCCCTTCGAAGTCGGATATGTGAAAATTTAATCTCTGGCTAGCACACAATGTTTGGCATTATAATGTGAAAATTGAATTTTTTTTTTTTTCGTTGATTTTGTTGAGTTACCAATGTGACACGGGTGAAATATAAGGGAGACGCGGGGTGATATGTTAAATTGAATATATTTTTAAAAAATTGTTTTTTTAAATGGTAAAATAAAGAGGAATTAAATTGAAACGAGCAACGCCGAACGGCACAACTTAATATAATAAAATATTACAATTGTTAGATGAGTTGGTTAGTTATATATATTTTTTGAGTGGAATGGAGGGTTTTTTTTATGAATGTATTCTCTGAAAACTCTTGTTTAAGCTATGGCCTTTTATAGATTAACGTACAGAGACAAACGGTATACCGTTTATTCCTATAGGAGCATCAAAACCATTGTAAATTCTCACACGTTTACAAAATATAATTAATGCATAGTAGACATTTTTATATTATAATTCGTAATAATTAGTGACATTAATTCGTCCTTTTCCGAGCGAGACACAAGTAAAAACATTTCGAAATATTACCTGATATATAATTTAATCGAAAAGACAGAAAAACCCCAAAATAATCAATAATTGACGAATACAAAATAATAGGTATGTACCACTTATATTAATGTCTATAGGAGATAGAAATTGAAATAGAAACCAAAATGTAAAAATTAACGATGTTTATAGTGATAACCAACTAATTAATTATTCTGTACCTTTGTATTTGGGCCAATACTTTTTACATAATTTATGTTAATGATTTACTTAATCATTATATAGGTGGTAAATTATTGTGTTTTATTGATGACATCGTTTTTATAGAAAATAATTTTTGCAAGCATAACCTTAAACTTGAGGCTATAAAGGTATTAATTCAGTTAATAATTGGCTTGATAATAATAATTCTTTGCAACTCAATTTTATTGAATCTGAACTTTCTACATTTTAAAATAACCAATAATAGCAGTAATTAAACTTTTGGTAAATTATTCTTACACACACTCTCATGTAAAAGTGAAGTAAATAATTGCATCTGCCCTTCAATTATGTAAACATCCTCTGTAAAATATTTAGGTGTACAGTTTGATGAATTTTTGATATGGAGTGTCCACTTAGATAAACTTATACCGTTAGTTCGAAAATTGTGTATGCATTTAAATGTCTGAGAAATATCTTAACTGTTAGTGTTAAAATGATTGTGCAATCAATAGTACCCTATGGAATAGATTTTTGAAGTAACCCATGTAACACATATTTACATATATTAAACAATTGCATACAACATGAAATTCTCTTGTAAAATTTTTATTCAATCGTATTCATGGTTCATTGAATAATTTCATGAATTTTAAAAAATTAAAATGTTAACCTATGTCTGGATTTAAATAATCTTTAAATAATATTATGTATCTTTTTTTTAATAATTTCTATAATTTAGGTTATCTACTTTTAACTCTTCTTAGTATTTTGAAACATTTTATATTATTTTTGTTTTCTAATTTTGTTATGTTTGATTGTACTTGCATGAACTCTCACCTGCAGCACAGCCTTTGGAGGTGATCCGACAATAGTTTAAGTTTTAGTATACATATCCTGTAAATGTTGTTGGAGAATTAATACATTATTATCATTATCATTATTTTAAAGACATTGATTTAAGTTCTAAAGTAACTTAGAAGGATTTTAAAACGTAGCAAATCTTATTGGCAATATAATTTTAATAATATTTTATGGATTATTATTTATTTTAAATATTAATACTGTCATGCACTTGAATGTAAATAAGAATTTAGTGAAGGCTATTTATGTGATAATCAAAACAATATTCAGTTGTCTATGCGGGAGACTAAAACAAAATAAATTATATGCTGTGGTGGGGACATTTTGATCGAAGTGGTATTAATTGGCGTTTATTAAAATTAACAAAAATATAATTTAATTTAATTGAATTACATTATTATGCCTTTCAAAATTTGGATGTATCGTACTTAATGTCATTCGGTGAGACTGAGATAAGGACTTTAAATTAGATACATCTATATATTATTTTTATTTCATAAGTGTTTTTATACAAAGGTACACAATTTTACTTATCAATACATTATTTCGCGTTATCAAAAAAGATAATAATTTTTATCAATATGGTAAATGTATAAAGTGTTTTGTGGAGTTTTGTACAATATTATTGATATTAAAATTATAGCATTTGATTATGATACAGTTAAAATATTGAAAATATCAGCGATTATTTCGGAACCATAGCAAATTGAGAAGTATGTTTCATATTATATTGTTTAATATTTTGTTGCCCTTGATAATGTGTAAATTACAAAACGTATACATAGGCAACCGTTTATGACCGTACTGCTAAAGGTTTTGCATATTCATGAAGTCTGCGATGTTTGTGGCGCGTAATACGTTGTGAATTTATACTTTATGGTAGCATTATGATTTATTTTTATTTTATAAGGTAGTAATCGTTTTTTTTTTAGTTTTAGTTTTTCCATTCAGTTCGAATGAAAAAAACTGAATTGGTATTCGAATCTATTTGAATTAGTTTTAATTTATAAACTTTGAAAAAAAAAATATTCTAGTTATCATATTATGTTTATATTTTAAATGCGCTTCTATAAGTTAATGAGAGATTATATTATAATATTGTATGTTAAATTTAAATTTTCGAAAATTATCGCGGTATATAGTAATGAGTCGTGACGTTATTTCATCACTCGTATTAAACTTAATTATGAAATGTCTATAATTTTCTACCAAAATCAAAATTGCCAATTTGCCAAAACGGCGTTACTGCTGTATAATTTAATTTCCATTACGAAATTAATAAGTAAATTTAAAAACAGTTTATAATATTGGCAAGTTTCCTTGCGTTACCTAAACGTATACCCTCTTCACACGTATACTTAATCTTGTACGTATACCTATTGTTTACTCGACTCTGCATAATCTCTATAATATAACGGAGATTAATAAATAAGTATAAACAGTGGCATGCCCAAGAATTTTTAATGTGAGAGGATGTAGCAAATATGAATCATAAGTAAATTGTTAAATCGTCTTCTTTATCCAACTTTTGATAACGGGAATGTAAAATTCGGGTCCGAAGAAAAAAAAATTGTATTTAATAAATCAAGGTTTTTTTTGTTACTTGGTTTAAATGTAATATACATTTCGAGATTAAATTACTTCATAAATACTCATAGTGGTTGTGTTATAAAAGCAAGTAGAGGGGGATATAAACCCTAACCTGTCTCCTTCCGCTTACGCCACTGAATGTAATATAAATAAAATGTTATGTACACAATATACATACATAAATTTGATAATTTTGTTAATTTATTCTTTATGGGTAGTTACTACTGTTCAGTAGGAATTCCACTCTACCGTCTAAACAATTTATTGCATTTACGTGAGACAATCTTCGAGTTGTATTTATGGCAGAATTTTTACAGTCGTATAAATCCTCTTTTCTGCGTTGTTAGTATAACGGAAAAAAAATGATATTTAAAAATTCGATATTTTCAATTTTTCGAAACCTCCGTGCAAAAACATGAAAAACTGCCCAAAAAGTTTATCTCAGATAGACAACGAAGAATTCAAATATATTTTTAAAAATACGTATCACGTAACCTTAGACCAGTGTTTCCCGACCTTTTTTACTCGACGCCTCTTTTAGATTGTCAAAAAACTTTCACCGCCCCCTCCCCGATAAATTAAAAAAAAAAAAATAAATATAGTTTAGTTTATATAATCAGCCATTTAATTAAGTTGTAAAATAAATATTTTCTTCTCATTTTGATCTCGGCCTTTTTACTATAATTACGAATAAGTATAACTAACTTACATACACACTAAATTATATAGCTTCATGTAATAAATGCAAGTATACAATATTGTCGGAAATATCCGTATGAAAATGGGACCTTTCGCTGTTATTTCGTTGAACTTCGCTGTTATTGTAGTGTGTCTAAAATATTTAATCATTTAATTATTTTCTATTGTACGCAGATAAATTTTAATTTATTTATAACGCAATTGTTTATTTAACCGTTTGTTATTTTCAAACGTCCACGCGTTTGTATATTATTAACTTACTATAGTTGCTATACGTTATAATATAATCGTAAATATTATATTTTGATGAACATTAAAAATAAAAAACCGTGCGGTTTATTCAAATCGTATTCAAATTAATAAACGTATGGTCTATTTAGTCCAATTTGAAATAATAATTTATCTCTTTTAATGGTACATTATATTTGGTTCTATGACCTAGTCTTAGTCCAATAGCCATGTTCTAGTTTATAGATAAGAATATGTAGGGCGTAGGCATATTATATTCCTCCAAAAATGGTTACAGGTGTTTTCAAGGACGGTTAACTATTAATTTCTTCATCCATCGGAGATCGGGAGATAGCTTACCAAATATATAATTCTGTGCAATAACGTGTCGTAAAGTTTATGGTCGTGTGTGTATGGGCGAAAGCGTCAATTATTTTGCAAATACCCTGTATGCCTTTCAATTAAAAATAATAATATATAACCGTTAAAATGCAATCATTTTGAATTTTGATTTCGATTGTTTTTTTTAATACTTATAATATACTCGTCAAGAGTATATAATATATGAGTACGATATCTACCAATTACCTAAACGGTATCCTTGAGTACGAAGGCTCCAATCTCCTGTCCATTTACTTGTATTTTGTGTTTGGTGATTATTATTAAATCTTAAATTTTTACAGAGTTGTTAAATTTAAAACATTTTGTTGGTTAGTTGTTTAAAACATGTTTTGAGTATATGCAATTAAAACCGTTGTACATTAAAAAATACCAAATAAAACATTGATTAAAACATACGCATTACCAAGTTATTAAGACAACAAATAAAAAGTGACTTCGATTGTATGGTATAATAATGTTGTGAACAACATTATTAACTATTTTAGTATATTATATACAAACATAACATTGTATTTGTAATATATAATATTGCAACATAACATTTTTACAAATATGATTATGTTCGTAACACTTTTTTTGCTGTCTTAAATAGTCTACATTTATCTTTATTTACATATCTTAATTTAATAATTAAAGAGCTATAGTAATTTTCTTATGTAAGTGTTGATGCTCATAAATATTAGTTTTATACTATTTTTTTCGGAGTTTTCAAGGTTCATTGAAAATATAAATATTGTAATGAACGATAATTGTAAATGAAAAGTAAATTAAATCAATACCATATAATACCACGTATAATCAGTTTTAAGAATCGATTTGTTTGTTTGTTTTATTTTGTTGTGCGTTTAATATACGACTATATATTTACTGAAACACGAATTATCATATATTTTTTCATTTTCCATTACTTTAATAATAATAATAATATTAATAATAGTAATATTTTACCGCAATGACGTAAACGTTTGATCAATCATTGTTACACATTATTAATAAGTCGTAATTATTTGATAAAAAAAAAAAAAAAAGTTGAATTCGCTGAATTTTCTAAACGAATTATAAAATCTATATAAAACTAAACGTGATGACATTTTATTAAAAATAATGATGCATGAGTTAGTGACTGTTCATATATATATATACAGGAACTATTGATGGACTGTTATAACGAGACCGTTATGCTTGAACTATTTGAAATGGTTTTCATAATGACAATCTATTATATACATTTCATTTATACTATGTGTGTCAGACAAATTAGATTCTTTTCTTTAGTATTAGTGTTTATATCTGTTGAAAAGAGTAATCATTTAAAAGAAATTAAAATCTACTTTTTAATTAAATATTTGGTTTCAGGAAAGAAGGGCTTAAGTCAATTTTTGGCGTTTCTTTTTTTTTCAAATAATTTTTTCTAATGGAATTAGTTTTTCCTTTATTTTTTTTGGTCTAATTTGTAACAGTGTGTGTACGCTTTTTCAAAATGAGTGTATGTAGTGTAATAGAAAGACTATATGTCTATAGTTAATACACAAAAGTATATATTTTAGATTCTGAGTAGAGTGAAGAAACTTATGGTTTTACCAAGATGTTTGTTTATTTTTTTTTTTGGGGGATGTACTTTAGGGAAAACATTTTTTCGATTTTCTCAAGAGTTTTCTCACCAAATGTGAAAAACCGAACAAAAACGGGAAAATGTACAAAATATATTAGTATATTGTTACAATTTTTTTTTCTGTGGACAACTTTTTTACCAGCAATTTTGCTTTAACTTATAATGATAGCTATGTTTCTACAAAAAAAATCCGACTGGAAAAGTACTTTAGAAAGGTCAAATTTTCGATTTTCTCAGGAATTTCCTCAGCAAGTATGAAAAACTGGGAAAATATATAATTCATAATTTTACTATAATATGACATATATATAGTTGACAAAGCATCACTATCAATTGAATTACGTTAAGAATTGTTTTTTTGTAAGCAATAATGGTTTATCGTTGCTTACAGTCTTACATGTATACATTAAATTACCTATACAGTGGCTGCACCCGTTTCCATTATCTTATTTAACATTTAATTTACTCATATTGAAAAATATTCAAAATTGACTTAAATTCACTGAGACCAATTATGAATATGTATTATATATATTGTATATTTTTCGTTTATTAAGATAAAAATTGTATACATAATATATTATATATTATATAAATGTATATTTTAAACTTTTTTAATTTAAAAATAGAACAACGCTACATTTTTATAAAACGTATAGGTATCTACTATTATTAAAAATATTGTTTTAGCTTCTGAAAGTAGAGAAAAGAAGCTGTTACAGTTTTACTACTATGTCGAATAAGATATTGTGTTTTCTTCTTTTCAGAAGACACTTTTTCGCTAATGAAAATGCAACTTCTACGTTACACCCGGATTTTCCGCCCGGTGTTTTTTTTTAATTGAAACATTTATCTAGAATCCAAACGTTTTTTTTTTTTTTAAAGAAAGTAAATACATAAATAAAAGCCAAAAACTAGAATGACACTAATGCACATGTTTTAAACAGAAGCTATAACACGCAGAGATCTGTAATGTTGAACATAGACGGTGGAGGGAGGAGGTCTGTGGTTAATTTTTTAAATTTGAATTTTTGTTGTTGTTTTTTTGCTGATTTCTGAATTCCCTTGGTTATCTATGGGTACCGGGACCAACATAAATAATTTAAAAAAAAAAAAAAAATGTTTACTACAATTGAAATTAACAGTAAAGGTGTCCCGGGAGGGTTTTAAACTGTGTCAATGAGTTTATTCTCTGAATTACTTTATTTCATTTTGTTTATAGTTAATTAAAGTTTATTAAATATTTGTATTATATCGAATACATCAAAATGTTCACCATAAGAATGATTTATATTCGTAAGTAACCTATAAATATTAAAAGTAATTCATTTTTATTATTTCTAATATTATTTTAACTAGAAATGATCTGAATTAATAATAATAATAACAAATTTACAGTTTAACACCTGAGTGAAATATTGTCACTTATGAATTATTCTAGTACGATATTCTGCTTTTTAATATCAAATATTATTATTTTTGTACTCGCCAATACGATTTTATGAATTTGTCTAGCAAATTTAAGTTTAAAATTATTATTATAGCATTTGGTGAAATTGTGTGCATTTTTTCCTTCGAAAAACATTTTTTTATTTATGATAGATGAGTTAAATTTTACTCATTTTTCAATAGAAAATTCATTGCACAGGATCGGATTTATGAGGGAGAAAGCACAGGCTCCGGGGCTCCCGTAAAATTTAACTGATGAGGAATCTTTATAAAATATATGTGTTTTAGCGGGACGATTTTCTTTATATTTTCGTAAAAATTTTAAAATACAATATTATTTATCAAAAACGTATTTTTCGGTCCGGCGTCCGCACAACTTACCGGAATCCACTCAATGCCAACGTGGGAGGTACATTGGCGCACATACGGAGGTGCCAGGGGGTGCTTAGCATCCCTAAATCTAAAATTAGGACCGCCAAATTTTTAGTTAAATAAAATAAATATAATACTTAAATAATACTCAGATTTAAGGTAATTAATTACTATTTTACTATTGTGCATTGATTTATATTACATATAATATATTAATAATTAATATTATATAGTACTTATATTATATTATAATTGTAAGTTTATGTTAATTGTTTTCATATTTTTAAGGAGGTACCTATCCTTTGTTGGTTTTTTATTAGGCAATGAAAGATTCATTATAGAAAATCGGATCTCATTATTTCAATTTTGTTTATTTAATTTGCGAGTATCATATAATTTTATTTTGAATTGTCGAATAGGTTGTGGTGGGGTAACCCTCTCGTGATACTTTATCGTAAATAATTTTATCACCCCTAGGTTTTAGACTGAACGTGCGCCAATGGGAAAGTATAAACACAATTTAACTTTTTGATTTAAAAAAATAGGGTGAGAGGATGTGACATTCGCATGTGTTGTCTCCGTCTTACAAACTTTCGATATAGTAAATTTCCGTTCAGCAGGGACAAATGTGTGCTGTTAGTTTTAATATTAGAGTGAATTGACCAATGATCAGACTTAAAAATATATGGACATGCTTTGCACAATGGACGAACCACTACTGTAGGTGAGAAGATGGGAAGGTAGAGAAGACATTTAATGTACATCTGTACGCAACCATTGCTAACGAAAAACGATTCTGAGTAGAGTTCGGTTAATAGTGTTACTTTGTCAACAATATACATGTGTATCATAATATTATGGTAAAATAATTACATATGCAATTATATATTTTCTTTAACAATATTTGTTTAATATTGTATCTATCAATTTTCCACGTTTTTTCCCCGGTTTTTCCCATTTATTATGAAAACAGCAGGGAAAATCAAAAAAATGACCTTAAAGTACCACCCGGTCAGATTTACTTTTAGAAAAAGTGCTATAATTTAAAATCGGAGTAAAAATGCTAGTTGAAAAGTTGTTTACAGATAAAAAAAAAACAAAAACAAAACCTCATTGTAAAACCAATATATTACCCATTCCGCTCGAAATCTAAAATAAAAACTAAGAACTAATGAGAATTAACTGTGCTACGATGGCGTATTTTTTCGATATTTTAATTTATGAGCTTCAGTCAACCGTGTTATGTACTCATATGTCTCTTAAAAATATTATAAAAATGGCGCCACCGTTTCAACTGTTGTTTGTCAGCTATATTGTTAGAGTCAATCCTCTCTAATATTAAACCGCACAAAGTCGTCCCTGTTATGCCGTGCGTTTGAGAGGCGCAGACGACGCACGCGGGTTATCACGCCCTTTCAATAATTTATTAAATTTTTGTTTACCTATATATAGTAAATATGTTAAAAGAAAAAAACAAATACATTTCGTATTGTCGGTTTTGTTTTGGTTTTTTTTTTTTATTACTTCCGCATTATCAATATGTTATAACACCAGCAGCTACCCACTCGGTAAATTCGTGATGATAATATTTACAGAAAAAAAAAAATCGTATACTATTATATTGTTATCGTTATTATTGTATTATTGTTACGACGGATTATGCACGCACGCAAAACCCGGCGATGTGAATTTTCGTAACCCAGTAAACTGAAAGGAAAAAAAAAAAACAAAAATAAAAACTTCTCACGACTCCGAGAAATAGATAATATACAGTATGTAGAATATCCCGATCCGACGGTGACCACTTCCCCCCCCCGCCCCCCGCAGCGCCTACGGTAATAACGCGAAGACGATACACCCGCCGGTGCACCCCGGCCGTTATCCAGTGGCTAGACGCCAAGCGAACTGGGCTAAGGTCGGTCGTGTCGGCGGTGCGCGCCCGCATTATTATTTATCATCATAATAATAACGTGCTCGGGACTGCGGCGCGGAGTTACCGTAGCGGAAACAATGGGCGCGAATCCACCGGCATTATGGAAAACAGCCGCTGTATCGGCGCACGTGATTTGACGGCCCGAATGCGGTTCGCACAACACACCCAATATAATAACAATAATAATAATAATAATAATAATAATAATATTTGTAATATTTGTAATATTTCCGCGTCCGCCGCAACGTGTTTTTCACTGCGCGCGCCGCGCACTACTCGCCGGCGGCGGCGCGCGTTTGGGATTTCGTCGCGCTCGAGGACGCGGGTTTATCGCGTCGCGTTCCTTCTCATCCGCAGTCCTGCCAAACAGTGCGATAACTATCGGGGACGTTTAACGGCCGAACAATATCGTCGCAACACTCGCGTTTTGCCCGTCGTTTTGTTATTATTATTATTATTTTTTTTTTTTTTTTTTTTTTTTTTTTTTTATAAACGCTTGTGATTCGTGTATTCAAACACGGCGAGTGCTTACGAACCGAGATTTCACTGATCGTATGTCAAACTACTCAAACTAGATTTTCGGCAATCGAATAAATACCTACGAGTACCCATTCGTAATGTGGAGTGTGAGCTATTTCAAGTCACCATACGTATACAACTTATACGTTAGTTTTTATTTGTTTGTATCACGCCAATTTGTCGTCACACCAGTCGCCTCTATTTGTACGTTGTTTCGTGTCGTTTGTATACGTGGGGCCGAGGAGCCATAACTGTACCCCTTCCCCCAACACCCGAAATGTTTTCTACATTATTCTCGATATTTTATAATTTATGAAATGTTCGCTAAGTGAGTCATTTTTGGTCGAATTTCTCTGTATGGTGTCTGTACTCGGTTATAATATATATTTATACATTATTAGGTAGGAAATTAAAATATAATCTGTTTTTCGTTACTTTTGGACATTTTTAACGGCTCTCTTTGGATCAAACGAACTCAAACTCGGAGATTCGAGTGGTTTAATGTGTGAATTGAAGAGTTCAGAGTTGGGTTGAATTTCAATATAAACTATACCATGTTGCGGAAGATTGGTATTTTTCATCATTGAACTCGCCTACAGATCCACCAAATGAAGTGGGAGGATTTACATTTTGTATGCATACACCAGTTAATATCAGTACTGACTGTTGAAGACTATTGAAGTTTAAGATTTCAACCCTTACTTTTACTATTTTTATGATTAAATTTCACCATTTTTTTTTTTTTTTTTTTTTTTGTGGAAATAGTATAATTTTATATTATCTACAGTAAGAAAGTAATGTTAAATTATTATAATATTCAGTTATTTTGCCGGTTACATTTATAAATAATATTTCTATAAAAAAAATATGGGTCGGGGAAGAAGGATATTTGGAATCTATATTGACGGAGCTTTGTTGCAACTTGCGGGTGTTTTTTTTCTAATCTAATTCAATTATTATAATATTGAAAAACAAAAAGTCCTGGCGGGTCATATAAATAATGAACATTTTAAATTTAACCACCTCCCAACCCGAATTATTTTCCTGGTTGCGCTACTACCTGCACCTACTGTACATAGGCTAAACAAAATTAATTTTTAATTTATATATTTTTGTAAGTAATTTATAATAATTCAGTCTGTCTTAAAATTAAGATTTAAATTAAAAATCAAAGGGAACCAAGTAAAGAAAAAAATATGCCAAAAAATGACTTGAACTCTTTCCCGAGAGATCAGAAAAATAATTATTGAAATCACCAGTGTATGAGGTCTGGCTATTAAATAACGAGACTGCTTATGAAAAATCGTTTTATTTTAAAAATTATTCCACAACCTTATGTTTCCCTTCAATATACTCCCCTCCCCTCGCCAAACACCGTTTCATTCGTTTCTTCCATTGCTCGAAGCAGTGCTGGAAGTCTGTTTTCGTAAGACCATTCAGGAGTTCCGCCGATTTTTGTTTCACCTCTTCCATCGACTCAAACCGGATTCCTTTTAGGGCACACTTTATCATCGGAAACAAGTAAAAGTCGCAGGGTGCCAAGTCGGGTGAGTAAGACGCGTGTTCGAGTACTGGAGTGCCTTAAGCGGCCAAATAACGCTTCACAGACAGCGCGTTATGGGCAGGTGTGTTATCCTGGTGCAAGATCCACGACTTGTTTTTCCACAATATCGACCGTTTCTTACGAACTCATTCGCGCAATGTTGCCAAAACTGTCAAATGTAATGTTGATTCACAGTTTGACCCTCTGGAACCCATTCAGTCATCACAATGCCGTTGATATCGAAGAAAACGATCAGCATGGGTTTGAATTTGGATTACGACTGAATTGGATTCCGGTGCACTCTCGACCTTCAGAAAATAATTTATGCCACTCAAAAACACGCGCCCGAGATAGGAAATCCTCACTATAGGCCTCTTTTAACAACTTATAGCACTCAGTTGGAGTTTTTTTTTTAGTTTAACGAAAAAATTTTACGTTTATCCGTTGCTCATGTTTTTCGTCACACATCGTTTTCGGCAAGAGAAAAAAACATGTTCGTTTCTAAACGCTACAGAAAAAATACTAATGCACCAACAAAAACCCAATTTTGTACTGGCATAATAGACACTTCCAGCTATCCATCGCTGTATTCGGTTTTCCCCTAACCTTTTTGGGACGCCCTCTGCGCGCGCAGTCTCATTATTTAATAGACAAACATCGTATAATATATTATAAGTATTTTGAATCTGTAAACGCGTATCAAAGTAAAAGAGTCGAAAGTAATATTGTCTACACTTCACTAGGTGATTCATTTGAAACGTGTGACCTTCACCTAAAATGTCTTGTGCCAAATTGTGGTGTTACTCAGAGAAGATTAATGTTGTTTTGTGTATAGTTTATTATTTTATACGATTACAGTTAACCGTAAACGGCCGAAAATAGAATCGAAATAAAAGCGTTTTGAAAATACCAGCTAATATTTACACTAACAATTTCGCATATAATTTTAAATTTTTCGCTGACATGCGACTAAAAAAATTTGTGCGTACACTTTTATTAGTTAAAAATAAATACATAAAAGGGGTCCATTGGAAGTTAAATTAAAAATATCTGTTAGTTCCTTTTTTATATTGTTTTCTATTAATGTAGACATATTATATACTAAATTTATTATGTATGCATCATGCTCTTTGAATTTTTTGTTAATTTGCATTTAGATTTGACAGAACCTCAATAATGGATCCAATACAATATCAGTTTCATTATACGTTTGGTCTGATTCACTATTGAGCTTGTCATAAATATGTTCCCTTATATGAATTTGCAATATCACCTCCCCCCCGCCCGTTATCTTGTCACGGATCCGCCTCTGCTTGACCTTCTTACATCTTATATTCTTTTATGAATAAGTATTATTTTCTTTATTAATTCAATAAACGACGCGTAGACAGTTATTATTGTTGAAGTACGTGCCAATCGGTAAAGTAAATAATTACTATTGAGAGAGAGAGAGAGAGAGAGAGAATCAAAACTATTAATTCGAGCAGCGCAATATATTTAGTAGATCGTCATATTTTAACTTTATATTATATATTATTTGACAGCGCGATTCGAAGCAATATGAAGTATTTGACATCGTATTATTCGGTCTTATCATTAAGGTCGTCGTGCAAATATGAAATAATAATAATTTTTAAATTTTACTCAATTGAAAACAACTTAGAAAATTGCTTCCATAGTTTCAACGCCCTCGAGGAAACATTATACACACAACTGCTGTTTGCTGTAATATCATGCTCACGAAAAATACATTTAGGTTTTGTCGTACCAACGTTACAGTTATAAAAAATAACAGCATTCCGTTACATGTATATAATCGAATTTTGCTCAGAATCGTTTTTCTTTACCAATAGTTTATCGTTGTTTACAGATACAAATTGAATATCTTTTATAACAGTGACCCCACCCATCAGCAGTATCGGTTCTTTTTTTTGTTGGCATTTTTGTATTGACTATTTATTAAAATAATGTGTTAACCGATTCATTTCGATTCGGAGTAATTGTACTGTTCATCAAAATAATTTTTATTTGAAATTATCTATACATATTTTTTTTTTATTTCTGTAGATATTTTGTCGTGCAAATTGTAATTTGTTTTAACCCTGGGTTTTCGTATCGAGGTTCCTCGGTATTAAAAATAAAATAAAAATACATCGTCACGCTTAATATAATCGTCGATTTTGTATTCTAGTTTTTCTAACCATTTTAGTACTTATATATTGTATTACATTTAGTAGACGATTTAAATATAACGTTTTCCTGGTTTATTTTTCGATTTAGTAGATCGTATTGCTATATAAAAAAAAAATAACGTATTAAACTATTGTATTGAATAAACAATCGAGTAAAAACTGTTTGTATGAAAATCAAGCAAATTAAATTTTTTTTATTAATATTAGATTTTCCATTGTATAATATTTTCGATTGATGATTTTATTTTAATTATGCAACGGTTAATTAGCTACTGAAGTAATTACAAAAATAAATATATGTATACATAAAATAATAATGTAGTCAGTTTTAAATTAGATGTATATTTTTTAATTAAATGTACGTTTATTATTGCGTACGATATTTAAAGTGTATGCAATTATTAATTATTTTATAGAGATCTATTGTCAATGCTCTATAAACAATTTAAATAAAACTGGTCTAAAAAGAAATACGAATACATTAAAATACACATATTTCATTTTATTTTAGTTTCCTATAATGAGTTTTTTTTTTAGATTCTGAGCGTAGCGAGAAATATTTGGTTTTACTATGACGTGTGCTTTCTTTTTTGTCGTATTTTCTATTTCTAACTTTTCATCCAGAAATCTGACACTAATCAAAAAACGATAAAAAAATACCATTTTGTTCCATTTTGGACTTAGTTACTGAGGATTAAGTGATTTTTTTTTTCCAAGCAGTTTTCATGATTATTGGGAAAAACCGAAAAAAGACGTAAAATAAAAACTTTAAAATTTACGTCGTTATGAATTCATTATTTTTAATTTGTACTCTTTATTTTTTTCACTAGTAATATTGAAATATCGACAATAGATCTTTTTTGTTGCATTTTAGATCTTGTTGATTAACAAAAAAGTCGTTTTTCGATTATCCGTGTAGTTTTCTTAATAATTTCGCAAAACGAGAAAAAAATGTATAGTAAAAACGAGAAAGTCTACGGAAATAATGGATTCATTGTTTTCAATATTATTGTAATTCTAGTAAAAATATTCCTAGACTTGCAATTTTGATAGAAAACTAATATTCTCTTTTTTTATAAAATAAATAAAATATTCTCTAACTACTAAAATATGATTTTTTATGCAAAATAATTTTTTTCTTCTGAATTCTAAGTTTTACGAATCGTGAAGATATCTTACTTCCATTTAACTGCAAACACTTGAAACAAATATGTAAAATCATTCAAAATTGACCTTTAATTGTGCTATAACTAGTGCTCAACAAAATTACATTGGAATTTAATGTAGTGATTTTTATCAGCGCTATCAGTAAATTTGAAAATACAGATGTATATGACCCTGGTATGGCCTATAGCACTATGCCTCAAAGACAAGACCACTTAGGAAAGCGGAGGAAATTAGATTAAAGGTATTTAAAAGGAGAATTCTAAGGAAAATATATGGTCCTTGCATCGACCTCTAAATGGGAGAATGGCGTAAACGACACAACCATGAAATCGAATTATTATTCTAAAGACCGGGTATCGCAAAAGAGATCAAGTAAAGGAGGTTAATGTGACTGGACATGCGTGGTGGCACGTGGGTCCCATACTTAAAATAACCATCACTGAGAATTCGACTGGTTTGTACCAGTCCATCGGGAAGACCAAGACTATATGTGGTAGCAGTCTTGTGCAGGATCCGACCAGATGTACCGTGCAGGACAGCTGCGGAAGATAGAGATAGATGGAGAGGACTTTGCTTGTCAGTAGTATGGTTTCAATGACTGACAGCCAAAAGAAGAGAGTGAGAGAGAGAGAGAGAGAGAGAGAGAGAGAGAGAGAGACAGAAACTAGCTGTTATCGGCGCTGTGCCCACACATAACTTTTTAGTTTCGATAATATTTTCAATTGCTCGGTCTACTTGAAACGTTTGAATCGAACTCAGAAACGTGCGGATATTATTTGACGTCGAAATAAATTGTATTTTTCAATCGCTATTAACGGTTTAACGGAAAAAACGAAAGAAAAAAAAAAAACCGGCGACGAGACGTTTCGTTACGATACGACACGCGCGCGTGTTCCTCGCATTCGGCCCGCTTCGGCCCCCCCCGGTTCGTCGGCGTTGTCGACGGCGAATCCTCGCCGGCGACACGCGTCGCGCCGTGAGAATAATTCGGCAATATCCAAACGTGCGATCCGAAGGTACTGACAACAAGCCCTGTCCGTTTTAAACGTTTAGCGTGTAGGCGCGAAACAAGTGTGGAAGTGTCGTAATCGCGTTCCGGCGCGCAACGCCGCCGCGCCATTTTGAAACGAACGTTTTCGGTGTGAAACTACCGCACCCGTCGTAAGCGGTCGTAAATAAAAGATAACTCGCGCGCGTGCGAATAATCGACGTCGAGAATCCGGTACCGCGATCACGCGGTTGCCCGTGTGAAGAAACGGCGCGCGTACCGAACCGAACCGAACACTCGTTGACGTGGTGGGGGGGGGGGGGGGGGCTGGTGAGGAGGAGGGAAATAAATAAACAGCGCGTACCGCCGCGCGGGGTTGGCGCGATTCGTCGCGGAACTGCTGAACTGCGCGGCCGGTGGTTTTTGTTTGGCGACGCGAATTAAATGTGATAATACGCGCGCAACACACGATCTCATGTGTCGTTTATTGTTATACTGTTTACCATCGAAATAATACAGTTTAAACGTCGGCGTTCGCATTGCAATCTCGTGTGTATTTATCGTTGAAACAGTTTGAAAAATACATTTGAACGACGAGCGTGATGCGTAAGCGTAGCCCATACGGTTGCGCGGTTTCGTTTGAAAGTTTAAACGTTTTATTCAACAAATAGCGCCGTAAACCGTTGGTCTCCACTCTTTGATTGTGACTCCTCCTACTCGTACCTCCAAGTTGTTTGTCTCAGACAGATCGCCCACCTAAAAATATTCCCGATAATTACGAAATACGTGATGGATTCTACAGTATTTCAATGGGCCGTTAGTTTCGAGCGTGTACGTTGAAAATTGCTCTCGTTATAACCCAGTTCAGTATTCAAATCCGCAAAACTACTAGAAATCATAATGTTCTGTGCGTTGCGTTATAAGAGGCGCAATTTTTATCTTTAGAAACTCAAAAGCAACAGGTTATTTAAATAGGGTAGTAACCGTCACGTTTAAAAAACATCATAATTTCTGGTAAAGTTTTACGAATTTGAGAGCGCGTCGGCAGATTTGCCGAACTGCGTTATAACAGGCGACACTTTTTAACTGTGGCACTCGAAACTGACGGGTTGTCATTTGAATGTCATTATAATAATAACGGTTTCTACTGTAATGATGATTGAAACATCACGGGTTAATATGTGACGCCAAATAAAACCACCGGTAGCGCCACAGTAGTCCAGCGATTCAGCAAATTAAGCATTCTCCGTACTGCGGTGCTTTTTCAAAACAGTCGTTTACGGCGTACACGAATATTGCGCACTTTCGGTTAACAGCGAACAGGCCCGGACCTGTGTCGGATACCGCCGAGGTCACTTCGAAATGCCGTTTGTGCTGGTGCGCGGTTTACCAACGGTCAAGATTGATTATTGATTATCCGAGAAATCCCTCGGTCCATTACCAGAGCATTTTGACGTTCAACGCGAATAATATCGGGCCGGGCGTCCGAAAATAGACTTCGCGGGAAAAGGCTCCGTCGGATACGACACTCGGTTTTGGATTTTCGCGTTACCTGATAATGTGTATTACTTTGTATATTTTGCCGTTTCGGTTCATAGAATAATCACGTTACGCAATCGGTTTTCTGAAAATAGATTTAATTTTAGCCGTCGGGTACCTTAATTCTCCGAAACGATGTCCCGTCATTAACCGCCTCGTCGGTCGACCCCGGTATGCGGGGCCTACAGTAGGTTCACTCCGTGACAACAAAAGTTTCCGATAGATGGCGATATGATTATTGTTTCCGCGTTAATTAATTCGTATGTTATTTGGATTTGGTTTGGTGTTGTCAGTTCCAATTTTGCCGTCGTTTCATTTCGCCGCATAATTCACAAATTGTTTTTATTTCAAAACAACGGTTGAGAATCTGTGATTCGTACAACCTGTAACGATTTCACTACTATACACTATCTGAAGTTATCGATTGATTAAATTCCCCACAATTATATAAGTAAAACGTAACGCGTACTCATTAAACGCAACGAATAATAGTCAAGTCACCGGAAAATAAACTATTATTTTATACGATATATATTATTGTTATGCAATTATCTAATACTCTAGTTGACAATACGATATACAATTTTACTGACCGAAAACTACTGTATATATATGTGTGTGTGTAAAGACCTACACAATACATAAATTTATAAGTATAATTAATAATTTGTATGTGGCTTGTAACTTTTAAGTGATTTAAGTGAAACATATGTAAGTAACCCGTTACAATTTTACAAAGTACCACAGGCCCACAGGTACCTCCTACAAATGCTAGGTACCCGTAGAGTAAAACAGAACGTTACTTTTTCGATTATCAAATGTATAATCTGATTACATGCATGCAATCAGTTTCTTATAAATTCAAAGTCCATTATTATTATTAGCATATTTGAAAAATAAATTCAGTGCAACGCGGTACAATTAATTCGGCGAAATGACACTGCTGCGAAACGGGATACGACCGTTAATCCGTCACGAAAGTCTAGGAAAACCATCTGGTAGCATTTCTGATTTGGTAGGTGCATCCAAGAGGTCATTTCTTGACTTTCCTTGTAATTTTTTTAATAAACGGATAGTCCGTAATAAAACCCGATCCGCGAGCGTGTCAAGTTCGCGGTTTCTAAATATATTTAAAACAGCTAAACACCCGTAGTTAGTAATGCATTTTAATTGGTTTCAATTTTTAATAATCTTTCCAACTCGTTAAAAAAACTGGCAAGTAGTTGTATAATTTGTGTTGTTGTTTTTTCGGTTATCTTGGCACCTAGGAAAAATACGACTAATAATACTCTGCTCAGAATCGCCGTTCTCTTAGCGACGGTTTGTCGTTAGCTTCTTGAAACAGAGCTACACCGGCATCAGCGGCATCAGCCTTTTTTAAAAATAATATTAATTTGTTACCGTATGTGTATGTTTATTACATGTTTTTACAATGTTTCGAATTGTTTGTTTCAGGTTAGTTGCATATGGCCTTGTCTGACAAGCTCGGCACCAGGTAAAACATAATATTTTGCCATTGTTATTGACTCGTCGGCGGTATCCGTTCGACCCTCGCCGTTATTGTTGCCATAACGGAATTGTAATGTCCGGGTTGCCAATAATCACGAACGTATGCGCATTTGACGCGCGATCGATATATTAACCGGTAAAAAACAAACATTTTTTTTTTTCACGGCTCCGGGCTGCTGGCCGTTGGCATCGGTTACTATGAGTTCGCGTGCAAATTATTTATGCGGTACGCGAGCATTTTATCAAAACCCGGAACGATCAGAACCGTAAAACGGCCGTGTTGAGAACGAATATGGATTGTTGGGGGCCGAGACCGTTTAACGTCAAATTCGCACGTGTTGAGCTTTGCTGAACGCCGTCGGCTGTGTTAGCGAATAGGTGACCACTAATTATCATCGGGTATTTTATGGCGGATGGACACTTCCAAATAATTTATGCTGTCGACGGTTTGGACCTGGAGCTGTCTGTCGATTGTTGTATTCGATTGTTTTCCGCGGCCAAATACCGTGGTGACAATTATTATTGGTTAGTTGTGTTTTGCCTATAAATGTTTTGTAAACATTTATCGAGTGTATTTTGATTTTTGATCATGCAATGTGACGGGTTTGTTACAATTCAATATCGATTACAATAATTTCCAAACGGATACACTTAATCACAATCATAAATAAAGCTCAGGACATATTGTGTTTAAAATTCACCAAAAAGCTCTTAAAAACTGAAAAAAAGACTTTAAAAAATATAATAAAAACAAATGGTGGAAGGGTTTAAATAGTCCCCTGTTTAACTTTAACTTATTAAATGCAATTTTCAAACACGATTCAAATAGCATTGTGTGTATTATAAAACAATAACCGAGTTAATAATTTGTGTAGTGTTAGAAAATTTTATTTAATAAGTTAGAGCCGTTAGAAGATGGACATTTAAACTCTTCTATCTTTATGTTTATTTAAATTTTTTTCAAATACTTTCCCAGAGTTTTTTTTGACGTTTTTAAGCGATTTTTTTGTGGTTTTTAAGTGCAATAAGTCTCGAGCCATAGTCATTAGTCATTTTTTGATCGAGTGAACATCAATAAATCAGTTGGTAAATTTTTATTTTGTCTCTTCTAAGGTTTCTTTTTCTTTAAAACTTTTCCCGAGTTATTATTAAATATTAAAATTGTTTTGTTTTTCATAGATTTTTGTGAATAAAATCGTATAACTTTTGTAATTTGTCAGACCATTGTGAATATTAAATTGTAGTTTACCAACAAAGTTAAAATTTCTCTTGGACACTTTTCACATGACAGCGACGTCGTGTTTATTTATATGCATAATTTACAATTTGAAAACAATATAAAAGTATGAATTATTCAAATTCTCAATGTTAGTCTACCTATATGTATTATTGATTGTCTTTATTTTGCTGACCTATGGGCAACGGATTATAATAATTCTTAAGCAATATTTAATTGATATAGAATATAGTGTGAAATGTGAAAAGTGAATATGGTTGGTCAACTTTGGTTTGTTCTATTTATTTGTTTAGTTTTTCGTGATAACTATATTTGATTAATCCTGTATTATAATATAATATAATTATATATTATGTATAATATATTTGTATTTTTTATTTCTAATCCCAGCTATGGGATTTTTTCAAAAGTTGGTATTCCTGGGTCCAGGTCTTTTCAATGGAAACTTTTTCTTTAGGACTTCAACTGAACGTCGAAATTAATGCATATTCATGAACTGTAGGCAATTTTCGGAAGAAGCAGCGACATTATAATATCTGTGGTGATTTGTATTATGTCTTTATGGTTATCAAAAGTTTGTTCTTTTATTATAACATTCATGTCAATGAAACAAAAATATGATTTTTTTTTTTATATCTTCTCATAAATTGTTGTCATGGCGTTTAAAGTGAATTGTATAATTTCCATCGAAGAGGACACTTTACTATATTTATCGTGATTATATAACTGGAATTATTTTTTTATTTGTATGCCTTAATCCATTAAAATTTAATTCTCGGTGCTTTTAATTAAGTTTATCTATCCATCTGTCTATTGGTTAGTCATTAATAATATTATTTTTTATACAAATTTAGAAATTAAGTATCAGTAAAGATTTTAAATATAAGTCAATAAATTTGCGCGTATCTTTAACCAACTCACAAATTTGCACTTAAGCAAGGTTCGGTCGTACTAATAATAATAAACACCATCGAATTTGCAGGTTGTTAACCCATGTTTTGTAATGAAGGTTGTGTTTCTGACAACCCAATGATTTAACTTGCATTATTTTTTATATATTGTTAAATTAGCGCAAGGTAACTAAATTTTTGAAAAAAAAAAAATTAATTAATAAATAACCGAAGCTGCTCGTAAAACTACATGGTAGACACATTTAAAACAAACTATTTCTAGGTCAAATAATCGATTATTACAATAGGTATAATTATAATAATGAGATTTTCATTTGATTGACTTTTACTATAATATTAAACCAAGCGAAATGTGTTTCATCCAGTTCATTAATTTCATATTTCATTGAGTAATAATGTCAGTTATAATGTTGCGTTTGGATATTACACATAGAAGGTGTTCGAATTTCGCAATGAATGTTTGTGTTTTAATTTTTGACTTATATTATAGTATATGCTAAGCAGACGATGTTTTTAATCATGTTGATTTTTAAAGTTACTAAATCAGTTTTTTTTTCATGTATATTATAAATTTAATATTTATGCAAAAAGCGAGTCTGGAATTTTAATTTGTTAATTATTTGAATGTATAATTTATCGAAAGTGTTGAATAATAATAATAATAAATATATTATAAATTTGAAGTTGTGGAAGTCGTATAAAATAGTTTTTGTAACTCCATTAATTTTTGCTAACCTAACCTTATAAGTTTTTCAGACGGATATAATTCTTGTGTATTTTTAAATTTAAGAAAATATATTATACTAATAAATTACAATTGAATAAGTTTTTGATTTTATTAGTATTCATATTAATATTTTACTCTGGTATATTATGTTTCTGCGTTTCATAAATTTTAAATATTTTTCCATTTGTGAAAATTTTCGTATGATTTTTTTTTTACGTTTTATAATATGATCGTGTTTGATTTACTCATAATACTATACATACATTGGAATCTTTAGGTTATTAATAACTGTTATCCTTATCAGTATCGCATAGAGGAATTTTGAAAGCCCACGCAGTTAACAAAAGTATACTCACTCACCCAGTTGTAAAAAAATACAAAAATGAAAAGGTTATCCCTGCTATATTCACCTGTTCCCCAAATCACAATTTATAATGAGCAAAATTAAAAAGCCCTTCATCCACCCCAAGCTGTGACAATCCATGCAGTTGCATTACTCGAGATTATAGATATACGCCACTGATTCTTATCTACGAAAAGTTGTACCTAAACAATACGTTTATTTGTGGAAACACTATACGAACACATAATCTTACACGGTTAAATAACATATTATGTTTTTGTATTTTATATTCGAAAACGAATCTGAATATTGTTACATTAATCTAGGGGTACCATAACTAAATGTTTGTAAAAATAAAAAAAACACGCGTATATATAATACAATAATAATAAGTGTCTTGCGTTTCTGAAGAATCGCTTTTTACAACATTATGTTTTCGTAAAAACGTTGTTGTTAAAGTTATGCAAATGATTCGGTAGGATTAGGTAGGTTTCTATATTTTATGTATTTTAAGTTTTCAACTGACGGTCGTTCACGTGAAATGCATTAAGTAAATTGCGATTTATTAAGTGGACTTTTATCCAAAGGATTGGCTTTGTATACGTAATATAATATATTGAAGAACATTAAAAAAAAAACAAAAAAATATGGACTCAAATATCTATTAATATAAAAAAATAAATAAATTTACTCTAGTCGTAATCTTCGTGTTATTGTTTTAAAAATGAATTCACGAACAACAAATACAAATACTCTTCAAAGTTAACATAGCAACAATGTACACTTACAATAATACAAATAAGGACAATAGTTCGGAAGGAGTTTTCATTATAGGCGCTTGCTTACATAAGTGATGTGATATCACGAATTTGATCATGATTGTAAAATGTAATTGTTTTTTTCTCAGCTTTTGTTAATCTCTCTATGCTATATCTATTTTACCGATTGACATTTTGAAATTCCTTTCCTATCGAAATATCGTCCACTTTTATGATCCGTCGGTGTTTTATGTCTATAAAATCTTTTTAAGTACACTTTTCAGTATGTTTTGCGTACTTAAGTTAAAAACAAATAATGAGTGCAATAAAAAGCTTTTTACCTCATTACACGATAGTTACAACAATAATTATGATAATAATTGTTGTGGAGGTTTGAAATACGATAATTTTATGCAAACGATCCTTTTGCGCGGGATTAGGTCGGCATTTTAATATACGGCCATTCGCGTGAAACGTATTAAGTAAATACTATTATTACGATTTATTAATGTTTTTAAGAAAATAAAAACAAAAAACACGACCTAACCGCGGAAAATCAAAGGCAGCCGGTACCTAAATCGCGTGTGTATAGTATAGGTATATTATCGTTATGGCCCTAATTTAAACGCTTTACAAAACAGGGATTGGAACACAGAAAACAGTATAATAATACATACATTAAATACGTATAGGTGCGTACAATTATATGGACAATTAATATTCAACAGAATAAATTCATTACTTACAACTTGAAAAAGTCAGATGCGAATTGTTACATTAACGGCATTGGATATTTGAATATTTTCTTTTTTTGTCTAATATATATATACTCGACGTGTAGCGATTTGAATCAATTATTTGAAATGTTTTTCCAGCGTCCGTCCTGATGTGGTGACAGTGGCGTTTTTACGGTTGTTATGTGGGAGATACATCTCAACGCTTGAATTTTTTTCAGCACATAATTATTATTTCTTTTACCACCTGTTTTTAAAAATTCAAAAATATTTTTATTTTTTTGGTGGGGAAAATAAAAAAAAAAAAATTGATATGTACCTATATAATAATAAACAGTTTTAAAATATCAAAAAATAATCCGTGCGTTCGCATTTTCTCGTTATTTAAAACGGGACTCGTATCCAAACCACTGCGATACGAAGAAAGTTACAATGGTACCTAAATATTAAACACATTAATAGTAATTACTTATCCAAGTATGTTTACTACATGGTACTGCGACGTTATAATATTCATTCGGGAAATAAAGCGGGAGGTGCATTAGTTTTCAACGCTGTCATCTTCCACTGTCGTCCGTTAACACGGCAACATCTCCGCAGCGCCGTCTCATCGTGTTTCGTAACTTTTATAAATTATTATTTTCCCTTTAGTGTCACGCGTAAAATAAACATTTATACTCTCTTAAACGCCAACAAAGTACGGTCTTTACACCATTCAGTACACCATTTATAATAACACAAATAAAACGACATGCTACGCTTAAGAACTGAGAATAGCCAGAGGTTGTTCTTGACCGCAGGGTTCCCCGGAAATATTTTAATTTGTTTCGCCAGTTAATATAGTTATTAATAGTTGGTATGCATATAATTGAAAGTAAAAATTCGTTCAAATTGCCTATACGCAACCCCTTTTATCCGCATGCGCGTTAGATAAACGTAAATAAATTTAATTAACGAAAACGTCTAGGAGGTTCGATAGTAGACAAAACAATAGGAATTAGACTGCGAATGGTTCGGTCATGTAATGAGGAGAGTGGAATCATAAGCAGTAAGAATGGTAATGCAAATAATCGTGGGGGAAAATAAAGGCCGAATACGAAGTAGTGATTTGATGCGATTGAGAATGATACGGGGACGACGAGTGTACGGGTATATGCGAGGACGATGTGGGGATCGGGTCAAGTTGAAGTTTAGGATGACGGTGGTCTACCCCAAATAGTTGGGATGAAGGCGAAAGAGAAAGAGAAGACCTAGAATGTTTATTTATTGGATTTATGCACTTGTCGGGATTTCGCGATTATATTAGAACCTAAAAAGTTTCATACTAATTGGTTCGTCAGTTTAGGTGAGAGGATGGCGGCGGAAAATTGACGGGGCATGCCCGGAGATAGAAGCCCCAATATACGAAATTGATTGATGATTAGGAATCATTAAATCACTTGACGAATAACGGCGTATTATAAATTCTATAGTGGAAAAAAAACAAAACAAAAAAAAAACCCGTACGTATATCGGTTTTAGTCGTTTTATACGTGTATAAAACGTGTTATACCGATCCGCTGTTAAAACCTGTCGGAAAACGCTCTGGCAGCCGAAAATTACTTTTGCCGCAAAACAATTTTTCTTTTCAAATCGTTTTGTTTCGTTCGTACAAGTAACTCCGAAATATCAAATAAACGCGCGATTGCGAGCTGCAGAATGTGCTGGATGTATGGCATTGTTATTAACCGTGTCCGTTATTGAAAAGATAAGATATGACGCGTTATCGAGATCTTAAATAGAACGATCGGTTAGGTATTCCGCCGTACGCGCACGTGGAATACCGAGACGTCCTACGAAAAGATCGGAAATCGCCGAAAAACGTTCGATGCGCGTCATGTTTTCCGAATCGCCCGTATTCGAACTATTTCGAGTGCCTAACCGAATAGCGTCGACAAAACGACCGAAACGCGGAGTGATAATATAATAAATTATTAACGTTTCGCGCGCTCGACGTAACTGCTGTGTGTTGCGGTATCTGTAACCGCGCACTCGAAAACCGTCGTCTCGGATCATTTTGCGGCCCGCCCGAGCCAGAGAAAAAACAAAATGAACGAAAAGAGAGAGAGAAAAAAAAACGACGTCGAAATCATCTCGTACACCGGGGGTGGTGTCACACATTTACGCGCCGTCGAATTCGTGTTGTACATTTTTATATCGCGACGCGCGGCCCCGTACCCCCGGGTACGTGCTGTAAACAACAATAATAACAACTATCATTATTATGTTGCTGTTGTTGTTGTTGTTGCGCGTGCGCGAAACAGCGTCGTGGGCGAAATGGACCAAAGGTAGGAAAAAAAAGAAAAAAAAAAACGCTTAAAACCGGCCGACCGACCGCGGCGTGCGTAATGGGCATGGGCATACCCCCTACCCAACAACCGCGGCGCACGTCGCGTGCACGAGAAAATAGTGGTTGTTGTGTGCGCGCAACACGACTAAACCGCTTTTTTTTTTTTCAAATATGTTTGTTCACAGGCGGGGGCGGCGAGGGAAGGGGAAGGTGCGATGGTGACGGGAGGGGGGTGGGGAGGGCAATGGAAAGTGTGCGCCTTGACCTACGTCTTTGCGCGTGCGCGCCACTGCCGCGTTACGTTTTAACGTCCGTTGGCGGAATTCAAAAACTCGCGAGCGCCCGTCGAACTAACCGTCGCCGCTGCCGCCGCCGCCGCCGCTGCCGCCGCCGCCGCTCGCAGACCGGCTCCGTCTCAGTGTTGTCGTTCCCGCCGTTCTGTGCGTCCGCGTGTCTTGTCGTCGTCGTTGTCGTCGTTTATTTTTTTCAAATTATTTTTCGCGTGCGCGATTTCGTCTTCGTTTCGTTCCCGAGCGGACGGTAACCGGCGAAAATACTAATCCACACTGTCCGTTCAAATATTATTGTTGTTCCGCGCGGTGTCGGTTATCGTTTTCGTTTTTTTTTTTCTCTTCTACGTTCTACAATCGGTCAATGTTCGTATTTTTTTTTCATCGGATATATATATATATATATTAAAATTCAGAGCGAGTGTTTTATACCATCGGCGATAATTACCGTCAAGAGTCGGAACGAACCGAGGGAAACGTTTCAAAACGACGACGAATTCTACAATATCATTATAGGTACACGTTATATTTTCATATGGTTTTTTTTTTTTTATAATATTTTTAAGGGTAAGTCCGACGGAGTCTTTCGCCCCGACACCGTAAATATACAATAACAGCAACAACAATGATAATAATAACTGCTATAACGTCTGGGGCTTTTCGGCGTGCCGTTACACGTCAAATTGATCGTTTTCGAGCTCGCGCTAGACAAACCCATTATTATTGTACCCGCCGCCCCCCACGTTGCCCCCGAAGGTCCGTGCGCGGGATTTAACGACGCGACACGAGATCCCCGGGGACCCGAGATCTATCAGCGAAACTTTGTCGCCGACACTGCCGCGCGATTAACTCGCGGATGTCGCACGGCACCCCCTAAGTTTTCTCCGGTTTTCAGACCGCCGCGACCGACCGTAATATTGTTCTTCCTGCCGTTTATTACATTATACTCTTTAAGAGTTTTGAACCGATTGAAATATTAAATACCGTTGAACGGGAAACCGAAAGTTCTGAACGGAAAACCGACGAAGTCTCCGCGCTTCGAGACGGTGCCGGAGTGAAAATCCGCTCGTGAAAAGTACGCGTACGCCGCGTTCAGGAATATCGTCGTGGTTTTCCCGGCGATTATCCAGACGACTTCCCGTAAAGTCACCGAAACGTTTGTGCGTCGCAATTTCCGTTTAGAGATTTTACCCCGCACCCGGAGTTATCGGCGTCGTGGGTATAGTAGGTTTTGATCAGGTTCGCCGCCGCCCCTTGGACTGTGCGAATTCCCCCGAGCACGTCGAATATCGCAATTTTTTTAAAAAAAAAACGAAATATTGTCCAGGTCGCGCGTCAGTAAGACCGAGACGGTGCCGTCGTCGCCGACATTGAAAATCGAAACATCTCGAGTCGCTAAGACGCGCTTTTCGTTTGGCGAAAACGCCAGTAATTGTATTGCGATTTGATCCGTTTCGGACGCCGCAAGTTGTTCGAGTTTAGCCGCCTGGCGGTTTTGAAAATACAATCCGCTCGTATCGAAAACCACGCGAAATTTACCCGAGCCGCGTGTCGATTCTACCGCAGGCTTTGAACCGAGAACGCCGTAGACACTTGGGCTTTTAATTTTCATCGAACACCCGTGTTGTTCTTACGATTCGGTATTGCCATCGTTCTTCTTTTGTTTTTTCCATTCGAAGCGGCCGCGGACTCGTTAGTTTTATGTGTTTTACAGTCTCGCGTCCGTAAAATACCACGATAACGGGTCGTGGTATTGTCGTGTTCAACGCGTTATTTCAAACGGCTTACGGTGCGCGAACGACGCGAAATGCACGTGTATTCGGACGGAAACCGTCACAACGCGGGTACGTTCGAAACGACAAACAAAAAAAAAAAAAACAAAAACAATTTCAATCACACGCATAAACCGTAGGGACGTACGCGGGACTATACGTCGATTAATTATCCTCGCGGGCGACAAATGCCCGTTTTTTCGTTTCTTTTTATCCGTTTCGAAACGCGTGCCGGGCGTCATACCGCGCGTGCATATTTTCACAACGGCCGTCAACGGATTATTATTCTATTATATTTCATTCGCTTTGTATACGTATTAAATACGTCTCGGCGTCGGCGGATAATCGTTTTTTTAAAAATTATTTCAATTTATTTTCCGCGTCCGTTTGAAAGGAAAAGATGAGGAAAAAAAAAAAGGAAGAATTTTTGCCCGTCCCGTGCAGCGGTGTCGTAACGCGGCGAGCGTGACGAACGCGAAACGCGAAAACAAACGTTTTGACGACGATTTCTCCGGGTCGGAACAAAACGGTAGGACGCGTCTTTTTTTTTTCTATGTTTTCCGGTACGATGAACCCCGGGGGCGATGAATGCGATTCCCGCACGACCCGCGATTCCTTGACGATATTTTCGGCCGAAATTCGTATTTTCCGGCGTACGGATTCGATCGGTCCGCGGGTAAGCCGCCCACACTGTGCGCGGACCGTGCGTATTGGGAGGACTCGCGGAGGTCCGACGTCCGAAACGGATTTCGTAACCTGAACTAACCTTTTTACGGTTTATCATTTTATTGTGATAACTGCCGGAAAATCGCGTCTCGATTCCTCCGTTTCGTGTTTTGATGATATTATATTATCCATCGGAAAAATATGAACTACAAGAATCGCAGGCTGTTTCTACAGTAGTTATTACGAGAAAAAAAGGAAATTTTGGAAAAAATATCGAACAAAAGTCATTTCACGCGTCGGATCTTCGTTTGCACGCGCCGTATCTCAGCCAGTTTCTCCCCCCCCTATAAATTACAATACAGCCTATTATTACTATTATCAAGGTATTATAATATTATAATAGATAATTTATATTCATTATAATGATACTTAGGTAATAATTCGTATAACATTTACAACGAATGTATTCAAATTCGTTTTAAGTGGTTGGAAATTGAAGGTTATACGTTTTTTTTTGTTTATTTGTTGGTTTTTTTTTTATATATACACCAACGTAGGCAGGTTATAATGTACTCGCACGTACGTCATTTCAATCTAAATTGTTTTATTTTTTATCGTGTTTGTATATGTTTCAATATAAATTCAAAAATATTGCACATAATGTATATTGTATACAATACGTAACCTAAATACGTAAAATATTTGTCCGAGATTCGGGTAATTAAACGAGTATATTGTGACGCGCGATTTTATTTCGTTTATTGCAACTGTACTTATTTCGATATTCAAATATTTAAATAATAACTAATGTAGGACAAAAAATGTATTAAATGCGTTGAAAAAAATTAAGTCGCAATCTAGAACAGTGGTTTTTAAACAGTGTGCCGCGGTCTTTTAAAATCGTTTTCCATAAATTATGACTGACCGGATGAATTCGTAACTCTTTTGATTATGACTCGTTCTAGTATGACCCAAAATGTTTTCAAGAGCGAAGTGTGCCGTTGTCAAAAAGAAGTCTGAAAACCGCTAGTCTAGAGTATTGCGAGGTTCGTCTGGAGACTGCAGTGTTATTTTCGACCGGTTTCAATTTCAACACTGAAAATTGTAAAACGCTACGCTGAATCGCATTACACATGATCGTTTCCTGATAATATTTTTTTTATGATCGTAACCGGATAATACATCAGGTTTATAGGTATTTTTTTTTATTTTACATAAAATATTATATACTTTTTATACTAATTAAAATCAAATTTTCGTTCTCCGGAATTAATATTTTTATATTTTTTTATTATTATTTGACTTTCAACAGTTTCACAAATACCGGAATTTTTTATTTTTAAAATCTGGCAGTATCTATTGAACTTAGGTATAACGTTATGAATCCAGTGGTTAAAAGGTAAAAAACTTGTTACCATATTTAATTGAAAACTGAAAGGCGTTTTCGAAACTGATAAAACTTAAATTTAACCCTAATCCTAACCTAACTTTCCGGAAATCCATTACGGAGACGATACTTCTAAAATGTTTTTCTCTCCGACAAATTTGAAAACATATTATACTAATAGGGTTTAAAAACAAACTGCACCCCATCTCCCCTTCAGATATCATCATACGCATGCGCCTGCTCATTAAAAATAAAGTAAAGCACCAGAGTCTGATTACGTATAATCTAATAAGGTATTAACGCATTTTTTTCTAATAAAATGAATTTGTGTTTTTAAAATTTCGTTGAGGGGATTGATGAGAGTGTATATTTAGATCAATAAAATCCGTATAGAACTGTAGCGATTGTGTTTGACGGATTTCAATTTTGAAAACGGATTATGATTCTTTATTATGATATATTGGAAATAGAAATTCTATTTTTTTTTGTTTTTAAATGCAAATTGTAAAAAATTGTTTGTATTTTCGAAAATTATTTCAACATTTACTTAAAGTGTTTCGCCTTTCACTTGAGAAGAAATAACTCCAAAGTGTCCTGGTTATGAACCTAACGAGTAATAATACGTTTTAAAAATTGAAATCCGTCGAACGCAATTTCCACCGTTTTGTCTGACTTTTCGTTCTGAACCGTCATATTCGTTCGTGAACACGACCATACTGCTTCCCCTTAAATGGATATCAGCCAGTAGATTAGCGGAAAAGTCTAATTATTAAGACGATGGTCATGGAAATGTAATAAACAATTGGAAACAATTTGAATAACCGTCGTCACCGATCTCCTTGAAAAACGTCTCGGTGACAATAACTAAAGCGTTCCCCCCTCCCGGGACTCAGGAGACTCGAACTAAAGGGAACCGATCATTTTACGTTAGACGAGAAGGAAGGAGTATCCACTCCCACTTTAATCGCCGGATATAATATATATTTATAGTTTTTTTCGTTACGTCGAATGCGATTATTGTACTATATTTTCTATGGTACGGTTCCGCACCTGGTAGTTTTGTAGTTTTTACTTTTTTTTTTTTCAAATTACTCCGAAAATACATTATTACCAAGCATATACAATACAGAAATTGACTGTGCTCTCGTTGAACGGACCACGGAAATAATATACGCGTAGAGCGATAATACGAATGTGTATAGAGTTCAACAACAAAAACGTACCTCGAAACATCGCATTGTCTCTCGTCCGCTCTTGTTCAGCTCTCCGTCGATCCTCGTTGAGCCCGCAAACAAGACTATCACGACCCCGACAGTGTTCCTCACGATCCTCTTTATATGAAACGGAATTACAATAATAAAAATAATAATATTCCGCTTTCTCCCGTTCGAATAATCGCTTTACTACGCAGCGATCGTAATAAGTTAAACGCGTTTCATTATTATTATTATTATTATTATTATTATTATTTTTTGTTACGCTTTTCTCGCGTGATATCATTATAATATATTATTGTAAAGGTGTGTGTGTGTGTGTGTGTGTGTGTGTGTGTGCACTGCATTACATCCGTTTTCGTATACTGATGTGTATAATATGTATCGGATGAATCATTTTGAATAACTCTGTATTATATATGGGTACATCATTTCTTATCATTTCTTCTTTGCGCACGATCTACTCTTGTTGTTATTGTACGTACAATATAATATAATAAAAAAAATGTGTAGTATAATGTACCTATGTATGCGTAAGCACTCGCCTTCTGCCTTACCGATGTGTATATAAATCGTATCGCGTATATTTTTATACGAGTCGATAATATTGTAGACGGTGTCTTATATTATGATATTATATTGGATTTAATATACGTATGCATAGTGATTTACTCATGTTGCCGGAGAAAAATCACGGGGTTTTTTTTTTTTTTTCACAGTATCGCGTACCGTATTTGTCCTCGACATTTGACATTTAAAGTACAATGCGTACATTATATTATTCGAAACGAGGGTTTCGCATCCTCGCGTGCTGCAATTTTATTCCGTATAGGTAATATATCATAACCACGTGCCGCGCAAACCTTTCGCCGGTCCGAGAGCATTTCGACATGACGTTTCGAATTTATCTCGAATCGCGGCAATAGCCTCCCGTGTCGATTTCCACGGCAAACGTACGCCGTTTGTCGAATTTAATCTAACCTGGCCGAAAATAGAGACGATCCGTGCACTGACCACGTCTGCTATATATATGGTAAATGTATATTCCCCCCCCCCTCTCTCACCAGTATTTTTGGATACTTTTGGCGAAATCAGCTTAATTTTGAATTTAGAGTAAAAGTACCTATTAATCAATTAATGTTCAGAGAAGAATATTTTGGACGGAATCTCATCGGGTTTTTCTATTATTTTAAATAGCAGCTCGATATGAAAGGCGCAAAAACATTTTTTTTTGTTTTCTAAATAACCGTCGTAACTTTTTTAATAGCTCATAAATCAAAAAAAAAAAACAAGCACCCGCTCCTCCGAAATATTGTTCTCTGTGAATTTCACAATAGGTATTTTTACCCTAAAATCAAAATTAAGTTGGTTTTACTTAGCATTATTTTCGCACGTTGCCCGGTAGCTGGACCGAGATACACACGAGTGTGGCGTCCTCTTGAGGTTTTTCGTCGGCGGTTTGAAATGATAACATTTCGTTCGAATTTAAATATGTATTCGTCTCCACGTTATTATTGCGGGCGGAATGTGTATTTTTTTTTCTTCATTACTTTTGTAGACCCCCGCAGATCGCGCGAATGATAGCACCGGTAGGAAGACGTATTGTAGACTTTCGGGTATTTCAATTCACGATTTCCTTCCCGGCCGTTCTTCGTGTTTTCACCGGAAATACCGAGCTTTTGATGTACTGCGTGAATATATTAATATAAACAGTATTGCGGTTGTCGAGAACGTGCTTTCGAAAGTTTTTGAATCCCTGCCCCGCCGCCCCCGTGTCGTCTCGCCGTTGGTACGTTAGGAAAAATCTCGAGGACCGCTTTACCGTATTTTCATATTGTCACGGCAACAAGTCGGCCAGCGGAAAATTCGACTCCAGCGGTGAAGCTCTGTTACTTGCGGGCGTTTTTAAAAAAATATTTTCTCTTTACGGGTTTCGGATGTTATTCATTAGTTATAATATCGCGACGCGTAAAACGAAATCGCAACGAAAAATAAATCCGGATAGTAATTTTTTTATTATTATATTATTTTTATTTTTTTTTAACCGGTCGGACAAAATTCTATCACGGAATTATTATTGTTATGCACATCTGCGTATTTTCGACGGCGTTAAACCGACTCGTTACGGACCGACAAACCGAATTCGCGTATTTTTTGTTTTTCAAATCTACGCGTTTCTGTCGATTTTTAATAATTTATACATTCGTAAAGCACGAAGATACACGCGCGTATTGAATATTTCAATATTTAAACACAATATATGTATTGTATTTGCCACGGTTTTTTTTTTTTTTTTTAGCAATTTCAACAATTTCGGGCTCTCGTTTCGTTATATTACACCGGAATAACATAGAGTCAAAACGAATAATTACCTAGCTGATCGGACCGTTTTGATATTTCCGTCGAATACGATCGGACCTAACCTAACCTCAGAAAAACGACTGTGAACCGTTCGAGATCGACGATGTTTTCGACGTTTAGGGACGTAATAATATTATTATGTCCGTGGTCCGCACTTTCGGCCGTCGTCGCGCTTTTTCCGTTCGGAGTTCTTTTCGGGTAAATTTGTTCGGGTTGCCAGCGCGAGACGACGACGACTTTAATTATTATTCTCGGTTCGCGCGGCCAAAAGTGCGTATCGTCCCTGGGGACCCTGGCATTTCCGACGGAAAAACCGTTTTATACAATATTTTTATCGTTATGGTTATTATTGTTATTATGTTTCGCCGTATGCGATTCTTCGGTACGATTCTTCGTACGTTCGGCCGGCGCGTGTTATCGATCGTTTACCGCTGACCCGGCCACTATACCGCGTATAATAATAATAATAATACTAATAGTAATGACGACGATGATAATAATAAAAATAATAACACGACCCGATGTACAAGTGTCCGTTTTCGCCAGTTATCGGGCGTGGATTCGAACCTCGATTTATCAATATTTTTTCAATTCGTCCGATTGGTAGACCGCTGCGGCGGCGCGGGCGTTACATATACGCACGCATACGTGTATTTCGTACACGTAATATTATTATAGACGGTCTTATATTATGTCCGATAAAAAATATTACACGCGTATTATTGATGAAAACGAAAGAAAAAAAAAAATTCGACGTTTTATTATCGCGGCTACGGTAGTGTAGTGCAGTGGGTACGTATAGGCACCCGGGGTAAAAGCTTCGAACGCCTATATTATATGCGAAAAAAAAATAAAAAAAAAACAACCGAACCGAACGTTATCAAGGTCGACAATAATAATAAAACTCAATAATTCACGCCGGAACGTGTCGTGTTTACCGAATACCTATTATTTATTATTATTATTATTTTTTAATAGTAATAAGGCGTGTTTTATCGTTATTATCTGTATACCTACATATACATGCCGTAAAGCGGGTAAACGCCCGTCAAACGGTTAACGACCCGCCCGGCCTGTTCGACGAGCGCGGGCACAATTTCGCCGAAAGGATTCCCTCCGCTCGCATCGCGTCTTCGTCTTTTCCGCGACAAACAAACAAACTAATAATAATCATGATAGACCTCTCCACCGTCTGCACGTCCGGCGTGGACATTGTACGTCTAGACCGGAACGTTCGGCGCGAAAAAGCGTTCCGGCCGGGTAAAGCTTCCGAACCCGAGGACCGGACCGAGGGTGGAATACTGTGCGCAACATTATAGTCGACAACAATACATAGACACCGCGCACGTGATAACAAACCGAGCGTTTCAATCGCAGGCCGTCCTCGAAACGCAAGTCGCGTTCTCTCTCGAGCCCCGGTCCGCGTGCGCGTATCTGCGGTATCTCTTGATCCGTTCAGGACCGACCACGCCTCCCGGTCCTCCGGACGAACGTTCCGTCCGGACGTACTGCGAGAGGAGTGAAGTCTGCGGCGGTGGCGACGGCGGTCGCAACGCTCGGACAATAATTGCCCGGTCGTTTGTCGCGTCGGCGGAGGGAAAAAACGGCACTGCGATCCGGTCGGCGGTCGTCGTTGTCGTCGTCGCCGTGTCACTGTTCAGCGTGTACAGCCCGTAACCATAACCGGAATAACGGTAATGACCGCGAAAAGTCATTGACGTAACACTCGGTTATTGAATCGCTCGTTGTTCTCGATACAATATCCAACTATATATTGGTAAATATCGCGTATTGCATTATGTAGTTTATCGACTGTACACAATACGCGTGGGCGTCAAGAGGTAAATAATTGACGTTCGAATGCTGATGATAAATTAACGTTTTCGCGTGTATACGTTGAATAGATAACCGGGTTTTTCGAAAAACGGACAATGTACGATACGACGTTTTTTCTCGTGATAATTATTTGGTCCCTGGGAAGCAAGACTCAAGTCAATTGTTGGCATTTCTTTTTTTTTCAAAACTTTTTATCCCTTTAAAGATCGCGATAAAACCTAGAAAAAAATATTTAAAAAAAAAAAAAAATGCAAAAAGACGTTTCTCAAAAGTGACTTTTTTTTATCAGCTTTTAACAGCTTTGAACGTTAAAAAAATTGCATTTTTCAAAATACGTACGGTTTTGTTTTTAATCTACTTATACTTCGTTTTCAATATAGCGTTAGAAAATTGTATATAACGAGTCAGAACTGTGTTAGAGGGGAAAATTTTAAATCATTTTAGATTCGGAGCATAGCGAGGCTTTACAATAATGTTTTCGAAATTATGTTTCTTTCTCCTTTTTTTTTTTTTTTTATCTGTGAGCAACTTTTCTACAATAAATCTCGCTCTGAATTTAAGTAATATTATCCGGGTGGTACTTAAGGGTAGGTCATTTTTAAATTTTCCAAGCGGTTTTCATAAAAATTGAGAATACCTGGAAGAACGTAGGATAAATGGACAAATTTACGTACCTACACGTATAAAATATATTTGGTTCCGAATCGTTTATCGTTAGCATTGGTTTATTGTCGCGTACAGATATAAATTAAATTTCCTTTTTATATCTTATCTTCTCAACTTCTCACCAAAAACAGTTGCCCGCCCGTCGTGCGAAGTATGTCAGTCTATTTGTCAAGTGTTTTTTTTTTTTTGACGTTTTATAGCGCTTTTCGTGGATTTTTAGTACGTACAAATCCGTTCGCTATGTATGTAATGACATATTGATTAAATGCGAGTGTATATATTATTTTATTGAATGCTATAATATTATACTCGAGATAGACGGCATGTTTTACTATTTAGATACGTAGTAATAATTTCCTTATAAAATGCGATTATGATATATATATATATATATATATATATATATACATTAAAAAAAAAATTAGTTTTTTTTTTAATGTATACATAGTTTATTGTTAGTTTAAAAATAATTTACATTTGCGTAGGTATTTGTAAAAATTAAAAAAAAAAAAGTTAAAAACTGCTTGGTTTTCTGTATATTTTAGTGAACGTATAAAAAAAAAAAGCAAACTAATATTATTTTATGACGCATATATTTTGTATTTGGATATTTTTTTCTTGTACGAAGACGTTTTCGGAATTAAAAATATAATATTTAACGAAACAACGTGCCCGTATAATATTATAATAAGCGTAAAATTATTCGGAATTAAACGAAAACAAACAATTTCACGTAATTGCATGCGTATAATAATATAATACAATATATAAGTGGGTAGTGAAAATCCTAACGTATAAAATATATACGTTATTTTTTACACCCCGTATTGTTTTAAACGATATCGTCGTCAAACTCGTCGAAAAAATAAAATACAAGAATTCGAAATAACGTTATTATTTCGAGGTAAAAAAAAAAAAAAAAAAAAGTAAACTAAAACAAATCAAAATATTCGTTAAAATTATGGTAATTGTTAAGAAACGTACCTAGGTATTATTATTATTGTTGTTGTTGTTATTATCATTACGAGACAAACGATTCCGCCGGATTGAATTACATTATATATTCGTATATATTTGTATTCGACTATCAATATAATATACAACCACCACCACTACTTTTACCACGGCCACTTTTACCACGACCGCTATCCATCGCTCAATCTTCCGCCGGATCCCTGGTATCGGTTACCTATTACGGCCCGGCAGCAGTAACTGCAGCAGCCGACGGAGTAACGACGTGTAAAACACGAGGGTACGCCCCGAATATTTCTTCATTTTCCGTTCGCAACTACTGTCGTCACGTCCGTCCTCTCCTCTTTCGGTACAATCCTTCCGGCTCTCGTCTATTGTTCCATTGTCTTCGCCGAGCACGAGATATCCGTTATTATTATCCTCATCGTGTCGCCCGCAAATATATAATATAATATCGTTTCACGTACCTATCGCTCCCGACGACGTACCTATCTATACATTCGAAAAGCGACCAGAATAATTTGCGATTTCTATACGTACCTTATGTACCGTATAGTAATAGGTACAATGCGATCCGTTTAAGCGGCTGTAGGTTTACTCGTTATATCAACTCGGGAAGTAATAATTTTTTTTCAATTTTTTTTTTTTACGACAATTTATGAAACGAGTGGTTCTTAAATGTTGCATTATTTCCGGCCGTGAAACGGGGCTACCTAATTTTGATTTTTTAATGGTGACCTATATATCAACAATTTCGTGAATAGATAGAATATATTTTGGTGTTCAAATTCCGATTAACAATATCACGTCAACGAAATTTAAAAATGTCAACACTAAAATGTATTTAAACCAATATACTCTGTACATTTTGAATGTATAAGGCCTCCATTCGAAAATTAAAAGTACCTAGGTACTTTATATCATTTCACCCACGAAATCAAGAGTGACGAAAAGTAACGGTAATGTACCATTTCAGAACCCCTTGTTTCTTTAAAAAAAACTTTTCGAGATAATGAGCGAATCCACTTAAACTGTTCATCGATCAGACAAAGACGAGAGTTGTGGTGGACGTTGTGCGTGAACGTGCGTTGAAACAAAAGGTGTTTTTGATAAAAGAAAATGAAAATTTATCCAGGCGTCCGGCGGTGTGAAAAACGTGCTTAGAGGAAATAATATGTGAACAGTGTGCTGTCGAGACAGCGATCGAAACACGTGCACATGTCGCCGTATAGCAGGGAACATCATACGGCGGTCGTCGCGCCCGTCTCTGCCGTTTCGCCGGTGATCGAAGAGTTCGGCGGCGGCAAAAAAGACGACGTTTCCGGCGCGGGTCTGCCGCCCTACCACCACAAATATTCGGAGTCCGGAAAACCCGCCGCGGGATACACGAATGGGTTGTCGTTGCTCCGCCGTCTCTTCCGTTGGTGGCTGGCCCGGTTCGGTCAAAAACCGTTGGCTAAAAAAGGTACGTTGAGTTATACTACGTCATGTTATTTCGCGCGCGATTATCGAATACTGTCTCACAAAAAAACTCTGAGTTTTACATTAAGGGCACTGTACGGCACAGAAACGTAGGACGACTTTAAAACAAGTTCATTCGACGTTGGCGTTGTTTCTTCGATATTTTAATTTTCAGGTGGGATACGAGCGTTATTTTTCTTCATCCCGACTACCCGGAGTCGTTTACCCCCGTCCTAAATTTGACCCGATCTCCCTGCACCTTGCGTACACCGGCTGTCCTATCGTATCATTCTCGATCGCGTCCAATAGTCTCTTTTTCGGTCTTCTTCTCCTCCTTTTTTCTCCTATATTTATTTTAATTACATATTCTTACCGCTCCTGATTCTTCTCTTCTCGTGACATAACCGAACTATCTCAGTCTATTTCCTCTTGTTCCTCTCGTCTGCTATCAAAGCTACGTCTAAGCTACCTTTTATGTTCTCATTCCTGATCTGATCTTATTTTGTCACTTCACTTATCCATCAAAGCTTTCTCAACTTTGTTACATTCATTCTTTGCTTTACTTTTGTGTCTATTATCCGACCTTCCGCGAACCATACAACGTAATCGAACTTACTAGTGGCGTAACACACAAATTTGAACTCCCAGCAAAAAATAAAAATGGGTTCCGAAAATATATTTTAGATAAAATATAAACTGGATATAAGGCACTCAACTTAATTTATTAATTTTTAAACATTAAAGTCTCACCGCACTTTTTTTAAAACTTTTAAGTCTCATTAAAATTCTCATGTCACATAAAACACCTGATGCTTCTCTTCCTCTTATCCAAGAACACTACGACATCATTTTACGCCGACTGTTGACCTGACGCAACTCCATTTTAGATATAGGCGTTATTAAATTGTGATATTTCACATACTCGTATTTCTGTTAAAAATTAGAAACGAATCGAAAACTAGCGCTAACGTTTTACAGATAATGTTCTTATTTTTATGTTTGATAACAGGTAAATTCACTCATAATATTAAAACTAACAAGCACAATGTTGTCCCAATGCGGTTAAAACAAATATAACTTTTACTCCTTTCTTTATTGTGTTTTGTCCAATTTTCGTCGCTGATTATCGCAGTATTATACATACAATTATATCTTGCACATTACAGGTTAGTCGGATGTGCGTATATATATTATACTTTTATACAAAAAAAAAAATTCAAATTAGACCTTACCTTTAAAACAAATATACGCGCAATACTGTTATAGCTGTACACAGATATCTAATAATAATGTAAATAACCCGCAAGTATACTGAATACTGATAGTGTTAAGTAATGTGTTTGTTCCATTGTTATCGGGTGTATAGTTTTTTTCTTTTTATACTTATATCACTTATGTAAAGCGATTTTAAGTCGAGTTTCTTCGAGACTCACTTATACAGACCTTAATAGATCATGTGTGTGTGTGTGTGTGTGTGTGTACATTTGACGGCGGTTGTTTTAACTCTGGAGTGTAAGCTGCAGTTGACTCGGGAGTCAACTGCAAACTTACGACGATAGAATTAAAACATTTACGAAATGTTACGAAATAAACGTCAATATTATTTTCATTGGTATTTTTTTTTTTAAACATGTGTTATAATTTATACCATATACAATTTTAAAATTGGGTTGTAACGCATATAAAAAAACAACGGTGCTAATGTTGTAGGCTTGTCTATAGTATATATCTAAGTAATTTTGCGAACTTCCATTTTCTATACCCTATTGATATGTATTTCCGTCATATAATATGCAGGGCGTTTAATATAATGGACACGCGTTAGACAACATCGGACGCTAATGAAACATAATTATTTTTTCACTTTTGTAAACCATAATTCGTATAGTAATTAGGTATTGGTCCACCTTGTACCGAAGGGAGTCACCATTTGCTAGTTAGCGGTTCTCGTGTGTTTTGTGTAGAATAATACGACGGATGTCGTTATAAAGATCGTTTTGAACGTCATCGTCGAAAAAACATTTAAAAAAAAAACTGTTAACCGGAATGAATATTAACACCATTGAGAGTGCATACTATACACACACTACACGGTTACACGTAGGTTTTCACCTAGATTAGGTTTTAATCAGTTTATGGTTTTCGAATATTGTTTGAAGGATTTACAAATAATTATTACAAGTGATGTATCTCGCGAATCTGTCCCGAAATAAATTATCCATAACACTAACGAAAGTCTTAATCCCGGTCTTGTTCTCCTACGCAGTTGCATTTCGACAATATTTGTCTCTTTCAAAATGTTCCCAGTTCGTGATATTCCATTAATATTTCGACAAAATCGTTATACGCATAATACAGATTGATATAATGAAATACGTATTATTTATTGTTTCACAAAAATAATTAATACATTTTATTTAATAAAATATTCGCCATCGGTTTGTATAAAATGCTATTAATAAAAAAAAGACAATATTTAATATAAAATCCCATTAATATATAATTTTCTATATATAATAATAATTAATAATATAATTTATTTTGTTTATATTAAACCGGTGACAAATATTTTCATTGTCATCATCATCATCATACATTCTCATAACTCTGTAAAAAAAAAACACCGGATGATATTTTGGGGATCTTTTTTTTTTTTTTTTTTTTATCGTATATGGATTTAAATTAATTTTTCACTATATTTATTCGCAATACACCTACGTGTTTATAACGTGCGCATATTCATTAATGCAGTTTATATTGTTACAAATATGATATACAAAACACCAACGTGAAAATATACGCCGTATAGCTGGAGACATTACGATATTCCCGTAATTTTGTATAATGGAATTTTATCACATTGTATCGTGTGTACGTATAATAATATATTTTTTTCCCGGTTAAAATCCAAGGTTGCAATTACAATTGTGTGTTGTATTTTACGTATTAATTTTTTCGGTCTATTATTCGTATTTTACAATAGACACTATAAAAAAAAATAAAAAATAAAAATATATATATATGTATAATATAATATATAAATCGTGGGTTTTTATAGTATATACTCTACCTATATAGATGAAATAGAATTGTATATAATTAAAAATAATATTTTTTTTTCACGGAATCAAGTATGATATTATTGCAGCGTAGGTAGGAATTTTACGAACGTTCAAACTAAATATAAATTCAGTAACGAGATATTTCGATTGATTTTTTACTACACAGTGATGTGTGGTTTTTTTTCAATCGGTTAACAACTTCTATACCATACATAAGTATTGCTTCGATCATCAAGTGTAGTACATTTTGTTTAGTCGGTGCATGCGGGTGATGTTGTTTGGATTTTCCTTGTAGTTTTCTAAATAATTGGGAAAAGCCGGAGAAAAATGTAGGAAGACCGAGACATTTTAAGGTATTAACGGTTTCGTTATTTTTGATTTTGTGGTTGTCATAGTAAATTGATTTAAAAAATAATCTAGACTCGGAAATCTCAAAGAGACTTGTAATTTTCACGGAATACTAATATTAGCATTTTCTAGACATGATAAAATTTTCAAATTTTTCTGATGATTGTTGTGTTATTTGTATAGTACTTTCATACTCACAAGTTTTTATATATTTGCAGGTTTTATACGGATATAATTGTTTTAGCCGAGTAAAAATGCTTGAATATTTAATACCGTGCGAAGATAAAATGTTTATAATCGTTAGACTTTTCTTTCGCATTTATCCCAACTATTTGGGATCGGCCAATTGTTGTATAGTTTGTTGTTTACGTAGCCTTTTAAGTTTTGAAACCTTTTTGAATTTTACTGTATATGTATCTATTGAAATACTATATTGATGGATGTAGTTATTGTGAAAGCCTCATCACAATTTGACCATTAAATATTTCCTTCAGTGGTATTTATATACTCGTATATTCATTTAAGACTATTATTTAGTTAGTTATCTATGTATCGTATCATAATAGATGTAATTAATGGACTTGTACTGGATGTACATAATACGACTACGCCTCTTATGATACATAAGTACATAAATAACAAATTATTTACTACAGATATTTTAAAAAAATACCCACAAATTTACAATAGTACGTATATTATTCTTTTTTGTAAAAACGTATTTTTCTTTTCGAAAAATCTTTTTCGTAACTACATTCTGAACATTTTTTTTTTTTTAAATCAACATTATAGTTATGTTTACACTTTTGGTGGGCAATGAGACGACGATAAGACTAGAATGAAAATATCACAAAAGACTGAATTAATTTATAAAGTATTGTGTATTGTTTAATAATGCTGCTCTTGTAAAGCGTATTTAAGTACTCAAGAAGTATTCAAATAAGTACTTAACATTTTTTGTTTTTTTTTTTAATTATTCATAAAGCTTTTTGTTTTTTTTATAAATGTACGTTTACTATAAAATATCTAAAATCGATGTGTACAGTCAAATTGTTATAATAATGTCATAATATGGGAGGATACATTTTATGTAAAAATGATACTATTACGAATAAATTAAAAATATTCAGTATATTTTAAGGTTAATTTTATTTAAGCTGTTTGGGTTATACATCATACTGATTTTTTAATTAGTTTAGCAAATTAAATTAATGCATAAATTACAATTAAATTCGAGTTAATAAATTACCTATATGATTATCAAATCACTGTATAGGTAACAAACAAACAAATTTCAATTGTTAAAAATAAAAAAAAATAGAGGTTACTATAACGGTTTATTAATTCTGTTTAACACAGTGACCAACATAATGCAGATGTATATCTTGTGTATATCTTATTCATAATAAACTATACGATTCCAAATGACATAACCTTCATTTAGAAAGTTACTGATGTAGGTCAATAATAATTGTTACGACCAATTAAAAGAAAACGAATAATAATATGAATATTATCTGTTTCGGAAATATACATATTGATATTAAATTTGCTTTATTATTATTATTATTTTTTAATTTAGATTTTCTTTGAACAATTAATTTATACAATTGTAGGAATAGATTTACAATAGTTTGGAAAATAAATATTGATTAAATACGGAAGCCTGAATGGTCGTAGAATGATAAGATACAGAGAATTAAGTTTAGCTGTTGAGAGGAGAGACTTTGTTTGATACTAAAGGGTACATTAAAGGAGTACATATAGGGATATCAGTCGACCCGTTTTGGTGACCGTTTTGGGCAATTGACGAGAATATGGGGGATTTCGTCAATCGAGGGGTTGTTGTGGAGTGTACAGAGGGGGGAATCGTTCAATAAAAGTTCAATTTAATGGGAAGTAAGTAAGGTGTGGCCAAATGTGAGTAGGAAGAAGAGAGATTAATTGAAAGGTTAATATTATTATGGAATCAGGAACGGAGTTGATTGTTTAGAACAATGGAATTATACCAAGTGGTAAAATTTGAAGGAAGTGTTTTTCAGTGGTATTTTTTCATAATTTATTCATATAGATTCTAGGATTAGGATAGAATGGCGAAAAAAAAATAAACTATTTGTGGTATAAAGATTTTAAAATTATTTTGTACCCATAGGTAATAGTATTAATAATGTATTCATAATATAATTTGTTATTAAATCGATTTATTTCATTTGAATTGCATATTTTTTTTTTATAATTATTTTTTTTTAAATGTTTTAATATTTTTTCACGTTAAAAATGTTGATTTTTTATCGGCGTATGTCATTAATGATCTTTAGATCGTTGTAACTAATCCTAATAAAAATGCAAATGTTTGATATTACTGCAGTTTTATTTGCTTCATTTTGAACGTTTTGTTTTACTCATACATGTATATGTATGACGTCACCGAACACTAATATAATATCTAACAATTATAGACTAGCGAATACTGACGGTATTATAGTCATAATAACTCACGCGAGATACAAAATTGACACGCACTTCGGTAAAGAAACAATGGGAAAAAATATTATGTTTTTACCAGTCGGCCGATAGGTAAGTATAGGCAGATATATATTACAGCGGTTAGATTTACGGTTAAGTGTTTATTTTGTCGTCGGTCAATCATCATTGTTCAGAAATAAAAAGTGGTAAATGTCGTGTGCGTCAATATCCAAGTATTACGCTGCCAGTCGTGTAGTAAAATTCTTCTCGGGTTAGATAACCGTTAACATACATTGTAGTCTCGGTAATATATCAGAAGCATTACGACTACAATAACGTATGGAGTATGGACATTTTAATCACGTCGCTGCAGTATACCTGTGCAACGGGTTGCTATAATAATGCATTATATTATTATCTTGACATTGTAAAAAAAAAAAAAAAAATGTACAAAGTTTGCGTAACAGTATCATAATAATAATGGTACCTAAATGTAAAACACACGTGTAGTAGATTCGTCTAAGATTCGCTGACTGCAGATAGTACAATGTGTTATAATATTCAATATAAATCAAACAGCAGTTATCGCGGTTCGAAGTTTTTAAATCTCCCATTTGAAGGGCCCGATGCCAGCGCGGTTTTTGGCTCAAATACGCGTGCCTTAGGGTAAAATAACCAGTATGCTTTGCGGTCCAATTTCGGTGATTATTCGTTCGTTGATTATAGGAAAACTTCCAGTAAAGACTGTTTCGGATTCCGTTTTTCTACATTTTTATATCAAACTTTATAACGCGTCTTTAAAAATGGTTAATTTTTAACTTTTTTTTTTTTTACCAAATCTCATATTATTGTTTGTAATCAAATGGAAATTCGGTGTTCATTACGGTCTGTAGAATTTTTATTGTTGATCAATTAAAAAAAAAAAATATTAGGAAAAATATTATGTTGACAACGAAGTATCATCCCTATTCCCGCGAAGTAATTTTCGTCCATAAAAACGACCGTACATCTTTACCCTAAATGGACATCGGCAGTAGGGGACGTTACACATTTATACCCGCATCAGCTGTCTCAGTCCAATTTCTGGGTAACATGGGTAAACAATGCTTACGCAGAATAAGTAAAACTAGCTTGATTTTGAAGTAAAAGTACCTGTTATGAAATTTATAGAAAACAATATTTTGGAGGGAATGTCTTAGGTGTTTTTTGAATTATGAACTATTAAACAAGTTACAGTTATTTAAAAAAAAAAAATAAAGGTTTTTTATATCTTTTATATCGAGCTGTATATTTTTAATAATACAAAACCCTATGGCATTCATTCCAAAATATTGCTGTCTAAAAATTTCATAATATTTACTTTACTCTAAAAATAAGTTAGTTTTTCTTATTCAGTATAAGCATTGTTTTTGCATGTTACCCTGTAGTTGGACTAAGAGAGTTATAGATCTGGGTATAACGTACTCTAATGTGAAAGTTTTTTAAGGTCATCATTAAAATGTTAAAAATAATAATGATACAATTTTACATAATTGGAGGGGGGCCCCTTATCCAAATAGTTTTGAGTGCTTTGTGTTGCTTTTTAAAGACCAAAGATTTTCGTTTTATATTTTACACGAAAACATCTGGTATTTTTTGGAGACAGATGGGATGTTGGCGGTAAGTCTTTTTTTTTTGACGATTAAAAATTAAAATTTGCTTCGGTATTTCTAATAAAAAAACTTATAACATGTGACTAACAATTGCTCGTTGGTGTTTATGTGCGATTATGCGAGTATTATTTTTTAACTTTGAAGTGTAATTTTCGATGAGTCAGGTTTAAATAATTGACACCACACCTCTGTGTAACACAAATACGTACGCGTTTAAATGACCTACACGAAATTATTAGTGGCCTACTCTACGCTCAAAATAATATTGTACATACCTACGTCTCGATTTATAGTAATTGTAATTACTGTCTTTTTATTTCTTATATCTATAGCACATCTATATATTATGTATTATATTCTAACATAGATTTCGGTTTTTCGACTCATTGACGATAATTTTGTATTTTATTTAAATTCTTTACGCCTAATCTTTTCGGTTTTTCTATTTCTATAATATTTCGTGTACGCATTTCTAAAACACACTTAATTGAATATATAATATATATTTTAAGTACTATTAAAAATGGGAACACAGGATGTAGCATTTTCAGTGTGTCATCATAATATACAACGGAGATTTTCGCCGAGTAAAAATGCATTTCTCTTCTGCAGCACCTCTCTGTACCTGTCTGTATTATGCTGTACACTTTAAATACTTGTTATATATATATACTATAGACACTTTGGTATTTATTATTTATATATTAAAACAACAACAACATATTTTCACTTTTCGGACACATTAGGTATATTCCATTTTATATAATACGGAAAAAAAATTTTAAAAACATGTAAATTGGCTAAAGTAAACGCACGTAGCAAGTTAAACACGTGAAACATCTTTTTATTTCATCAAATTGGGTTATTCATATTAAGATGTTTATCGATCGTACCCGATGAGGAGGGAGATCGATTATACTTTCGAATGTATGCTATAATTTATTATATTCTCGGATAACAAAATGTAATTTACCAGGCAGTTAATTAATTTAACTGCTGTAGTTCCAATAAATTTAAATATTTAACTATATGTAAACAGTTTTTTTTTTCGAATCTAAGAAAACTAATTAACCCGTTTTCACGTCTTTATAACACTGTAGCGTTTTAAAATTTATCTTGTATAACACTATTATAACATATTATTATTATTATAGCGTTTCTAACCTAACCTAAGTAAAAACTATAGGAGTTGGTTTGAGACGGTAAATATTATCTGTATTTACGTCAACCATTTGTTGCGTTAATTTTTTTATTACTCTCCGTATTGCTTTAATAAGTGTGTTATTTTTTTAAACTATTATTTTTTTTTTTACCACGGCCATCAGTTCCTCGGCAAATAACGTTGACCGAGAAAAAGCAGTTGTTTTTATATTATTCCCGTTATGGGATAGATATTATAATATATTATGACGATCAATTCGGAGCAGCGGAAAATACGCCTATTATGAGAAAATATAAAAATAATGAGTAACGCTTCAATACTAATAAAAGTGTTATATGCATAACGGGTGTTTTTTTAAAAAATATTTTTTTATACAAAACCACAATAAACGTAATATTCTGGGGGGGGTGATTCAGTAATATAGAAGAAGGTCTAAAAAATATGAAAAACGTCAAACGTATACAATTTATTGTGACGGTTATATTATGTTAACACAAAAATACGATTCGTGATTAATTATTCTATTAATGCTAAACGATTTTCTAAATTGTCTCCAATATATTTTAAAATTTTGTTTACCTTTCAACGATACCCGTCATAATGATGATAATACTTTTCACTGATCTATGTATTGCACGATACCCGTTTAGGGGGGGAGAGGTGTACAGCCGTTTTACAAATAAATTTGATGTTTTAAAATTATAATAATGTATTCCGATGATAGTTTTTAAGTATTTTAATTGGCTATCATTGGAAAAAAAATATATAAAAAGGTAAGATAATGAGAACGGGTGCAGCAACTAATGTAGGTGGGAAGTTGAGAAGGTAGAAATTGCTTACGAAAAATCGATTCTGAGCGCAGTTAAGTTAATAGTGATGCTTTATCAACAATATATATGTCATTTTGTATAAAATAATTTATTAGGTTTTACATATTTTCTTTAATAAGATTTATCTAATGTTGTCCCAATTTTCCCAGTTTTCCTACGTTTTACCCGGTTTCCAGATAACATAAAAAAAAAGTAAATTAAACATCTTTGTTAAAACTATTAGCTTTTTCGCTCCACTCAGAATTTAAAATAACCTAGATTCAGAAAAAATATCGTTATTTTTTATTCTGTTTTTAAAAATTCTGTTTCCGTATTTATTTTCGTTTTATCGGTCGTATTCGTAATGTATACAAGTCTTTTATCAGGCGTATAATATGTGTATTATATACCCAGTCGGATTGTTAAATAACGTGATATAATATGAAAAACATATTTATCGCCGAGAAAAAAAAAAAATAATATTTCGTTGCAAACGAACCGCGGGTGTCGTTTGGTTCAGTAAATAGAACTTTTATTTACCGTTTTATTATAGAAGCCTGTACGCAGCCATGGCGATGGCCGCGTTTTTCTGGCACCTTTTTTTTTCTTTTTTTTTTTCTAGGTGTTTTTCGTATTTATTTTCACAATTTTTATTTTAAACACCGGCGGTGAGAAAACGCGCGTGTGGGCTGTTGGATGTTATAGTCGCCTGCAGTTTTTTCCGACTACATAGCCCGCGCGATTGACTGAAATACACCCGCTCTTTATGCGCATACCGTCGTGTCGTGCCTAGCCGATAGCTCATTTTCTACTACGGGGTAGTATACGAAAGCGAAATATTATAAGTTACCGATCCGTTACGGTTTCGAACTGTATATTATGTACGTTACGTATACAAATAGCTATAGGTATACACACGCGCGCGATATATACGGCCCGTCCGATCAAACGAAATTTCAATTTGTGTATCGTTAATTTTCTACACAGTCTATGGCTTATTATTATTATTATTATTACCGTATATATTAGAACAGCGTATTCAATTGAGACGTCCGTCGCTACGTATATAGGCGAGAAAAAGAAAGAACCGAACGAATTTTTTCTTCGCGGAACGCTTTGTTGTTGGACTACCGCCGCCGACGCCGCCGTAACTATGTTATTGTTATTGCCGGTTGTCGTGTACAACTATAATGTGGCCATATTCCTTTTTTCGTATCCGACACCTCGAATAATACGATTTGTTCGGATGATCTCGGCCGGTGGCTGTCGCCAGCACGGTATTATCGTGCCGCCGCGGCGTGCATCGCCGTTAAAACAATGGATGCGCGATGATATTGTAACGCGCAATGGGGGGGCTCTGGCGGATCTTTTTCGATTTTCGCATAGACGGGGCCCGGTGAGTACCTAGTGATGTAACAACAACACCCATGCGGCATGTGTGTGTGTGCACGCGCGCGTCGTCCCGCGGCGAGCGACGAGATAAAAACGCATCCAGGCACGGGTGCGGACGCGGGCTGGAGAGACGACGCCGACACCGTGAGCATACCGCGTGACACTGGCGCGACGACGGCGTAATATTATAAACGCGCCTACAGTCGTGGTGTGCGGTTTTCACGCTACGAAATCGCGAAACAGCCGATAGAGTAACGTGCTCACCCTGTATATATATCTATATAAAATATGTGTTCGCATAATACATCATCGCCGGTTCGTCTATCGGTTTCGTTCCGTTGTACGGGGCGTGGTGTGATCGACGTATATAACGATATAAACGAGTAGCCGGTATACGCTCGTTATCTCGGAAATTAATGTGACTTTTTTTTTTTTTTTTGTAAAACGTCAGAAACATTTAGCCGCCTTATTGTTTTCGATTTTGGTTTTGTTCGGTTAAAACGATAAACCTCGATAAACACGTCGTCGTGGTTAAATAGATCGGTTTGTTTTTTTTTATTTTGTCGGCGCAGTGTTTATAATTTCATACCCAATAATTGCGAATAATCATCTGTCGATGTTTGAATTTCGTTTTTGTTATCAAACAATAAGGTGTCGGGTAAAGTAGAATTCTGAATGTTTGGTTTAGTGCTTGAAACGATACTTTAGAACTGTTTGGTGTCCCATATTATATATTGTAGTGTATTACAGTACGTATCGATCGCTCTATATTTCATTACGCACACATAAGATCTTCGCTGTTTTTATTATTATTATTATTATTATTATTTTTTTTTTGATTAAACAACACGCGATCTAAGTACAATAGTATATCGCTAGCTGTACACGCATACAGACAGCTATGTATAGGATGTTCGGTTGAATTGCCATCGGTGGCCATTCGTATGCCCGTTGTAATTCCTCCGTCGTGTACGGTATGTATAGGTAAAAAAAGTACATAATATTATCATAATCGTATACTCCTCCGTAGTTTTACTGTGTATAAAAAACGTTCGGTTTTCACTCGAATCGGTTGCGCCCGGTTGCCCGCCGAGAAGCTGTGCGTAGCGTACCCTGGCGTAGTGCGGTGTCCGTGTTGCCGATGCTGCAGCTGCTGTCACGGCGTTACCGCAGTGAATTAAGTGAATGAAAAATAAAAAAAATAAAGAAAAATAAAAAGACGTTCGCGTTTTGTTGTTACGGCGCATAAAGATGACCGTGCAAATTTCCGACCTTGGTATTATATGTATATACATTTTCGCGCCAGTGGCGTACCCTCCCTTTATTTTATATAGACAGCCGAGAACATGCGTCGTATAAAATTATATATAGGGTGATTATATTTTATCGCGGACCGCGGAAAAGATTACGATTCGACGACGTGTACGGGGAGTTTGAGTAAGTATTTTTTCCCACAGACATATTGTTATTATAATGTTATTGTGACACGTCGCGTGATCGAAAAAACCACATTTTTCAGCTAAGCAAAAAATAAAAAACCGGGAGAGTGTACATAATAAAGAAATCTAAAATGAATCTCACTCAATAGTAATGTACGCCAAGACTATCATTCAAAATCGCTATTGAATATTAAGATTTGAATTGTTATCTATGGATTTTTTTATTTTTATGTTCAAGTTTAATTTTGGAATATGCGACTTTTCATATTGTATAGTATGTGATTTTTGACACGGGTCAAATATAGTTTAAAATTCACATGATCTAATGCTACTCGTTCATTTTGATACGCGCCGATACTTTCCGATTAAATATTTAAACCTGCTCTTATTGTGCGTTTTACAACGAACTGATTATAGAATGGGATCCGTCTATACAAAAATCCTACAAATCACTGTCGTGAATTATTCATTATTCCATTTTAAATTTTTGTACAGTATTATTATGTACTATATAACCTTAGGGATACAAATATCACCCTGTACACGTTGCAGAATAGTGGCAGAAATGGTAAACAGTAAAAGTTTGTGGGTATTTTTTTTATTTTTTTTTGTTTTATTCTTCGGACAGAAAATTATTGTAAAAACTGCTGTTGTGGCGAAAAAAAAAAAGAAAGAAAAAAAAGTACGCCAAGGCGCAATAACAATTCATGGTCGTTAATTATATACGAGATGTGAGCGCGCTCGCTGTTTATTTATTCGATTTAAGTGCGCCTTATTTGTGCCCGCCGCGACCGTATTTTATGGGTGGGCGAGTACGGTACTATTGTCATCGTTGGAAAAAAAAAATTCTGTCGTTTCAATGTCCGATAACCCATATAACTTGTGCACAGTAACACTATCACAGTGCACACATTATATACGCAATGGACATTGTTATTAAACTTGTATTTTGTACCGAAACGTATAAAAACAAAAAATTAAAAATAATAGTCTAAAACAAAATATTGTATTTACTATTATCGCGGGTCCGGTACACGCATATGGAAACCCGCGTGTTTTATTTATAAAATAAAACTGTATACTGATATGGGCATTACGTTTCGTAAAACAAAATAGTTCGTATATAATAATATCGTATTACAAGTATTATTTATTTTCCCCACCGGAGGAGATGGGGGGGGGAGAAGGTATACGAAACGAATGTTTAAAAAAAAAAATGTTTTTACAATACGAAACCGACGCGTGCCCAATAATTATTGTCCCGAAACCGCCATTTTCGAGGCGAGAACGTGTTGTTTAGATAACATATAATTTTAATAAAAGTCGAACTATATAACACCTCTCGTATAGTATTTTACTTTAAAAATAGGAACGATGAAAAAAATTCAGTCACATTTTCAACCTGGTGGCGAATTTTTTTTTTTTGGCTCTTCCTTCTGTTGGCTGTTGGCTTGTCGGTTCGCTATTTTCATTGCGAGCACGTCTCTTTTTTTTCAACCGATAAAAATTTCGCATCCACAACATACACCGGTGCTGCAGCACCAGTATACACTTACACCGCACATACGCACAGTCGTTTGGCCTACTTCCAAAATCCTTTCGTACCACATTTTAAGTGATACTAGGTCCGTACGCGCGTGCGTGTTCGTATCTCAGTACTTTTAATTCCGGCGATTTCGGTCAAAACGAAATAATAACAATTGTAAAAACGACAGGAAAACAAAAAAACTTAACCCTAGTCGAGTTTATATATAATATTATACGGTCGTCCTTTTATTTTATTTTTTCCTCCGAAGGTCAAGACCCCGGCGAGCAATGAATGGAATAGGGCAAAACCATTAGCGACGGTAGCCTATACCATTTTTGTATCTACGAACGTTGAAGGCATTGAGTATCGGTAGGTTTTTTTTATTTTTGTAACGATATAAGTGTCAATTCAATTTCAATTTCATTATGTCGTTGCCTTTATTTCATATTGCTAGTGCTGTGGCAAGAGATTTGGAGGTCACCGTATATATAGGTATAGGTACTACACATACATAATATAATATTAAATATGTATACGGGGCGCACCCGGAACAAAACGGTTTGGCCTTGACTCCGTTCTCCAGAGGATCAGAGACTGCGTGGTGTACGGTGGTGAGGTACCTATACACGAGAAAAAGTTGATTAGTGTAATGTATAAAAGAATGATATAAACTAAAAACAATTCAATTTAATAACCGTAAAACAATAAAATACGAATATAATAATGTTAAAGTAAACGGTGACTACTGCGTATTTGTTCGTTTTGTTTTACCACGGTATTGCGCAACGGATACGCGAGAGACGACTCATTCAATTCCGGATGCTGCTGCGGTTATTAGCAATAAGCTAAATAACTATTCCACATTGCTACTATATACAATATACGCGTTTCGATCGGCGGCGTTTTTCCCTCGTCGATGACTGAGAACCTTTTCCCAGTATCCAGTATAATAAAATAACGGTTTATAATCTATTTTGTTTTTCTATTTTGGCCGAGCGAAGCTAGAAATATTAATTGATTTTCCTGTTTTTTTTTTCTTTTAAGATTCCTGTACCAATCTAAAAATGTATAGGAATATTACTTCTAGTTAGTGCGTTAGGGAAGTTATTTTTTCGATCTTCTCTGTAGTTTTCCTGATAAACGGGAAAAACTGACGGTTTTTGTCGATTTCTGGATGAAGTTTTAAGTTCTTGTCTAGGTAGGAAGCAAGATGGAAAATCACGACTAATGCACACACCGTTCGCTATCGTTTATCGTTTACGATTGTTTATCGTTATTGTCTGATAAAAATTAAATTACTTTCTTTCAACTTCTCTCCCGAATAAGCAGTGGCACATCCATCAACAGTATCAACCTTTTGTAGTTGAAAACCTTTAGAATCTATGGCTACCATATACGTGTTTAGATATACTTTTTCGCACTGAATAAGGCGTAAGGTATAGGATATATTATATGGAATAAACATTTACTTTATGTAAAAATAAATATGTATAATATTGAAAGCAACTATGAATCATTGTAAATAACGACCGTGAAAAATTGTGCCGAGAAATTTCATATTATAAAGTATACAAACGATCGAAAGTGTTATACTTATTAAAAATCGACTGATCTGCCCATCATCTGCAGCATAGAGATAAAATATAAAAATTAATTAGTTTTACATTTTGTACGCAAAAAAATGAATGATAATATTATTGCACAACTAGATAAGGCGATTTAAAGCATAATATGTTCTATGATAAAATATATGGGTATACGTAATAATATTACTATTTAAATTATACGCAATGATCTGATACGCCTTTAACCTTGACTGGTTTGTGTTGTAGCAGGTTTATGAAAGGAAATTTGATTTTTGTTATTATTATGATTTTTTTTTTCTTCTTCTTTAGGTTCCTGCATGTTTTACACTATTATAAACTATAGTGCAAACTTACGGTTTTGACGTTAATGTCTTTAGAAAATAATTTTTGTTATATTATAATATTATATCGGCCGAAATATAATGAAGAAAAAGGTGTGTGTATATGTATATATTTTTTTTCGCGAATTTGTTTACATAATTGAATAAACAATAGTTCAGAAAAAAATATCTATAAAGTTCTATGTTTCTATAAGAAAAAAATAGGTTGTTTTATGGGTTTTTTTTTTATAACGATGCATAATTTTTTAAACATTTTTTCTAATTTCCATCGCAAACTATGTATTCATTTATAGGTATAACTATTAATAATACGTTTTATACACTTTTCTAGCGGCGTGCATTTTTCCTAAAAATTATCTCGGAAACACATTTTTAGATTCGGAGTGTACCGTGGATTTTCAAATTGGTTTTCATAATAATTGAAAAAACCGTAGGGAAAATGAAAAAATGTACGAAAATAATGCATTTATTATTTAAATTTTTTTTTGTTGTAACTCGGCATCTAACAGATATAAAATAACTCAATGGTTACAAATTAAACGTTTAAAATATCAGAATTTTAGCGCTATCTTAGCGTTAGCTACGTTATCAATGAATTCAAGTCCGCCATGTTTTGCTTCACATTGCTTCATGTGATAAAGCGCCTCTATATACTCTATGTCTTTAACCTTCGGTGTCAAGCGCACTTTTTTCTGTATGTGTGGTTCTTTTCTATATAGTGACGTGAGATACCTAGTTTTAGTTTAAACTATATTTTAATTGTATATAATATATTATGTGTTTCTTCTCGTGTTTCTTGTGCTGAGCAAAACAAGTATTAGATGTATACATGTATAATTAGATATTCGATTATGTAAACAAAAATATTTAAGCTTGTTATTATGTTTGTGTGTTATATAATAGTAGACGCGCGATAGATGCATAAAGTTTTAATGTTTTTAATGCCACACTACGTCACGACTAAATAGTTACGTCGTGTCAAATGTGCGCATTTTACTATATACACGTATACAGTATTGTTGTTATAGTTACACTTTGTTGTTTACGATGGTATTTAAAAAATAATTAGTATTACTTTGTACGCAGTGTGTAAGAGTGTGATTCGATTCAATTTACGATGCAAACATTTTTGGCATATTTTCCGTTTAAATTTTAACGGCATATAAGTTGAAATTCGTAATCGATTTTGTGTTGTATTTTTTTTTTTTTTTTTTAATTTGGGTTTTAAAAAACCTTATTTCTTAAAAACAAATATCGGATAATCGTAAAAAATACATAAAAAAAACCAAACAAAAATCCTCCGTTTTAGGGTAATAATAATACTCATAAAACAACAATATAGTAATTAAATATAGCGGCACATTAGTAGCAGCTGCTACGCCAGAATTTGTATGTGTTTGGTGGTGGGCAAAAAATACCTATAAAGTATGCAGGGAATCGTGAAGAAATACAATTATCTAAATTAATAGTATTGCAGAATCTATAGCTAAACTTGCTAATTTGGGTGCGGTTCAGTGGGTAGGTGGCAGTACTTGGAAAAATCCAAGAAATGTTTCTTATTTCTGTATAGGTGTAACGTATTCATTACGAACATCGAATTAGGATTTTTTTCGAAGGAACTAGACAAACACTGGACTGTTCAAAGTATTCGATTTGCTATTTCAGATTGATTTTTAGTGCGCGCCACTGGTTATTGTATATTAATCGAATAATTTAATGTATTGTATAAAATAATTGAAACGGAGTACCACCTATATGTATTAAAAACAGGTATTTGCTTCGTTTGTTGACTTTTTTCCATAGGTTAAAAATTGAATATTGATTGACCCATGAAATATTTGTTCATGCCATGAATTATGTATTGGTATCATACAATCTGCGATTTAAATTCAAATATTATTCGAATAAATTGTTTTGTAAACAAATATTTCATGGTTCAATTAATAAAGATCGCTATTTCGGTGTACGACTTATGATTAAAAATTTCAGATTTACTTGCAGAGTCTACAACAGTGTGTTGTTGTTTCATGTATCTGCGGTTTTTTTTCTGATGCACAAAAGTAAACGACATCATACTGTAATATAGACTGTTAATTATCATCAATTTGCTATCGATATTTTTTCGCTTTGATGTGTAGTTTTCAGTAGAATCAGCTATCGAAAATTTAAGAAATAATACACAAACATATATCCGTGGGTGTTTTGTCAATGGCATTTTTACAGTCGATGTTTATAATATCATCGCTTGGAGTTTACACCCGATTTCTAGTGAATCAAATATTGTTACTAAGGTCTGATGGAAAAAAAAAAAAATAATAAGAAACACACAAACTCCTCGTATACGCGTATGCGAAAAAATAAAAATTACTATAAATTTGCATTAGGGTTTCTGCTTGATGCGATGATAATAATATATGTATTATATTGTATTATAGCTAAAATTTAAATGTATGGGAAACCACACATAATAATCTGATAATTATATGGTCGGTCGGGAAAAAAAAAAAACAAAAGAAAATATGTAAGAAAACGCAATAAGTAATTGAAAACTATATGACCTAGTATACTACAATAATAAATATAATACGTATAGTGTCGTAATGTTTTCCAAGAAAATGAATCGTGTATTTTTTTTTTCTATATTATTTTCGAGTCGGTTATACGTTCAGAATGTTGGCGAGCTACTAAAATCGGAGTGCGGATTTAAAAAAAAAAAAAAAAATCCATTAATCGAAATCTCGATCGTTTTTGTGTATAGCCAACGTTTCGTATTTGTTTGTAGTTTATAATAATATACAGCTGCTGCATCCCGACAAATTTTAATTCAATTCATTCACGTTTTCTTTATTCTTTTGACCGAGAATACGATCGAATGTGTGCACTATCGTATACGTACAATATTACCGTGTATAATATTATTATTGCATATTTATTACTCGTTATAACATATACAATATGCATGCGGCAACGAACCGTAATGATGATAATATACGGAAACCGTTATCGACGATTTGTTATTGTGGCTACGATGGCGCGTTTATGATTTCAACCAAGTCCATTGTTCATTTGACAAGACCGCGACCGAGTATTTATGTGTGTACGCGACGAAATAATACCCTCCGGGTCCTATATTGTAGGACTCGCGCGTCCTAGTCATTTTTTATATAATTTTTTTTTTTTTTTCATATACTCGTCTCGTAAGAAAACGTAAAACATCGTTGACTTTATCGTTCGCGTCGTGCGTGGTGCAATTCGCGGCCGTATGCAAATTCAGACATAATATTTGTAATTATTGTTATCCGATCCGAAATGAAAATAACTACACAACGCGAGATTTAAGAAATATCATAAAATAGTTGCGCAATCGCCGTCTTCGGTTTTTTTTTTTTTGGATTTTAAGTCCAACACCGAGGTTCGATCGGTTATGATAACGGCAGTCAAAATGAATCGAGTAAAGTTAAAGAAAAAATATGGCCGATACCGCTTATGGACGTACCATTGTTTTTTTGTGGGTGGGAATCTGGAAGGGAGGATGCATAGAGTTATTTGATTTATATCTGTACGTAACGATAAACAATAGTCGTTAACGTAAAACTGAGCAGAACGTATATTACTATAGTCGTATTGTTTCCTCGCTGTCAAGGTAACCCAGAAATCGACAAAAATGATTGGCAGTTTCCCCTGTTCATTAAGAGAAAACTATAAAAATACACCAAATAGATAGAAAATGTCTTTTATAGAATTTTCGATCGGGACAAAATGTTTTGTTCGCTAAGTTTTTTTACAGACACATAACCATTTCTCACATTACTTAGAATTTGAAATGCAATTTGTTTTTGTTCTTTTGAACTAATTATAACTATCTAGTTACTATATAAATAATAATAACAATATTGGTTTTGTCGTTATTTTTTCGTACTCCATTATAGTTTTATTTTGGTAAACTGGAGTTTTTTTCATTTTTTTCATCATTTGTCTGACCAGTTAACTGGTCAAAATCGAGCGATTATTATTATTTTAAAATTTGGCGTGTACGCGTAATACATTGAATGCATATTTTATTCAGTATAGCGTTTTATTACAAACGTATTATTGATTTTCGATTATCGAATGAAATATAATTACGTCTTTGAAAAAGAAACTATGTATACGCGCGTTTATATAGTAATTAATTTGAAAAAATAAGACTATTGTTTTACTTTATTAATTAATAATACGAGAATAATAAAACTTTTGTACATTATTTTAGTATTCGTAATTGTTCGAAAGAGGATACGGAAATAATACATATTACACAAGAAAATGTTTTGTTGTTATACCGAACGATTTTATTTTTCAAACGATATATGCAATATTCTTTGTGAAATTATCTCCAGACGTGGCACTGGATTGTTATGCTGAACGCCTATGTATTTTGAATGAATTCAGTTACTTTAGAAACTTCTATAGAACAAAAAAAAAAAAAATGTTAGTATAACTGTAACGATTCGTTTAAAAATATTGTTTTTTATTAGTATGCGTGTGTGTGTGTTTTTTTTCATAAAACATTATTTCGGCTCAAGCAACAATGTTCGCATTTGTTTGTAACATAAGTTTAAAGATTCAAATTTTTCGCCCGACGGTACTGAATTTAAATATTTTTTTTTGAAATTCCCGATACTTATTTAAAAAAATGACATTTGGTTTTGTTTTTTCTGAAAATACTCTTTCGATTAGGCAAATACTCTAATTCGTTTCGGCAGTTCCTGAAAAATGCCCGGTGGTATTTTATTTTCAATATATTTCAGTAGTTCGGTACCTTGGTATTTTTAGTTTTTGTTTTTGGCTTTTTTTTTAGTTGTCCTGGTGGTACCCCCAAAGGAAAATACGAATATCACTATTTCGCTCAGAATCGTTTTTATGTTCCAATGAGGTATCGTCACACACAGAATATAAACTAAATTACCCTGTGTATCCTATCTTTCCAATTACCCGCCATTGCCAGGAGCCTATCCGTGAGCAGTATCACATTTTTAATTTAATACATATATAGACGTATTTAAATGTACACAATTTATAATTATACATTTAATTCTTTAATCGTCCAAATAGTATGTTATTATTGGAAAAGCATGAAATATTTTCGTACCTTTCTACCGGTTAATAAATTCAATGTATATTGTGTATGTGTAATATAATAATGTAGGTAAGATTTTTTCGTATTAAATTACTTATTAAAGTAAGTAGGTTATATAATTATATAGGTTTATAAAGTTAAATATCATAATCATTATTATTAAACATCGTATTATTATAATACTATATATATTTATAATGTAGAGACTCTTAGGCTAAACATGTTTCAACGTTTAAAACTCTATTGTAGTTTCAACCTAACAATTATTAAACTGTTACGTAAAAAAACGACATCAAGACGATTATGGAAACTGGTCGTGTACCAATATAACAGATATATTTTTTTATGTCGTCTTTGTCTCGTAATTCTTTTATTAGTGTGTGCGCGTTTCAACTTTTGAGTTTAAGTATGTAAAGGTAATATATTGTAGTTTAGAATAAATATAATTTATTGTTCTTGATCAGTTTTAAAACAGCTGAAACTCGGTATGTTTTATATATGTTTATATAGTATATACCCACTCAATGTTGCAGGTTATTTTTTCGAACTTTCATATTATTTCTAAATAATAAAACAGTTTTACATGTTTTAAATGTCGATTGTTTTTAAAATTGTAAGAAAAAAAAAACAGTTAGATTTTCTATTATATTTGTTACAGAAAAAACAATAGGTACGTAGGTAGGTACTCGAGTTTTTTGCTTGAAAAATGATTTTAATTTTAATTTTGTACCTACCTAATTAATTTCTGAATTTGTTCGCGCATTGAAATAAAACCCGTACATTGATATATGTAATTTTTTTATTTCGTATGATAAAGTACCCTTTAATGACAGAATATATGGTGACGTGACTCGATAAAAACGATTTTCAAGTTATTAACGTCGTAATATGAGGAATTTTACCTTTTATAATTTAATTTATTGCATGGTTTTTTTCATTTATTTAATATTAAAGACAGTGTGTAAGCACAAATGTCTTTGTGATTCTGCTTAAAATATAATATAATTTTCGATGTGAATATTGACATTTCTGAGTAGTGACTTTTTCCCGACCCTGCAACCCGTTCTAGCCGAAATAAAATCATCTTTCAACAGTATTACATTTTCACGTGGGGAAAATTATAGAACGTTCACTAAGAATTATGAAACATTAAAAGCCGATTTGCCGCTATATTTTTGTATTTTCGATGCGTGTCACTCAATTTTGATTCGTGTCGTCCATTCAGGCCGGTTGAAATAAATGTTCAAACGCGCGAGTTTGAATAACATGTCTCGTTTTACCTCGACATATTATTACTATGATGATGACATCAATCGAATCTATCTGTTCCTTTTTAGGCGAAACGACTGCTTATTTTACGCAAGGGATTTATTTCAGAAGCCCCGAGGGAAAATTGTGATTATATTATTTTAAATTGGGCAATAATATATCGGCGGCGCGGCGTTCCGAATACGATCTCGTCATTTCCAACAGGTTATGCGCGCGGCCCCCCAAGTACCCGCTCGTCTGTAAACCAAAACCATCATCATCCGACACGTATGGTCTGCAGCAGTCGATGTGGCATTGATCGGCACGGTAATTTGATTATATTGCATACATAGTAAATATAGTAAAATATGCAGTTGTTGCGATGTTGTAATGATACAATTCCTTTAGTATTTTTTTTCTTTTTTCTTTTAAATTGAGACTTCAAAATCGCCGACCCGACTTATATACACGGCGTGTATTACATACGTAATATACGGTTACACAATGAGAAACATACGAATATATTATTATATTTTATACATGATGAAAAGTCATTGTAGAATAAATATGATTTGTGCACGGCGTATGATGGGCACTTTAAAGTGAATCGCATTACAATACGATTTTGACGGGAAACGTATTTGCATGCGCAGTTCTCGCCGAATGATGAAACGAGTATACATAGATTATTAAGTGAGAATATTCGTTCGGATTTGCCTTAAACATAAACGAAATTATAACATAAAAAGACGAAGAGAATTTTAAATAATATAAGAGAGATATCGGCGTTATATTATGTAATTCGTGGCATTTTTCACGGAGGTTTTCTGTGTTCAAGTAGACAAATGGGGTAAAGTCCATATCGGACACTCGCGGTAAAGTAAGATTTTGCTTTCCGCTAAAAAATAAACGATATAAATTATATTTAATCGGTCAATTTCGTAACAAAATATTATATCATATATACATACTCTTGTCGGGAAGAGAGACACGAAGGAAGTAAAGTTTAAAAAGAGTGAATGAGAGCGGAAGTTCATTACTTAAAAAAAAAATGCTTTCTGATACGATCAGGAAGATTATTATGACTGCGTATCTGGAGTATTAATTGTATGCTGCAGACACATCCTGATAATTTATCTGCTTTATGCGAATTTGTTATATGTTAACTAGGGGTTATCGGGTTTCGTTTCTATAGAACGTTTGTATTAATTAGCTATCTCGCTATCGCAATACTCTATTGGCTACATGCGGAAATACTGTACGAAAACTAACGTGAGTCGTCCAACCCGCGATATGTAATCGGTAAAAAACAATATATTGTCGTTTTTTATATAATATTTGTAATGCTCGTATCGAAAGAAAATATACGAGAAAAAAAAACACGCGAGTGCGACACAAAAAGTCGACGAAATCCGATATCTTTCATATAGACGGCGACAAAGTCTGCACAGTGTACTAACTATAAATACAATTGCGGCCAATTACACGCGCTTTTCGAGCACGTCATCAGTCGCGGAAACCTTATATTATCAATCGGCAGCAGACGCGGGTATTTTACTTTACATTTTGGAGTCGTACATATATTTCGTACATTTTTCACTAGAGTGTCGAAAATATAAATATCTAGATATCCACCCAGCCCACGAGTCAAATATGAGTTTAGGCATAATAAAACTCAATTAAAAATTAATACTATTAATATTAAACAAATAAACATAAAAATAACATCTAAACTCACCTGGTACTAGACGCCCACCTATTTCTGAGTGTCAGTTGACACCCCAGACTCCTCTCCCCCCTCAGTGTGCGCCACTGCACTAGAGCTTGCATTATAGTACCTTATTTGTCTAATACAGATCGCTTATGATGGGTTATTGAAATTTCAAAGAGAATTTAAATAATGCTTTGACCAAAAGTGTGATATCAAACAATTTGCGTTGTAGTTTGTTGAATGGATCAAAACCCGAAAATCGATAAAACTGCACATATACTGCAGTGCTTTTTTTGATTTAATAGCCGACCGTCTGCAACGGTATGCTGTATATTATTATGATTATAATATAGGTACTTTTGTCGTACGCAAGTATAAAAGTACGTGCTGCGCGTGCTAAATTTAAAAAAAAAATATTTAACAAAAAGCCGTGCTAGTTGCTCGATTTCGTAACAATCGAGTATATTATTATACAGTGTACGGCTGTACAGTTACTTTCCTTTTTTTCTCAGTACGAGTGTATATACAATGGCGAGACGTTACTTTGTTTGTCCGTCGCGTTATTCGATATTTGTTCGTATATGGTATAAAAATTCAAGTAGGATATTTTAAATATAATAGGTTTACGGCGTTTAACGTATTTTAATTTAAATCGCGTTGTTATTAACTGCGTATATACGAGTAAATAATATGCACCGAGCGACTGTTAAGATACACGGTATTATAAGATTCGGAAATGTGTTCCGGGGCTAATGGAAAAATTGAATTCGGTTAAATCGACAAAATATAGTATGACGTCGTTGCAAGTGATTTTTTCGACTTTCGTCAGAGTCTGAATTTCAAACGCTCATATATTATTTAAAAAAAGGAATTCGTGACTATATGTACGGAGTTTCGATATTTTTATAATTCAGGACTTGGATTTTATAATATTAAAAAGTACTAAAATATAGTACGAGTATATACGAGTAATATTATAAAATTAATGAAAATTGTAAAAAAAAAAAAAAAAAAATAAAAAAAAATGGAAATTGTTTTCGGTTATTATTTTTTATTATAATTAATTTATCGACGGATCACTACACCGAGCTACTTAAAAATAAATTATAATATTGTTAATTAACATGGAATTGTGGGATTTTTAGTTTTTCTTATGAATTCAAATAAACGACAAATTTGTTCTAGACCTTGTTTTTCATTAAATTTAAACGAAATCTATGAAAAACGCCGAATAAATAACTTTATTACCATAAAAAAGCACCAAAACTTGAAATATAGTACTTAAAGTCTACAATTTTATTTAATATTTGTGGTTCCCGGTGCATACAACTTGTTTGTGCCTAACTCTTCTATTGTTATCTGTATCCTATGTATTATAATTAACAAATGCTATAAAATCCGAGCCCTTTATCATATTATACAAACGGCTATTAAAATAAGAAACCTTATTGTATTGAATTTAGTTGCCGTATTTACGTAGCTAAAAAAAAAAAACTCATAAAACCAATGTATAATATTCCCGTATTCCCCCGTTTTTAAGAAAAGTACACGGAAAATCGAAATACGACATCTTAGTCGCATCAACAACATTATATATATTATCGAAAGACACATATACAAAGTCACAACGATTCGTTACCGAATACCTCTCGTCTCGAAATCGACGATTGAAACGACGAGAATTCGGGTCGACAAGATTTTCGGACCGATGAAAAAAAAAAAAAAAAAACAAATACAAATAAAATTATATACGCTTACGCCAAATCGATTTAGAAAACAAAATGTACTCGAAAGTTATACTACAGGGTTATTCGGGTTTTGTAATTTTTTTTTTATAACTAAACCTGACGACGGTACACGTACAGTTCCCTTCCAGCTTTGAATTCGAATTTAATTCGGTTTAGGTTAATCGCATTAACTTTTACTCGGTTTATCTGCGTGTACACTGTAATAATAATGATAATAATATTTTCTCGGCTCGCGATACGTATTATAATACCATTATAAAATCGTTGATATATACCTGTATTATATATAGACGCGTTATATTAAACTCTCGTCTTTTTCCCCGAGACAGATACGGTCTCCTTTCAATACCAAAGAGTATAGGTATATAACGTATGTATGACGTAATAATTTCAGTGTTAAACTATCGATTGTTGTTCTTATACGCGTATTTTCATTATTATTATTATTATTTTTACACCGATAAAGAATAGGCTTTTCGGCCGTTCCCGGATGAACGTCTTGTGTAACCGAATGCGCGCGAGTATTTTCACAACACCGGTTGTTTAGCTATTTATCATTATAATCAAATTATTATTGTTATTATTATCAGAGAGCTGCGCTTGTATATTACGCAAATGTCGTTTTATCGCGGAAAATGTGTTTCGTCTGAATTAGAAAATAATAATAATGACCTGTATATTGTATAGTGGAGCGGAGGTTGGACGGTACGGTTTTTTATTTTTTATTTTTACGGCTCGTGAACTCTTGATCTTTACAAAATCGAGTTAAAAAACGAAAATGTTATTATATATATATTATTTATTTTATACAATATTATTATTTTATTATTAAATGTATTTTATGTAGTCGATATGACCTGACCGGTATATTATGATATAGCTAGGTATACGGGCTGCGGCGGGTCAAGTGAAAATGCACGACCCGCTGCGTGTGTATTAGACCAGGTTTTGTAATAATTGTGTTTTGTCGATTATTATATACACAATAATTACAATGTAGGTAAACTTGCCGTTTATATAATGTGCTTCGATATAGTTTAATCGTTCAAACCTAACCGGTAACCGATATAAAAACGTGTATTTTCGTTAACATTTTTATTCGTTCAAAATATCGTGAATATATAAGTGTCTAAAACGGCACGAGTTCTACATCATTGGTCCCGGGTAAATAGCGCTCAAGTCAATTTCGTGTATAGTTTTCAATGCGAAAAAATTCGTCTTCTCCTTTGTCTTCGTCCCAACTATTGAGAGTCGACCATCCTCATCCTAAAATTGCGGTGGACCCGATCCCCCATATCGTCCTCTTCACACATACTTACCGTCCTCGTATCATTCTCAATCGCATCCAACTACCTCTTTTTCGGCCTTCCTCTTTCTTCCTACGTCCATTTTCATTACAATTCTTACTGCTACTGATTCCTCTCTCCTCGTGACATGCCAAATTCACAATATTTTATCATAGTGTCCCCTATCAAAGTTACATATAAGCTACCTCTTGTATACCTCATATGTATCTCTTATTGTGTCTCATTATTTATCCTTCTCCTGTCACTCTACTTAATCACCTAAGAATTCTCAACTCTGCTACCCTCGTTCTATTTATCGGTCTACCGCCCGACAATCCTAACCATACAACATATTATGGTTTTACTACACTCTTATAGAACTTACCTTTAAACTTCATTATATTGTAGTATAAAACGCGTGACGCTTTACCTTCAGCTGGGTGTTTCACGTCCTAGCCAGAGCCACTGTTCTTTTGTAAAAACGATCTTAGATACTTAAAACTCTCAACCATACCTATTATGTCACTGCTTATTGTCATTAGATGTTTATAACTCCTCGAGTTTGACAGAATTTTTTCACTAGCTGTGAGCCTTACGCAACAGTCTAATCCAACCTAACTTGACCTGACCTCATTTGACGCCTCTTACGAAAGGTAGAGGTACCGTGGGAGTATTCTGATCTCCTCCAACGGCGAGCAATACGAGCAAATTAAATGTTGAAAACTTTCGCACTTGTATGTAAACTAATACTGGTACACTACATATACTAATTTTAAAAATACATAGCCTATTACTACTATCTAAAAATAAAAATAAAGAAATAACATAAGACAAAATTAGAAGAAAAAAAAATGTCAAAAATTGACGTCAACTTTTCTTCCCTGGAACTAAACACATATTTGGTTATTTATACTGTTTAAAACGAAATCACGTGTAAATTGTGAATAATTACAGGGCGATCCATTTATCACGAACCAGTGATTTTTATCCTTACTAATCATTATGGAATCGTTTAAGTTGTATTTTTAATATTGTTCTAAAATGTTTTCTTATACTCCTTATATTTTGAAAATTAGTTACACGCTTTGGATTTTCAAGTAGCAAACTCGCCTGCTCTTAAAAACACAGATTCGAATAGAGAATATTTTTCCAAAAATGTTACGAGTTATAACGTGCAGTTTAAAATTTAAATAAAACGAGTAGGATATAAATTCTATATATATACGTTTACAAATATTGTTTTATTTGAAAATCCAAAGTTCATATACTCATTTAACTCATGAGAAATAGTAGTGAATAATTTAAAATAGTGTTAAAATACTATTTTAAACGATTCCCATAATGATCGGGGAGGAAAATAATCCGAGAAAACCGACGAATCGCTTTAAAAGAATCGCACTGTGCATTGTATTTCGATAAATTTTACATAAACACGCGTACATTAAAATATATTTTTAGTAAACAGTATACAGTACATTATATTATAGTTTTAACGTACTCTGTAAACTATTTCACTCAGCCGAACTTTGTGAATTCATTACAAATATTTTCATAA